TATCATGTTAACATCATGTATATCATACATTTACACTTCTGTGCTCGCTTTTAAGCAACAGATCTTTTCTGTTGTAAATTAAACATTATCAAAACTTTAGAATTGGTGTAATTTAGCTGTTAAGGGCTCGATTTGTTTGTGAATTAATGTTGGTTCATGAAAAAATAATTTCATTCGGGCATTAAAAAGAGGTTATGGTGGTATTGGAGGTAGGACACAATGGTTACTTTTATGCCAATAGTGGTCATATCATTCATTTTTCTGGAGCCAATATGTCGGGAGTCATTTTGTCAAAAGCCAATATGTCGGGAGCCCAATTGCCGGGAGCCAATATGTCGGGAGCCCATTTGTCGGTAGCCAAAATGTCGTGAGCCCATTTGCCGGGAGCCCATTTGTCTTGAGCCGCTTTGTCGGGAGCCAATATGTCCTGAGCCTATTTGTCAGGGGTTAATATGTCGGGAGTCCATTTGTCGGGAGCCTAAATATCGGGAGCCCATTTGTCGGGAGCCTATATGTCGCAAGTCAATATGACGGGAGCCCATTTGACGGGAGCCAATAAGTCGGGGCCCTTTTGACGGGGCTATTTTGACGGGGTCGGTTTGTCGGGAGTCTATTTGACGGGGTCGTATTAACGGGGCCGTTTTGACGGGGCCGATTTGTCCCGGGCCGTTTTGACAGGGCACCGTAGCTAGGAAAAAGAAAGCAGGGAATGCAACGTGGACTTGGAGGCGCACGGCGGGGAAGCGGCTGGCAGAGGCGGGACTGGTGCATTCGGGGGAAATGCCAGCAGAGTTTCCCGAAGAACATCTACCGCCACCCCCCCCCCCCCCCCCCCCCCAATTTTAGTCCCGTCCCTCCCCCCACCCCCAGGAAAGTCAAGTCTGGAAGAAATACTGACTGCCAGGAAAATTTGCCGCAGACTCCGCATACCAACAAAAGTGGAGGGAGCTTCTGTGGCGACAAAAAGGATAAGATGATAGAAATATATAGACGACCCAGTTTCCAGTTTCCCGTTGAAAAACGTTCTGCCGGCTCTACACTGTACTAGATTTATGCAACAACTTACTAGTTATATTGCAGCAAACACACTTTTTTAAAACTCTACTTTATAGAGTGTACCATCTCACAATCAATAATAATTTATTTTAATTCGAGTAGAAGGTGTATTTCTTCTAATATTTAAAAAAAAATTAATTGTTTTTGGCTTATTATTCGGTGACTAAAACAGTTCTGGCTGAGCAGTTATTAATTTTGATGATCCGAATTTTTAAAACACAACACTAACAAATACGGCATTGACTGACCTAACCTTGACCTCTTGATTTTCCAAGATGGCAGCCTCCATGGAAAATTTAATCCAGCTTTACTTTACTGAAAACGAGAAGGATGCATCAAATAAAATTGCCACTGGTGATTATACAGTTGTTAAATTCAGAATTTTAAACAAACAGCAAACCTCCACACTGCAGTAGCACTGAGTATCCCCTAGCAATCGCAGTAGAATCTAGTAATATTATGTTAGTCTACCTACCTACCTCTACCTAGTACTACTTACTACTACTACTACACCTACCTACTAAAACTGTAACTAACTACTACTAGATCTAGTAGTAGTGTAGACTGTAGAGTACCTACAGTCTACACTAGTCTACAGTTTGAGTACATCTGAATCTCAGCATCTTCAATAGTAGTAGATTGTCTAGTGTACTCTCCCTGTGTTCTGACAGTTACAGTACTTAGAAATCTAGTACTTATCAATACTAGTTATCTTCTAGTCTAGTCAGAGGCGTAGGGGGGGGGGGGGGGGGTACGGACCGCACCAGGTAAAGTTCGTCCCCCGGAAGGGCCACAATGCCCCTGGAGGTTGACACCATTAAGTGCCGCACCGGGTGACACCCGACCACGCTACGCCTAGTAACCACTTAGGACTTAGATCTACTACACTACACTCACACTTCTGACTTCTACACTCAACAGACTGTACCACTAGAATACTAGTTTTATACTAGATCTAGTTACTAGATTCTTTACTACTTACACTAGTAACTAGACTCTAGTAGGTTCTTAATTTTACTACTAAAATAAAAAGTTCTTTACTGTCACTGTCTTTAGCCTTTAGGCCCCTACTATACTGTATTTATTATTTATAGAATATGAAATCTACTGCACCACCACTAGATCTAGTACTAGATCTAGATGTACAGTACAATCAACAAAACATTTTCAACTTTTTTCTTTTTGATTTTGTTAATAAGTAGGGCTTAATTATAAATACGAAGTGACTACTCGAAAAAGATTTTTCACCCCTGCGTCTCCACTTAGTCTGCAATAGATAGTTCTGCAGATGTGCTGTGACTTTAATAGCTGAGTTAGGGTTATGGCTAGGGTCCTGCGCAGTACATTCAAAAACATTGCCACAAAGGCAAGTCGTAGTTTCTCTCTATTGTACATGCGTATCTTTTTCTGGCTCGAATCAGCCTTATAAATAATACTACCAATAATAACTAACAGCCTACTTAAACATCTTACTGAGTTACTCTGAGGAAGGAACTCATTTCAAAAGTAGTGGGTGACTAGTGAGTTGAAGTTAAAGAACTATTTTTACTAAGACTTAGGCCTACTTTTATTTTAATACTTATGATGACTTATGTCTTACTAAGAAAGTAAGATGACAATTACAATGCTTCATATTGCAGTTGATTAAATATCCCGATGTGACATCTGATAATAGATCCTTCCAAAAAAAGGTTATTAGAATGTTAGTAGTATTGTAATCCTGACTAGTTTTATGTTAAGAAATTAGGGATAGGTGTAAGTTAGGGTTGGGGTTAGGTGTAGTGTTAGTATTGACATTAGCAAGCCATGGGTGTATTTTAGTTAACTACAAATAACCTAAAACCTTTTTTTTAACAACATTCTATTATTGGAAACTGGTATAAAAATTACTAAATTATTCTTTAATTTTTATTTCATAACATCCGAGATATCCAAACGTATTAATTTATGACATGTAAGATAGCATTTGTTCTGGACGTACCAGCACTGTTCTTAAGTCATAAATAAATCTTATGAATTTAAGTTTAATTAATAAAGAGATATAGGTATAAAAGTTAAGTAAAGTTCCCCTTCCAAGCCTGGAGGTCTATGGGGTAAGTGAAGTTTCTGTAACCTCGGCATATGAAGTGATGGTGGGGTCGGCACTATCGCCAGCTTCCTTTACTTTCCCAAACACATGTTAGATACCCATCAGAGCTGGGTGGACTCTGAGATGGTCTACTGGATTTGAACTCAAGAATGATCCAGATATTAATTACATACCCATTCTCAATGCTCTATTTTGAATGCCACCTTATTACTATCTCTGTAAATGCAACATTAATATGCTCTGTAGAGGTAAACTTAAATTTTTATCTTTGCTGTGTTTCATTTGGGAAAAAATTACTACACCATTTGAACCTTAGTTTTAGTCTAATGTTAAAAAAAGGACAAGTAGACCTACAATTTGTTTTTTTGTTGTTGCAGAAATAAAGAAATCTAAAGCAAATCTAGTACAATTTATAGAGAGCCTAGGGTAAGAACAAATTGTGTTTCCATAAATATAATTTACATCAATATATATATATATATATATATATATATATATACACAAATAGATACACACATATAGATATATATATATATAAAATTATGTGTGAGTGTGGATATACAAAACAAGAAATAGTTTTTAATATTCTTCCTTCATAAACATACTTTTGTATTCTGCAGTACTTACCTAACTAACACAGACAATGTCACAAGAGGCAGAGCAACACAACTTATTGGAGATGTGCTTGGTCTCTTGCCATCTGCTTATCTTACTCAGGAAGAAGGTTCTACAATTTTTTTTTTTAAAAGTCTTTCTTGATTATTATTTGTACCACTAATATTTTTGTTAGTACATACTTCTTGTTTCTCATTTTAAGAAAATGACATAACATGTCTAAACAATAACAATATACTTATTTTCTAGTGGAGGTAATGGCAAACTTCCTGCTGTCAAAGTTATCAGATCACCACTCTGTGCAGCCTCATGCCTTACAGTCACTAGCAGTTTTGGTGAGAACTTTGATGTTTTTACTGTTTTATTTTAAATATTTTGTTTTAACAAGTAAATAATTGTTTGGGAATGTTTTCTTAATTTTAAGTTGCCAGTTTTAAAATAAAATTTTAAAAGTTGATTAAAACAAACCTGAATAATGCAGGAGTTTTTTTCTGTTAAATTACTGTACAAATTTTCCCCAGACAACAAGATATCACTCATTGCCAGAGGCTCTGGTCATACAGATATGCCAGACAATATTCCGTGAAATACAGAATCAAACTCTGGCACATGCTGATAGAAGAGCCACCTACAAAATAATGCAGAACTTTCTAGGTTCTTCCAGACCAGGTAATTATCCGAAAATACAGATTTTCTTATTAAATCTCAGTACTTATCTCAATACATGGGCCTGATTTATTATAGGTTATTTTTAGCAACTGTCTTTACCCTAAACACTTGTGTTATATGGTGTTGACCTGCTTGCATGTTTATAAAAGCTGTAAGTTATGTCTTATAAGCTTTTCTAGACAAATATAATTAACATAAGAAAGTTTTTTGTGTGTTACAAATGAATTGCATTCAGTCATCCTTCTCTTATTCTATTTTATCAAACAGCTATTGAACAGATGGGCAGTGATTTTGTTATTGGCTTTATCCAGCTGATGGATGCGGAGAAAGATCCAAGGAATCTGATTTTATGCTTTAACATTGCTCATTTTATCATTAGTAACCTTCAGCTAGGTATGTTCATTTTTGGTCCATAATATCAATGTAATTTTCAATATCACAACACTGATTTTATTTATATCAATTTTTAGGAAAAAAAATTTTTTAGTCACTTTTCATAAGTAAGTGCTTGCAACAGCTACTATTTAATACTTTTGCCTACATGCTTTTTATTATCATTGATTTTTTGCATCATTAATTAAAAATATAGTGTTGAGTTATGATTGTTTTTCAGGAGTGTTCACAGAGGAGATGTTTGAAGTCTTGGGATGTTATTTCCCCATTGACTTTATTCCTGTAAGTTCATTAGGATACAAATCAAATGCAGGTTGTTGTAATTAAAATTCACAATTTTTATAGTTTTTATATATATTTTCAGTCCCTTGAAGAACTTATATTGTCAACACTTGTTTTCTATTCTGCAGCCACCCAATGATTCTCACGGCATCACTAAAAAAGATCTTGTTGAAGCTCTACGAAAATGTTTAACGGCTTCAGGAGAGCTTGCTCAGTATTGCCTTCCACTTTTTCTAGAGAAGATGACCTCGGATGTGCAGGAAGCTAGAAAAGATGCATTTGTCTCTTTGGTAAAAAAAATCATTTGCAGAGCTCTGTATATTTGTATAGATTCTTATTTTATTACTGCTTTTCCGGAAATTATATGTACACTGTGCTTTGTGACACAAACCAGTAACTTGTTGTGGATAGATTGCTGAACCAAAACCTTTTGTTATAAATTTCACATTTTAGATAATACATTTTTATGATTTTTATAACTTATTTGAAATCATTCACTTTGTACTTAATCCTACTATGCTAGATTTTTACTTCTTTATTAGATTTATAAGTAATGTAAACAAAATGTACACATTCTTGTATTTTCTAATGTAGGCTCAAGGTGCCCCTGTGTATGGGTGTAAAAGACTAACAGAGTTCTTAGGCTCATTAACATCTTCTTTGAAAAGAGAGGTAGGAAATGTTTGTTATGTGTTAGCACTTTTATTTTGAATAAATTCCTTATATAGGGCCTTTTTGAATTAACCAAACGTATATACAGTTAAATGGATTTACCTAAAATTTAATCACAATATATTCATGTGTAAAATTTATTTTTTTCAAAAAAAGTATTGTTTTTATTTTGGTAGTTAAAAATTTAACAAAGATCAGTGAAATAGCTTTGTTTGCTTCAGATACTAATGAACATATCAGGTGATTTAGTGGAATCTGCACGCAATGCTCTAACAGCCATCTTCTCTGCCATCACACCAGATGAAGGTGTTGTTATTGTAAGTAGCGCTAGGTAGTTGAGTATTATAATAAATAAAAGCTATCATACCAGACAGAGGCAAAGGGATTCTAGATAATAGTCAGCTTGGACAGAGGCAAAGGGATTCTAGATAATAGTCAGACTGGACAGAGGCAAAGGGATTCTAGATAACAGACTTGACAGAGGAACAGGTGTGGGTCAAAGATTACTCTTAACTACACAATTGTTTAAGGAGCAATTTTCACCAGCCGCTTCATTTCTATTTTCCAGAATAGTGATACAACATTTTCATCATCTATTGTAGAACTTTACCAAGGTAATAAATTTAAATGTTTAGTTTGTATCATTTTATAAATACGGAAAGTAAAGAAATTCATTTAATGTGTCAATTGATTTAATGAAGTATTAATTACAAATGTTTAACTTCAGATATAGTCAAGTATCTTGAAGGTTCAGATTTAAAGAAAAAATGTTTAGCATATTCTTTGTGCCAGTCTATTGCATCATCATCACCAGCAGCATTTTGTGTCGTTACTCCACTGGTTTTGCCAACTTTGATTCAATTGTGTAGTAATCTTTCACAGGTAGGTGCTTTCAATGGGTATTGAAGTGTTATTGTTTTAGTTGATATACATATGTTAATAAGATTGTTTTTAACAAACTATTATACTACTATATATCAAAGGTTAAAACAAGACCAAAACAATTTGAGTGACGTGCCCGATTTAACTCGCCAAAAGTAAAAATAAAAACATTCACGCAAAATCCATTATAAACGAATAGTTAAAAGCAAAATATCAAGCAAAGCATTGACTCAAGTAACTCCCAAAACCCTAAATGGCAGAGTATCTAATTTTTTTCAGGTGATTGTATCTGGCAACTAGAAAAATAAAATAAAAACAACTGGCACATATCTCTTATTTAATCTGTTAAAGTGGCATACAGCACTTCCCTTGCCAGCTGTCTGAAAGTCTTTGTCTTGGTCACTCCATGGAAAATTTGCAATGTCTTTTTTTTATTTAAACAGTTAACAGAACGCCTTATGTATTTGAGAGAACTTAAAGGATTTTTGGATGCCTACCTACTCTATCATTCAAATATTAGTAAGTATTTATTATTGGCTGTAGTAATATTAAATTTAAAAAAAAAATTGTTTAAATATTCTCAGTCAAATATGTAATAAATACGAATAAAGTACCAGTTTGTTCTGGGACTTTTGTCTTGTCAGCCTTTTGTCCATGCTAGCCTTTTGTCCGTATCCCAGTTTTTACAGTATGTTGTAAATGTCCTTATCTTTAAGATGTGAATCAAGTCCTGCAAGAGAATCTCCCTGCGCTGTCAGCCATGTATGAGGACCTGATAAACAATGTTCATGATGTAGAAGTTCAGTTGGAATCCATCAAAGCACTTAGCATTATCACCACTCCCACTTGTTGTTCAATAGAGAAATGTGAAGCATTTGGAAACATTCTGGTGAACAAATCTTTAACAGTTACAAATCCAACTGTAAGGTATGTGGTATTTTTGTAAGTGTACTGTAAAACTAGTGGATTCATATTTCCATTTCTCTAAAATTGAAGACTAAGTAAGCCTATGGTGGTCCATGGGATAAGTGAAGTAGATATCCTCAGCATTTGAAGGGATAGTATGGTCAATACTATGCCCAACCGCCTTCATTTTCCCTAACATGAGTCAGGTACCCATTAGAGCTGGGTGGACTCAGGGATGTTCTACTGATTTGAACCTGGAATCGAACTCAAGACTTTCTGGTTAGCAGTCTAGCGCTCTACTGCTAGGCCACACTATCCCACTAATTAAAGACTGGTAAACTGTAAAGTAATTAATATGTGTATTGCATATGATTTTAAAATCATCCATTTAGATTTTTGCTATATTAAATTATACCTCTGAAAAAATAATGTGTTAGCTTGCCTAAAGTCATAACACTTTATTAAAAAGTCCAAATAGTATAAGAAAAATATTTTGAAAATACAGATATTTTGTGAAATTTATATATAAATATTTTCCATTATTTTCTTTTTTTTTTAAATGTTTGTATCTAAGTTTTAAGTGCCATCATTTATTAACTTTATATTGTCATATTTTTCTAGGCAACACGTGTTAACATCCCTACAGAATGTAATAAAAGTAACCCCTGGTTTAGGTCAGAAAATTATGGAATTGTTAATAAACAATGTCAACGGTGAGTATACACATTTTACTAGACATCATTTTTCAATGAGCTTTTTTTTTTAAGGGGTTAGAATTTCTAGACTTAAATGACATTTAATAGTAAAATCTTTGGAAAAGGGTGGACTCAGTGACATCTTTCTGAACTTGAGACTTTCAGGTTAGCAGTCTAATGCTCTACCATTTGACCACACAAAGGGATATGTAATTATAGAATATCACGTTGGGTGATTAACAATGTGTGCTAACTGATATCTCGTTGCACATTCACAGCTCAAACAGGTGATTTGCGTATGATTGTTGAGACAATGATCCATGTGGTTTTGGATGTTGATTCTTTTCTAATTGTTAATAACTTTTTACTGCAAAAAATTCAACAAACTCTTACTGGTAAGTAGATTTTTTTAACCTAATTTTTGAAGATTTATTCCTATGGTAATAAAAATGTTTAATATTAACTTTGGAAACTTTGTTAATGATGACTGATTTTTTTTTTAAATTATGTAAATTTGTGGGTGTAATATGAATCTGAATGTCCTGCTTCCAGAATCTAATTGGTCCTGCATCTTAACCTGCACTGAGATGATGATCCCATTTTTAAATCACCTCCATGATCAGCCAGATTGTTTGGATCTTGTGGTCAAGTCTACTGCTCTCCCTTTGCTGTGCACTGCTGTCACAGCAACCCTGCATTGGTCAGAGGAAACTAAGGAAAAATCTGGCCAGTTTTTGTCTTATCTACGCCATGTGTACAGAATCATTGGACACTCTGTCAAGAAAAAGTGAGTCGGTAAAATTTATGATAACTTTACTTATTGTTTAACAACTTGGTAGAGTGAGTGATTAACACATTGAGTTAGTAACTGGGTCCAGTTGGACTGAAATGTAAGGCTGACCACAAAATCTTCATATGTAGAGGTCACAAAAAACACTTTTAATACAATGCAATGATACTTAATTTTGTACTTGTTTGTGTGTTTAAAGTAGAGTTGAAGGTCTCTACTCCCATATATTTGTTCACCCAATATTAGATATGGTTTTACAATATTGAAATGGAATTTTTAAAAGAAAATTTTCTTGAAAGTAGTTCCAAACAAGTATTTGTGAAATACTTTATAAAGAATATTGCACATTTTAAATTCATTGTTGTACATTTTATTGAAACAATTGTGTTAAAAGTTTACTTTATGAAAGAAAAAAAATGTTATCAAATGTTTCAGTGATGTAATGTTGCTGTGGGATTTAGTTTTGAAGTTAATGTTGGATGGTGACACCAACGCTATTGGAATCTCTGGAGATTTCCACTCTTTGAAACCTCTAAGTGTAAGTTCTACAAGTTGCATATTATGTTTATTGTATATATTTTGTAAATTAATTTGGGATACCTTAGAAACCTATAGATGTAAACATTCAGCAAGTTTTTAAAAACTTTTAATCTGTTCTATTTATAATTTAGTATAGCGGTTCAAATTGTTGTTGAATTCTTGCTCAAAATGCCCTTAAATTAATTTTGTGTGTTTAAAAAAAATTTATAACTTGTGCATGCTTGGTACCATACATATATATTTTAAATGTTTGATAAGGCTGGATCAAGTTGGCAACAGACTCGTTTGACTGCTGTTTTAGAAGGACTTCTTATTGGGGGAGACATACAGGTAATACATCATTTTTAAAATTTAGTTTTATTATCACTTTTCTCTTGTTATTAGTCATCTGATGCCTGTAGCTTCAGGACTTGTTTAAATGAGATGTGCTGTAGCTTTAACCCACCTATGCTAATTTCCATGATTAAATATGAATATAGTGTGTTAAAATGCTAGACTCATATTTTTTATGTTTTTACAATCAACCATATATTGTCAGTAAATTCCCAATAACAAACCAGTGGATCTTATGTTGTAAAACAAAAAAAAACGTATCTGTGTATAAATAACTTTTAAGAATGTATGCCTGATAGGACTAAATAAATTTGTATGATACAGATTTTATTAGTTGTAAGATACACACTGAATTTGATAGTCTGTAGTAATAAATTTATAACCATTCGTTTGTAGGCTATGGTAGACCAAAGAGAAAGGATATTTGAAGCTGCCTATGTGCTGGCTGAAAACACAGTGGATGACTTTACCCAGCTGTCTGCCTGTAGATGTGTGGCTGTCATCTTTAACAAAGTTCCCATAGGTATAGTACACCTGACAACATCATGAGATTACCTGCTTTTTAAAATGTTCAACTATTCTATCATCTGATCCATTTTCATATCACTTATACACCTAATATGATAATCACATATTTTTTCACTTTTTTCTATCATCCCAATATCATCTGGACTATTTTCACACCACTCATTTATAGGTGCTGAAATACACTGGCTGTTGGAGCCAATGGTTGATAAACTAAAGCTGACTTTGACTGCCTCTAGTGATCCTGCAGCAAAAACCAGAGCCCTAAGGATATTAACATGGCTGACCAAAGCTTTAGAAAGTAGAGGGCATTCTGCCACTACAAATCTTTCATCCTTTGTAAGAACATTTCTTAATAATAATACAATCTCTGTGTAATGTAGGTTTATTGATATTATCTTTTATATAAAATTTTCATTCTTATGTGCTCACTTCGTATTTATTGTTTGTTGCAGTTAATTTCAATCTTGAAGGATGTAGACTTGGGCTCAGAAGTAGCTAAAAACTTGGCTCTGATTGTACAAGACATAGATGATGTGTTCAGTATCAAATTTCATAGCAATATTACCCCACTATACAAACAGAGGTTTTTTACTCTAAACCTGAAATCCTTGTTAGAAGGCTACAAAAGTGCCACTTTGAAAGGTATTTTTTACCTGTTAAACATGGTATTTAAAAATGTTGGTTTCATGTTTATAATCAATAAAATATTTATTTAAATTATCTAAATTTTGTGGAAATAATTATGCTAAAAATATATTAAAATACTAATTATGTATCAAACTTACTGCTTCTGTACTATAAAGTAAAATAGTACGCTTTAACATGCATGATTATACACGTGTGTCCTCCAGCTTCATCAGTATTCATGTGTGCACTGTGAGACATACACTATTTAAAACAAATTACAAATTTTTCTTATACAGTTATCTTTTATTTTTACATAGCTCAATATTTCTAGTATAAAATTACTTGAAGTTACTTCCTGTTCTGTTCTGTTTTAGTTCTTGCACAGTTACTTCATATTTCATGTACTGTTGTGTTTTATTTCTTCCACAGTTATAAAAGAAAATCATCTGATGGCTGTGTCCCTGATAACATCCAACCTTCCTCTTCAAGTATTGAAACCCCATTTAGGCAAAGTAAGTTCACATCATTCTTATAACATTCACTTTCTGTGTTGAGAAATAGACTTATTAAAGAAGTAAATTTTTGAGCTTTTACTTGTATAATTTTTACTATTTAAAATCTATACAAATTTCAGTTGCATTATAAAATGTTTACATTTGATCTATTTACAGTTGGTTCCTATCCTGCTCTTATCAATTGATCTTCAAGAAAATGAAAGCCTTGATCACATCTTATCTACTTTGGGTACTGCTATATTGCATTCACCTGATATTATCATTCCAAATGTTGATAATATTATTTCACAATTTTTGGATCTTGCTAAAATGCATTCTTCAATGGTAAACCAAGTTTTTTACAAGGTGTAAACGTTTGTTAAAGATTATTTTTATTTTTAAGTCTGTTTAAAACAAAAAGAATTTTTTATATTTTCTAGAAAGTACGGATCACAGCATTGAAGTGTTTGGAAAATCTGACTTCACTACCTGTTCACATCATCACACCTCACCAGAACAAAGTTGTGCAAGCGTTGGCTAATACACTAGATGATAAGAAGAGATTAGTGAGGAAACAAGCTGTGGACACCAGATCGTCATGGTAATTCATTTTTTCATTTGCTTTCTATTTTCTTATGAAGCAACGTGTTATATAATAGTTGAGCTTTATTATAGTATTTATTTAGTATATTTTCTCTAAAAAAATTATAATTCTTAGAAGTACTAAATGTTTTACCACATTTCTTTAGTCTCCTTGCCCCCTACTCAATATTTAATCAATATCTTAATAAGTGATCAGATAGCCCCTCCACCCCCAAGTAAGTTATTACATTGTTTGTTTTAAATTTTACTTTCCAGGATCCTTTTAGAGAAGGCAGTGAAGTAGTCTCATACATCAGAGTCTAGTCATCAATACATTATTTTAAAAAGAAAATATTTTAGACGATGGATTGTCTGTTTATTTATACTTGTGTTCTCATTGATGATGTTTTAACTTGAATTAAAAAATTATAGCATTATACTAAACAAGTATTTCACATGTGGCCAGACTTCTGTTTTCTTCAGTATCAGAAACTATATTATAACATCTTTTTGTGGCCCTGACATCATAGAGACATATAAAGTAAATCTCTGTAAATATATTCATGCATTTTGTGTGTGATCTTGGAAAAACTAATAAAAGGAAAAAAATGTCACAAAGGCATAATTTTTTATAATTACTGTTTATATTCTTTCAGTTTATAAACCTATATTATATTTTAGTATGATGATATTACATTTAGGAGGAACCTGTTTTCAAATAATTTATTTTTAAAACATTGCTTTTCACCTACATTTACAATAAATTCTTTGATAAAAACATGGGTATAATCTTGTTACTTAATTAATAGTTGTAACTTTATTTAAAATTTCTTTTATTTTATATTTTAAAGTTCCTAGATATTAATAAATACTGACCTGGGCGCTGGGCATTTTCCCAAAAGACACTTTCCCAAATGCCGTTTGGCCATTTTCCCGAATGCACACTTGACCGGATGCTACAAACGCCTGAATGAACACTTGGCCGAAAGGACAATTGCCCAAAGGCTGTTTACCCGCAAAAATGCTAATATTATATATTACCAATTAGACATTGTTAATAAATCTGAATTTCTCATTTTGATAATCAGCACAAATCTAAGCGTAAAAACTGAAAAAATGTATATTAATTACCAAGTAGACATTCATAATTTATTTGCATTGTAAGAAGTGTAAACAAAGAGAAACAGACCATTTTATCTCAGAATTTTTAATGTGAATCTCTATTTCTTTCTTAAGTAATCGCTTTAAAAGGTTTGTTGAATGGCGATGAAATATCAGCGACTACATGTAGTATTTAAATTTGTCATGTAGACAGCCTCATTTTTTAAAAGATGATCTCCACTCAACACAGCTGAACAAGCTGAATCAACTCGCCTTTGTTCCATTTTGCGAGACACCGTATGGCCTAAACCTAAATTTGTAACCACCGCAACACTTCAACCAATCAAGGTGCTCAAGACAGTAATTAAAATAATGTAAAGAAACCACAGACAAAACAGCCCTTACAAAGTTTTAAAGAATTTTTAAAAATATTTTACAGCAATTACTCATTTTTCAAAAATTGAACTAAATTTAAAAAGTATAAACACATTTCTGTTTGTTATGCTTAGAATTGTTTAGATTATCAAAATTTCACATTTAATAAGAACTAGCAGTTGCTCCAGCAATTTATAGCCATGTCCAAACAGTGGCGTAGCTACCGTAAAGCTAGCGTAAGCAAGGCATAGGGGCCCAAGGCAAATAGGGGCCCTTTTTCGAAAGTTTGAGGGGGGGGGGTGCAAATCGAAAGTTTGAGGGGGGTGCAAATCGAAAGTCTGAGGGGGGGGGGCGCAAATCGAAAGTTTGTCCCCGCTACGCCTCTGAGGGGCCCACTAACACTTTTTGAATAGGGGCCCAAAAATCCTAGCTACGCTACTGTGTCCAAATGTTAATGCACATGAATATGTTTGTTTAGAAACTGTTTTAAGAAAAATTAAAGAGCATAACATAATGCTACGCTCAAAACAGTAACAGCATGGGATTCTAAATATAATGGATTGACGAAAGAAGCATGTGGTTGTATATAAAACGTTTATTGGGTCTAACTACATGTTGATAACCAGAGAGGAAGGAAATGACGAGAGACAACTATTTATATATATGTAAGGGACATCACTCAAGATAACAATATAAATATAATACTAATACAAGAAGAGTGAGTTCCCTTGACCTCACAAATCCCAATATGTTACATCCCTTTACCCTTAGTAAACACAACACATCTCTCAATAGAACAATTGATAGTATCCTAAAATCACCAATTATATTGTAACATGAACACTATGGTAGATTACATCCTTACAAACAATGCACAATATGCTACAACATAATCAAGATACAAAACAATGATGTCAAAGTCCTTTTGACCTTTAAAATCATAGGTCTAACTTATTTGGGACTTTGATTGTCCTGCTTGACCTTCTCAGTGGCTTTTGATTTGGTGACTCAAGATTCTGACCATCTGGATTCTCTATCTCAGGAGGTCTAGGATTTAAATCATTAACTCCAGAATTTACATTTTCTGACTCCAGACAACTTGGTTCACTCATATCAACAGAACTTGGTTGTGGAACAAACTGAGTTGGTGTGAACTGTTCAGATTTGGTGGGATTGACAGATTCACACTTATTATCTGCACAAGTTATTTTTAACTGGTCTGCATGTCTACGGACAATAAGTCCATCATTTGTTTTTACTTTATAAGACACAGGTCCTGTACATTGAACAATTTGACCTGGTATCCATTTTTCCCTTCTCCCATAATTTCTTAGATACACATTATCATTAACTGCAAATTCTCTTTCAATGGATGATTTGTCATGATTTAATGGAACTATTTTTGAATTGGCATCTGAAAGTATTAAATGGCAAAAAATCTTTTTTTTTTTTTTTTTTATGTTACCCTTTTAGTTTCTTTAAGTGCTAATGATGTTAGCAAAGTTGTTTGATGATCACATTCCTTCTTACTAATGTATTCTCTCTGAAAGCATTTGAAATTGCCATATCACCATAATCATTTATCAAGTTACAAATACTTTGTTTAGGCAACTCTAACTGATAATGGACTGCATCTTCTCCATCTTTTATATTATCTTCACAAAGGTTTTTATTTCTTATTTAATATGGCCTTAAGTCATCATTCACAGACTCTTCAGGCCAACCATTCTTACAGTACTCATATACTTTTATTAAGCACTCATCTTTTTGTGTTTCTCTTTTAATATCATTCACATTAACATCATTCACATTTATATTGGAGTTATCCATGATAGTGAAGAGAACAAATACTTCTTCTGGTACATAGCTCAGGCTTTGGTTTTTTAAAGGTAATCTACTCAGACTATCTGCACTATTCTCAGATCCAGGTTTGTATTTCAATTCATAAATGTATGCAGTTAGTGTGATAGCCCATCTTTGAATTCTTGGTGAGGCATGCTCAGGTAGGGTTTTGTTTTCTCCAAATAAACCTAGCAATGGTTTATGATCTGTAAAGATGGTGAACTTCCTACCAAACAGAAACTTATGAAATTTCTTAACACCAAAAATGATGCCTAAGCCTTCCCTATCTAACTGAGAATAATTTTTCTCAGCCTGGTTCAAAGATCTACTGGCAAAAGCAATGGGTCTGTCACCCTTCTCATCCATGTGGGACAAGACTGCTCCTACACCATCTGGTGAAGCATCACATGTCAATACAAGTCTTTTCCCTGGGTCATAGTGAGTTAGTAAGGTGTCAGAAGACAAAGCCTCTTTTGCTGTATTAAAAGCAGTATCTTGTTGTTTACCCCAGTGCCAAGTTGCATTTTTCTGTAGCAGCTTGTACAGTGGTGATAGTTTACCAGACAGATTTCCTATGAACTTTGCATAGTAATTTATCAAGCCCAAAAAAGCTCTTAGTTGTTGGGTATTTTCAGGTTTGGGTGCTTCTTTAATGGCTTTTGTTTTCTCAGGTTGAGGTCTGATGCCTTGCTTGCTTAATATATAACCAAGAAAACTAATTTCTGTCAACATGAATTGACATTTATCTTTGTTTATCTTTAAATCTTTTTCACCAACAATTTTCAAGACTTTATCAAGTGTTTTAAGATGTTCAGTGTCATTCTTACCAGTTATGTACACATTGTCAAAGTACACACAAACATTTGGAATGTCCTTAAAAATACTGTCCATGACAGCTTGGAAAATTCCAGGGCTAGATGATATGCCAAAACATAGTCTTTCATATTGGTAGAGTCCTTTATGTGTGTTTATTGTCGTATAGACTTTTGAATCTGGATGCAGTTCTAGTTGAGTGTAAGCATGACTAAAGTCTAATTCAGTGAATTTGTCTCCTCCTGCCAAATTCAAAGAAATTTCCTCAATGTTAGGAATAGGGTACCTATTTAGCTCTATTTGCTTATTCAGTGTAGTTTTATAATCTCCACAAATTCTTATAGAACCATCCTTCTTTAACACTGGCACAATGGGCGTTGCCCAATCAGAATAGTCTACCTTCTTTATGATGCCATTAGATTCCAATCTACTTAGCTCATTTTCAATTTTATTCCTCATTGCATAAGGTGGAACTCTAGCTTTGCAGTATCTTGGATTTGTGTCTTTAATGCTTAACTTCACTGTTCTATCATTTAGTAAACCTGAATTGCCAAAAACACTTTTATTTTCAGATATTACTTTATCTAGTGAAGTAAGACTAGATTCTTTTCCATTGTTCAATGAACAAATACTCTCCCAATTTAACTTAAGATTACTTAACCAGTTCCTACCTAGTAATGGTGGTCCATTTCCTTCAACCACAAGAAGAGGAAGTTTAACACTTTGACCATTATAACTTACATGAACCATACACTCTCCTATTACCGGAACATTGTCACCAGTGTATGTTGTTAGACACTTGTGACATGGCTGTAGAGGCACTGATCCTCCTGTGACAGCGTCAAAATCTTTCTTTGTTATGACTGTTAGAGATGCTCCAGTGTCAAGTTGGAAGCTGATGCTCTTACCGTTGATATTAACTGGTACATTGATGGGAGCATGACTTATTGATTTCACAGAGAACAGGTTGAAATCCGGCTGCGAATCAGTTTGAGCATTTTCACAGGTAGAGTGGTTCATTGGTTGGGTTAGGTAGTCTTGGTGAGAGTTAACATAGTGCTGCCTTTGGTTGCGGTACTGTCTTGACTGGCTAGATTTAGCAACAGACGAAGACTTTGCAAAGCAGGCCTTGGTAATGTGACCTTGCTTACTGCACTTATAACAAGTTGCAGACTTGAACTTGCACCGATGAGATGCATGGGGACCTTTGCATCGATGACATTTTTGATAATTATTACTAGATTTAGATCTAGGATTTGAACGAGCAGGCTGTTTAGCATAAGTTGGAATGCTCTGATGGGGTTGGTGTTTGTTGACTAACCTGCTGTTTACTGCATGGATCTCTGAAGGTGCTAAAGATCTCGCCGCATCTGATGACTGCTGGAATGAAGTTGCAAGTTGTATTGCTTTTTCTAATGTTAGATCTGACTCGAGCAGCAACTTTCTTTGAATATCAGGGCTGTTTACACCTGTCACAAACTTTTCACATAGTCTGTCAGACAGCGTGTCTCCGAATTCACAAAATTCACTTAGATGACGTAAAGCAGCAACATATTCTGATATTGACTCGTTTGGTTGACGAGTCCTACCGTCAAATCTAGCTCGACATAGAAACTTTGATGGGGTAGGCGCATGGTGGTCTGTTAGCAATTTGCTCAGCTCGTTAAAGCTCTTGGTAGTTAGACTAGCTGGTGCGCATAAGTCTTTTAGTAGCCTAAATTGTTGAGGCCCTATGACTGTTAACAAAATAGCTCTCTTTTTGGCTTCTATCGTCACGTTGTTTGCTTCAAGGTAAAAGCTTAACCTATCTAGGTAATCTTGAATGATTTCATCATTAGAATCAAATTCTTTTATTTGGCCATACAGCGCCATTATTCTAGAAATACTTAGCTAATAAGCTCTAGCAAACCTCTTTTTTGCGTAAGTAGGTGCTCTTTCTAGTAGATGTTTATCCTTCGTCGCCAATATAATGGATTGACGATAGAAGCATGTGGTTGTATATAAAACGTTTATTGGGTCTAACTACATGTTGATAACCAGAGAGGAAGGAAATGACGAGAGACAACTATTTATATATATGTAAGGGACATCACTCAAGATAACAATATAAATATAATACTAATACAAGAAGAGTGAGTTCCCTTGACCTCACAAATCCCAATATGTTACACTAAAAATAAAACTTCACACCACCTGCCGTTTCTTATTATCACTGTTTGTTACACAAATATAGTGAGCATCAGAATGCAGTGTTTCTTCCAATTTTTTTTCTCCGGGGGGGGGGGGGGGGCACTTCTTAATTTTCTATATAAATTCCTGGAAGAAACTCTGCATCAGAGTTCAAGAGAAAACAGCTTATTACTTTTCTTGTGGACAATTTAAAAATATATATTTTGTCGTTTCTCTTTTTTAGCATTGAATCAAATCGATAAGTAATTGACCCCAGGATTGATTTCGAGAGAGGAATTGGCTTCCTGAGGGTAATTTGACCGTGTGGGGGTGGGGGGGGGTCCTAGTCCTGAGTACATAGAGGTAAATTTAAAAAGATTTTACATTCTTATTTCTAAACGACAATACACACTCTTTGATTTTTATAAACAACATATCAATAAGCAGCCCTAATCGCTCAATGTGAGCTGTTGTTAACATTAATTACATTATTTGATAATATTTTCGATATATAGATCTATACTCTTTTTCGAGAAGTCCAGAAATAAAAGACGCAGTCCATTGTAAACACAGAAGGTCGTAGACCAGCATTGTCTTCTGTGGACTCTCCCCCTCTTTTTTTCATTCGGCATAGGCTAGTTAGTTAAGTAACAAGCAATACAAGATTAAAACAGCAACCTAGCCAATAAATTTTGATAAAAATCATACAGATTTCCATGTTAATGCTCTAAACACATATTAAGTTAAAAAAAAACAATGCTGAAAATATAAGAATGGTGAAAAAAAAATCTAATCGTAATTACTCACACTAAGGCAATACATACATTATTTTGATTTAAATTGAATATGAGAAATATAATTAAAGTCTTCAATCTTTCACAGTGTTTTTATTTTTAGTGTTTAAGAATCATATTTTAAACCAACGCTTTTAGTTTTAGTAGTTTAATTCCTTCGCTCGTGGATTACTGAAACTTAGGAACGCAGACCAATATGTGTTGCAGCTTAACGTACATTGAGCTAAATCAGTTACATCTGCATACATTTGAAACAGAGAGCAGCCTACATTTACTTGACTTCTACATCACCTGTCATTCTATTGTTACATTTTGTCCATTCAGCACATTTATTATCCCACCCACGGCGGCATCTGCTAAATACAGTTCTAATTTTGTGATAATAAATTCTCCCGACCAGGTTATACTGGATAGAAACCACAAGTTAAAAATAAAATACTTGACTATTGATTAGAACTGCAGCATTCTATTGCCTGGATTAGTGCCACCTCACTCGGACTGTATGATTATCTTTAGCGCAGATCGGACATGGGATTATCACAAGACTAGAACAGCTAGGGGATTATCTTTAGAGTTATAGGCATTGCTTGTTGAACAATTGACATAACGGCAGCTGGAAATACTCCATTTCATTGTGCAATGTCGCTACTTTTGTAATGTCATTGCTTCTCTAATTGGACCAATTTTGTAGTGTCATTGCTAGTATGGTGTCAGGTTTATTTTGTAACGCAAATAACAGTGAACGGTAGTTGTCTTAATTCGATGATTAAATTTAAAATTATCCCTTCATCATTTCTTTCCTTTTCGTTCCTCAGCTTCCTCCATGATTGTCTTCCTGGATCGACCCTCAAGTCACTTGCCCCGGGGGTTCTACTCTAGGGCCTTTCTGGCTCTATTGCCAAAGTCCTTTTTTTTGCCCAATCCATCGTCATTTCCTCCATGAAATCATAAGAATACATTCAAATTCATTTTAACACCACCTAAAAATTTGGACCATATTTTATGTTTAATTTTACAAAAAATAATAATAATAATAAAAAAAAAAAAAAAAAAAAAAAACAATTTTTGGAGGAAAAATGTTCAGACTTCAGTGTAATATGTTAATAAAGTAAACAACGAAGACTTGTGATTGGTACACACTAAATTTTTTTTAAATATATTCTTAATTTTTGCTTTGAATTCAACTTAAAAATAAATTTAGTCGATAAAGTAAAAAAAACAGTGGAATCACCACCAATAACAAAAATAATTAATTACAATTTTCAAATATTAGCGGTCAAAACTAGTTTGCTGTTTTTCGACGTTGTAAATATTTTTAGAATGTATTCAGTTGTACAAGCTTTTATTTAACTTGTCTGTCTAACTCTCTTTTGGGCGTTTGTCGTGATGGATCGAAACTGCCGAGCAAAATTTCGATTACTTCTAAATGACCGATTCGTTTCAAACTTTTCTTTTTAGCTATTTAAATAGTAGTTCAAGTGTATATTTTTGCAGAAAATTACTTATTTTCTCATTTGTAATGCATTATTACATAAAAGCTTGTTATTAAAACCTTTTTGATGCATTTTTACAAGTTTTGTTCAGTGGAGGTTAAGCAGTAGACCCATAAGAATATGTAGCTTTATTTCGGTATCTATTCTTGGATTGGGGTGGAGGGGGGGGGGGGTGAAGGGGGCTCTATCCTTGAAGCGCATGCACCCTCAGGACAAATTAGAACAAATATTTTATATAGAAAATATATAATCTAACTAGTGTCCGCCGACACCTCCACCCCATCGCTGGAATTTTAATTGCACCAACTCCCTCTAAAATTTTAATTGCCACCCCCCCCCTCCACAGACAAAATGTCTGAGATAAACACTTTGTCAAATTACTTTAACATTATAGTTATATGCGTAGCAATAACATATTTCTGCCGTTTTCTTTATGACGAGAGCACTCTAACACACACAGTACTAACAAAGGCTGAAAAATTAAATTGTCCTAATTATTAGAGATGGATTAATTAAGCCTAATTAAATTGTCGCCAGCTGTCTGATGGTAGAAAAAGGTAGAAAAGATATAATAAAGCCGCTGCCGCCAATGAGCTGTACTAATACTCTGACGTAGTCGCGGTTCACAGAACAGCCGCTTAAGTTTAGTATTTTAAAAATTGATGTTATAAAAATATATTTGCTTTGATGTAGGCTACACTTCATTCGCCATTCATGGTGAATTAGAATATCGCATAGATGTAGTAATTCGTCAAAATTAGATTAGTGTAAAATATTATTTTCTACTGTTATGAGAAATCCATAGATGTATCTTTTTACAAGCTTTCATTTTACTTGGTTCTACGTGCTTAATGTTTTTGTCTGTCGTGATTCGCAAATGGCGAGTGATATTTCGACCACTCCTATCTGACCGATTTCTTTCAAACCTGGCACGTGGGTCAAAATCCAATGAATATTCAACGTGGCGTCAAACTTGACTTAATTGGATGCTTAATTAATTCTTTATGAATAAATTAAAGTTTCATATATAAAATACTATTTTACGAACTAATTAGGCCTATATGAACATTGTTTGTGTTCATTTGGTGAGCACTTCTTTTGCATAAAAACTTATTAAGTATTGAAAAAACAATTAATAAAAAACGTTTTAATAACATATTTTCATACACTTATGCACTAAAAACGAGAAAATATATGATTTTCTTTAACTATGTAATAACGAACCACTATTTAAATAAAGAAAATGAAAAGCGTGGGTCGTTATATCATGTAGTGAATTTTAAGAAGCTACCTACTCTTTTCTTTTTAGTTATTTTAATAGTGATTCATTATTATATATTTAAAGACAATTATTTTTAGTGCATAATTATATGAAAGTCTGTTATTAAAAAGTTTTCTATGAATTTTTTTAAATTACTGCTGTTCTTTAAGAACAAGACTTTGACGATGAATGGAACAGTATACCAGCAATACAAAACTTCGTAAGTTATTTCGTATTAGTTAGTTAAAGTTATTTGGAGCAAGTTTAAGTTTTTTTTTTTTTAACTTACTGAAACTGGCTACTGCTAAAATATAACACTATTACATACATGTTTATGTTCATGTTTGTTAATGTTCATAGTTATGTTTAAGTTTATGTGTTAAGGTTAGAGTCAGTTTTAGGTTATATAGGTTATTTATTTTCTCAAATGTCTTTATAGCTAATTAAATAGTGGTGCATTATTATATTTAAAAAATAGTTTATTATTACAAGTTTTGATTTATTCATTTTGGCGATAACAGAGGAGAGGGAACCTATCGACAAAAAGGTATTATATTTTTCTTGAACTATACCATTAGGTACATGATCATATTAATTAAAAACACACATTATTTTTAGTATAGAATGCAGTTTAAATTAAGAGAAAAATAATAAATTACTCTTGTATTCTTTATAGGAATGTCCAATCATTTCCACAACAGCAAACCTTCAGAGAAAATTCGAATCTTGCAAAAAGATAGTTCGAATAAAAGAACATTTAAGAATGTTTTCAAACTTTTAAGCAAAAATGAGGAGAAGGTCAGCTTTTCTGAACTGGTACGAGTTTTCAGTCTTTAATAAAACAGTTTTGTTACTTGCAATCAATTTAAAACAACACTAGTGTTTCTAATGTTGTTCACAAGTAAGTTTTGTAATAGTAATAATTTTCACTAACCATTTTATATTTTGAGATTAGCACTTGCACTAGCGCACAAACTGTCATATACTGTCACTAAATATAAGCCGCAGTAGTCCTTACACAATACACCAATTGTAATCTTTTCGGTGCTTATACCTATTTTGTGTATAATATAAATGCAAAGTGCGGAATGTATGTCATCCTATTCCTTATGTACAAATTAGATCGGGAATTTGCAGGAAAGCTTCAGGTTCGTAAGGGCGATATTTAACCTCGATCTAACGGGAAAAATAAAACGATCTTAAGATTTGGGTTAAAAGTGAGAGAACACGGACATAGAATGACCGTGGCTATGCATTTTTTAAAAAGTTCTTGAATTAGATCGACCCCTTGCAGATGTTACACAAACTTGATATATGGTACCGTGGACACCTGGAAAAAAATCCAGATTCTTTGAAATATAATATTAGGGGTTGAAAATTGATGTAATTAACCTCGCTGTTGCACGCAAATGCGTCACGAATTTAAACATTAGACTAAAACAAACATTATTTTATAATTTATACTAAACGGTTTAGAATAATCCTTTAAAATTAATACATAACGACTAACAACTAATATCTGATTAATGGCTTATGTAAAAAAAAAAGCAAACACGTCATTGAAAAACAATGTAAATGATGTAACATCGATATTTATTATTTTTAAATGCTAACATATTGGTGTTAAGAACGGTATTACTGACGTATAGCAGAATGATGATGTATAAGTTAATATTCTGATCATTAAAAATGTGCGTTTTACTGTTTTAGGCGTAAAATTATGCGATGCTCTTAAATTTGTCTCAAAACATTTTTTAAACAAACATACATATCTGCATAATCATATTTTGACGGCTATAAATGACTGTGGCAAAGCTAATCAAATATTGTCTAATTTTTATTTAAAACTGCTTAGAATATTGACATTTTAAAAATACATTTGTACTTTTCAACAAAAAGAATTCTATATTATTGAATCTTTCCAAGAATTTTACTTTTGTTTGTGATGTACTATCATCATTCTCCGATTCATATTCTTACCATAATTAACTGGACGATTCTTCTCCATTGTTTAGTTTCGGTTCGCTGACACCCGTGACATCATCATGATGGTAATTGGTTTTATACTGGCAGCAGTCAATGGTGCTATGCACATTTTAAACATGGTCCTGTACGGTCAGTTTGTTGGCTCATTGGTTGAACAAGGATACTATGACAACGTCGCTAAGACTAATTATATAAACTTGACCTCCTCACACTCTAACGGGCACATGTAAGTTACCTTATCACAAATTTTTAATCCTACACTGCAAAAGTTAATTTTATTTTAATCTACAATGTCATCGATTGTTGTTTTTTTTTTACTTGCAATATAATTTTTCTCCTAGGTATGACAACCAAAGCTTCGTCGGTGCTAATGGGAGCCATATTGTAGCTAATGATAGTGCCTCTACTCGAGGTTCGCTATCAGACAATTTCAGAAAATTCGAAATTCTTTTCTTTCTAAGCCTTGGTAAGTCTGATACAAACCAAAAACCCCCAAAATTAGTTAACACTGCCTGGTTTATAAAACAAACTGTGTAGTCTATAGCAGTAAGTGTTTTTTCGACTGGTTAGAAATGTCAGAGGTCACAATTGTTTGAGATACGTGTGACCCCTGAGTTGCCCCACCCCTGGGCAGAAGACGTTTACTTCACTGCTGTAAGGCAAGATATTCTGTGATTAATCTATAGAACTGGATGTCCAATTGATCCCTCCCCATCCCTCTGCCCGTGTTTTAGCTCTGTCTGTGTGTGCCTGGGTGTGTGGAGCGACCAAGAAAATTTTGTTCACGGTCTCAGCCCAGCGCCAAGTGATCCGACTGAGGAAATCTTTTTTCTCCAACATCCTTGTCCAGGAGATTGCCTGGTTTGATGACCACAAGACGGGAGACTTGTCTGTTAGGATGACAGAGTAGGTGTTGTTACATAATTAATATATCAAATCTGGTTGGATGACAGAGTAGTTTCTTTTTTTTACACAATTGATATACCAAATCTGGTAGGACGACATAGAAGGTTTTGTTACACAATTAAAATACCAAATCAGAAGACCCACTGGTAGGATGACAGAGGAGGTTTAGTTGTACCAACAATCAATGTTGATTGTTTACGATAACTTGCCACCATAATATTTACTAAAACAAAGTAGCAAACAGCTTATACCCTCTTCCCCAGGGACGTGAACCTAATATACAGAGCTATAGAAACAAATCTACCCATGGCCTCACAATGGTTCTCCTGTAGTATTGTCAGCATAATCATCACTTTCACCTTCGGTTGGAAGCTGACATTGGTAGTTTTGTGTGCCTACCCCGTTATCATTGGTGGAGCAGCAGCAGCCAACTGGGTGAGTCATGTGACCAATTGGTTGAGGTATGTTTTCAATTGGGTGAGTTCTGTGGCCAATAGGGTGAGTTATGTGGTCAACAGGGTCAGTTATGTGGCCACATAACTGACTTGGAAGGATAAAATCAACATTCGGTTAGTAAATTATTATTAAAACTCTGTTATTTCCATCATCAGAGTATCGGTAAAACCACCATGAAGGAAAGAGAGGCTTACGCAAGGGCTGGGGCTGTGGCTGAACAAGCCATCTCCAACATAAGGACAGTCGTGGCTTTTGGTGGGGAGGAAAAAGAGGCCAAGAGGTTAGGCAACAAATACGTATATCTAGCGCTATATGTATACGTGTCTCGGGACAAATTTAGCAAACTAGTTGAACGAATATTCTTGACGTTTGACAAACAGTTGTAATATTCTGCTCTAGATATTATGAAAACCTAAAACATGCCCGAAAATTCGGAGTAGAAAGAGGAATAGCTAACGGTTTAGGACAAGGAATGCTATGGTGCAGTATATTTTTTGGCTATGCGCTGGGCTTCTATTACGGCGGTCAGCTGATCAGAAGCGGCGAGTACACAGTCAGCTCTACAGTTGTGGTGAGTTGTCTGTTGCTCAAACTCTTTCAATTTCAAGCTTTTCTTGACATGTTTCTTGAACATTGTATTTTTTTAAAGTTCAATATACGTTCTGGTTTTGAATATGGATGTTAGTTGAAAAGACAATTTATTGAGAGAACTTAAGTCCATATCACGACACAACAAGTTCTGCAACATGACAGAAGTTTAATGAATTCACTAATCGTTTTGGTGGTGAAAATCATTCCTATTTTTTAAACGTGTAGAAATGATGTTGAGGTACAAGATTACATCTAGGCTATCTGTTCCAGGTGTTCTTCTCCACCTTCATCAGTGCTGTGTATTTAGGTTATGCTATACCAGCAACAAACGGCATTTACGTTGCAATGGCTGCGGCAGTCAAGATTTATCGAGTTATTGATAAGGTGAGGTCGACTACATGTTAGTACATTATTAAATAAAGATATTATTAAGATATATATTATTATCTATTTGTGCTAAAAGACTTCATTTGGAAAAAAAAAACAATTTTAATTGTTATTTTTTATTTAAAAATTAGAACATCTTTATTTATACTCTATCTATCCTACGCAATTAATTTTAAATGTCTGCAGAAATCGTTGTGTGACAGCAGCTCAGCAGAAGGTGAAATGCCGACACAAGTAAATGGAGAAATTCTTTTCCAAAATATCTTTTTCTCATACCCATCAAGACCCGCTGTACAGGTACCACGATATCGTTCGCCCATTCATATTTTTAAAACTAATTTGAAAAATGTATGCTGACTTATTTTGCGATTTCTTTACTAAATTCTCCCTGGCGTTAAAAATCTTTTCAGAATATGCATATTCTTTATAATGCAAAAGAACAATAAAAATGTTTGAATAATTTAACTAAACAGGACGTAATCATATATTAATAAATTAATATATTATTAAATATAACTTATATTTATATACATACGTTTTAAATACGAAATAACTGGTTATAAAATAATTATCTTCAAACTCACTACGTAAAAAATACAGCTTTTATCTATATAATTAGTTAACTGTGGCTTAATGGTCTTTTGAAAATCAAATTAAAGAACAAGCAATGATATAAATTTTTGCTTTTGGAAACTCCGTAGGTGTTGCGTGGCATTGACCTCCATGCACTTAAAGGTCAAACAGTTGCTTTGGTTGGGGCTAGTGGCTCAGGAAAGTCTACAATCATACAGCTCTTGCTGAGGTTTTACAACCCGACAATTGGCAAGGTAAATACTTTAGGGCAATCACAATAGGGCTTGAAAGTAGGTCACCAACCAGTTCTATGGCTCATGCAGGTTTTATTGAGCCGTTGAACTGGTTGGTGACCTAATTACCAGCCCTACTGGTCCGTTAGACACTAATGTAACAACGTATCACACTGGTCAGGTAACGATCAATGTCACATCACAAAACAGTAAATATTTGTAAAGCACTAAAAATAGCTTTATTAAAATATTAGATTAAAATGTAGTTGAAATGTTTTTAACATAACATGATATAACAGATATTAATAGACGGCCATGACATTGAGAGCTTAAATCTCCGATGGATACGTCAGCACATTGGTCTAGTCAGCCAAGAACCGGTACTCTTTGCTACGACAATCGCCGAAAATATCCGGTACGGTCTGAGGGATGTTAGTATGGAAAAAATAATAGAAGTCAGCAAACAGGCCAACGCATACGACTTTATTATGGCACTTCCACAAGTAAGTCTTATCAATAATTATTTGTAAATATGTAAGCCCTGCTAGGTGGGGTGACTACACTATCTACCCTTCCTAGGCTTATCTAACTAATCTGGTCAGTCCAATCGTGGTGAAACCCACGGTGGTTAAATCTTATCCTTAACCTTAGTCTAAATAAAAACAAACAAACTTTAACAATTTACAGAATTTATTGCATGAAATAAAATGGAACCAATAAAAAAGAATGTAAATAAAAACAAGATCTACATCAATCCAGGCAAAACAACTAGACCAAAAACACACAAAACAAAACAGCACTTTAATTAACGTAACAAAGCCTGACTAAACAAAACACCCAATTTCGGACTACCGTCCAAGCTTAAAAGAAATAATTTCACAATGTTCGACTATTTGATGGTGCTGCACCGACTTATGATGTCCAGGATGGTCCAGGCTCTGACACACAGAAACCTCCCTTCATCCGTTCTCGACATCCCAAAGTCCACACCAAACAAAACACTACGTGCAACCACTACGTACAACCACTACGTCCAAAACATTACGTCCAAAACATTACGTACAAAACATTACGTACAAAACATTACGTACAAATCATTACGTACAAAACAATATATACAAAACACCCAGCCAAGTTGCACAAGCAACCTCACTTCACGCACGAGGTGCGTCACAGAGAGACTTACCCGACCTACATTCTTGCCTCGGGTCAAAAGAAAGACTCCGAGCGGTCAGTCGGCTTTTATACCCCCTCAGACGGAACGGGAAACCCCGTAAACGCTGCCCAGTGGACCATTCATGCACAGATTCGCACACAATAAAATAATACAAAATAAATCATCCATTCACCCGCTCACATATACGTACATATGTAATTTTTTCCTATTAAATAACAACTTTTATTTTTGAACTATCTTTTAGCAATTCGAGACGTATGTAGGCGAACATGGCGCCCAACTAAGTGGAGGACAGAAACAGAGAATCGCCATCGCCCGAGCTCTGGTCAAGGACCCAAAAATTCTTTTGCTGGACGAGGCGACCTCAGCACTGGACACTGAGAGTGAGGCCATCGTACAAGATGCTCTAGATAAGGTACGTCCATAGGTAATACATTCAAGATGGTAAGGTTAAAGTAAGGTAAAACATGCTAGATGCTAAAGATAAAAGTATATTAACGAGCATAAATGCTTAGGATGAAGAAAATAATCGATCTTAGATGGTTAGGTTAAAGTAAGACAATCTTTCTTACAATAATAGGTAAAAGTAAGTTAATCCATCCTAGATGGTTAGGTTAAAATTAACATAATCCATTTCATAAGATGCTCTAGTTAACGCAGCTTATAAACAGCTCTTGGGAATATAGGCAAAAATGTTCTCACTTGATTACTAAAAATAATTATTTGACTTCGTTAAATAACTGTTTGTTATAAATAGTTTTAAATGCGCCGATAATTATTTTCAAGGTCAGCAAAGGCCGAACAACGATAATCGTCGCTCATCGACTTTCGACCATTCGTAACGCTGACAAGATAGTGACGCTGTCCAAAGGTCGAGTGGTGGAGGTGGGCACCCACACGGAGCTGATGGACAAACGGGCAGTTTACTACAACCTCGTTTCTTCACAGGTCAGAACTCAATTATGAGGATGGTTTAATATTCAGAGATTATTCTTATTGCGGATTTTATAGCCAGAGCTTGCCATATAGAAGCTTAGTTCTGTGAGGAGTTAGGTTTTGGTTGCTCAAAATTCACATTTGTCGAACAAGAAATTGATGTCACCCTTCTTATTGTGTAGATGTGCATACAAGCTTTAAAGATTTATGGTCATAAGTAGTATTAATAAACAAACTTCAAAGTCACGCACAAGCAGAATTCTATTGACGAGCCGACCCGCGGCGTATCATACGCCGCTATTTAGTTGTTTTATTTTCTACTTTTCAGTAATTCATAATTTGTGAATTCGACAGTACCAATGCTGCCACTGAAAATATTTGCTTTTAAACACTAACCCCCCCTCCCCCTTTTCCCCTAACCCCGACCCTACACACCCCCCCCCCCCCCGTGAAAGCAGCCTCCTCTTAGTTACCTCCTGTAAGTTTAAAATCGTTTCAAACTAACTTATCTGCCCCTAATAGCCGTCACTAAACCCGGCTCTACGATTTGTAAACATTAAGCGTGACCACAACTCACCAGACCATGTGGGGGTGGGGTGGTAGTGATAGTGATAGTGATAGAGAGAAAGAGAGGGGACTGCAAGGAGGCGCTTGCAGCTTGTTTTCTAACGTCTCCCAGAAGAGAATTATATATATAGATTAACTGAAAAATTATACACATAGAAAAGTACAGTTGTCTTTTAAACACAATAACGCGGTCAGCGCAGTATCATTTGTTTATAGACTATGAAAAAGAATGTCACAAGTTTAGATTAAAGTGTAACATTTCCAATTCACACTACAGGGAGAGTAACTTAAAATGTATTATATTTTATTCACATGGCTGATAATATTAAATATTCTTTTGTCTCTGCTGCTTATCAGACGCAACAAAGTAAGTACCTGTACTCGTGTCATAGACTTTTTACAAACATTTAACTTTCTTCCTCTGTCTGTCTGTCATCCGTCATATATCAAAACTGCCGGGCGAAATTTCGCTCTTTTCTTATTACTTAGCACGTTGGTTAAGGACCGATGACAATGCAATCTGACATCAATTTGAATTAATTGGACGCCTAATTAATTTTTATCAAATTAAAATTTCCTATAGGCCTATAAAGTAATAATTACCGCGCTATTATATGCGCATTTTTCTTAATCGTTTTGAAGCGCAAGAGTGGTTTAGTCATGCATCTCTATTGTATTAAACATGTTAAATACTGAAAAAAAAACAACATAAAAAACGTTTAATAACAAGCTTGTTCAGAAGTTGCATAATAAAAAATTTGACTTGTATGTTAGCTTAGTGGTTAGAGATTTGGTACATATGAGTGTTTAAAAAATGCTTTTTATTTCCTCTACGATAAGTTTTAAAAAACATCACATTTTTTTGAACGGTTGGACGAGTAAATAGATTCTCTGTGTTAAACAAAAAATAAAGTTTCGCAATTAATATTTACAAAGAGTTAATTTTCTCTATAATTTACTTTTAAAATTCCCAAAAGTTCTATTACAAATCTTTGTATGATTTGTTTTAACAAATCTAGGAGTGGTTGTCTATGTGTATGTATAACAATATTTTGGGTAAATGTAGGTAAAGCAAATCCAATTTTACTGTTCAACTTGCGCGTTACTTTACCTCATACATCTCACAAAATTATTTTCTTATAAACATAAACATATTGATTTAATTATTTGAATTCATTTATCTCTCCATCTATTTAAACAATTGTCTGCGTAGTTAAAGCGTACTTTTTATATCAGAAAGATATTTTTTTAATATGACAACAATGTGTTGATGTTAAGTTTTTTTTTGTTACTGTTTAAGTTTAAAAGTGTAGAAAATTATTTTTGTTGCTGTTAAATCTGCCTCAAGTGAAACAGGCTGATGAATCAGTAGAGCGTGACCATTTAGACAATCAACCAGCTCAGCTTATCACTAAACAACTGTCTGTTGAAGTCACCAACATTTCACCTGGACAAAATGTATGTGTACTGCGTCTATCTGTGTTTGTAACTAGTAGTATAGAAACAGTCAATTTTAAAGGCTTTTATTTGACTCACTTTGTATTTGGCAAACCTTGGACTATTAGTTAAACCCAAATTGAGCTAAAATTTAGCATGATGGTAGATTTTGGATGACAATGCAAGAATGTCTAATTTTCAATCTAATTAGATAGACACAAAATCATTAAAATTTAATTTAAGAATGTAAAATTACCGTATTTCAATTGTATTTTTCACAAATCTTGGAGTATTAACATATTGCATCAGCCCGCGGCAGCGCGCGGGACGGGATCGCTAGTATATAGAAAAGCTTGGGCTGTGACGTATGGATAATATATTCCTTTTCATACGGAGCTCATTAAAAAGCTTACGTTCTATAACATATTATAAGACCTATGTTCAACTTTTATTTTAATCATACCAGCATACAGCTTTAGAAAGGGTACACCAAACTAATTTTACTTTTTACTCTTTAGTGCATTAAAAAAAAAAAAAATTTAAGTTTGTGAATAAAATAAAAGCCTTTTGGGGTCATCCATAAATGACGTCAAGCTTTTTTTGACGATTTTTACCTCCCCCCTCCCCTCCGTCAAACGTCGTCACAAAAAACCAGACCCCTCCCTAAAATGACGTCACACCTCAGCCTACAACCCCCCTCAAAATTGCAGTTGAATTTTTTTTTAAACAGCTATATTTTTCCTAATATTGTCTGAACTGTCAAAATAGAGTATTTTAATCAGTTGTTATTACAATTTATTAAAACAGTTTTCTAAAACGCAAAATAACGTCTAAAACTCGTTTTCTAACATTGCTTTTTTATAATGCAAAAGTGTGACGTCGCACCATCTGACCCCCCCCCTCCCCCTCATCACACACCGTCACAAAATTACGGACCCCCCCTCCCCCTACGAGTGTGACGTCATTTATTGACGACCCCTTTCCGAAATTTAAAAAAAAAAGTGAGATTCATTATTTTACTTAAAATATACAGTCTTATTTGTAAGAAAATATTTATAAAATACTTTTTTTTAGGCGATAGAAAACATTAACGGAAATAAACCCATGTCAACTACACACATGTTCTTACGTTTGATCAAACTTAACTCGCCTGAATGGATTTTCATCCTCATTGGAACACTGGCCAGTATCATCTTTGGGGCTGTGATGCCGCTTTGGTCAAACCTGTTTGCCCAGTTCTCTAAGGTTGTTACCATGTTGTGTGCCTACATGTTAAGACTGCAATAGAACAAATACTTAGGGTGCTGGCACTGTTTACGATAAAGATACCCAAGTTAATATGTTCAATTGTTATAGACTATACCGATCCTCTGTATCATAATTCGATTTTCTCTCAAGTTATTCCATCTTATGTGATTTTTTTCAATCATAATATTTGAAAACCATAATTAGATTACGTTAACGATGTATTTGCTTCACCACATTTTAGCTGTTATACGACGAATTTGATTTGCTTCAAGAGCTTTGACAACTCGTATAAATTTTGAATAATTTAATCACCTTTATCTTTGTACTTTAAATTTCATTGTTTCTTGGACTGATCTGTACATACATTTTAAACATGCTACATTGTCCAGATCTTGTCTTATCCCGACAAACGAGAGCAAGAGACTTCTATCAACACCTTATGTCTTCTGGTCGTCGGGTTGGCGATCCTGAACTTGAGCGGGAAATTTGTACAGGTGAGAAAAATTACATATTTTACATGTTAAACTTATAGGGAAATTATCGTTATTTGGTTTTAAATCATAAACTTATAATAGACATTTAATAGGCAAGACACAACTTGTTTTAAATCCCTTGATTTTTATCGGACAAGCTAAATTACTTGAAAGAAATTTAATGGACAAGATCAAAACCTTTTTTTTTTTACAAACCTTAAACGTTATAATGCAATTTACTCTAGAAAATTTAAAATAAGAATCCTATTTAAGGACATGTCATAATCAGGTGCGGAACTACGGTGCGGCCAGACCCCGCAATGCCGGGGGGGGGGCACGCCATTTAGGGGCCCACAGCCGACCAAAAAAAAAATTATATTAAAAACAAGTAATATTTTTCTTGCATTTTTACTTTCTCGATTAAACGAAGTATAGAGAAAGTCTTGTAATCGTGCAAAAAAAAAAATCGAGATTTTTACAAATAACGACGTTTTACATCTCGCTGATACGGAAAAACATAATTTTGCAATCTTGTCCGTATGTCTGTGTGTCTGTCTGTGTGTGTGTGTGTGTGTAAACACGATAACTTGAGTACCGTTACAGCTAGGTTGATGAAATTTCATATATAACTATTTTATCAAAATCGTAGATCCGTATCAACTTTTGTGCAATTTCCGATAACCAGAAGTGGTACTTTATCTACTTTGAAATTTTCAAAAGCTTATAAATTGAGTACTATTTCAGATAGATAAATGAAATTTAACATATAAGTAAAAGATCTAATTCCCTACCTTCTTTCAAATTTTGATTAATTTCCGTTGACCGGAAGTACTAATTTACGCCATTTCCGATTTCTCAAAAAAAACGCATGTAAATTTATAAAGTACTAATAATATTGCGCACTATTATGCACTTTTTTTATTTGGCGTTTACTTGGTGTGCAATTCTTTTGTCTACGATATTTTATTCTATTTTTAAAACTTTAAGTATTTAAAATGGATTAAAAATCATGTCTATAGCCCGAGTTCCCATCCCCTGTTATTTTACATAAGCATATTCGAGAAAGTTTAGGGGAGATCACTCCCGGTTTATTTACTTGATGGTTGTTTTGTAAAAAAAGATTACCGTAGCTTCTATAGACACCATCCCACGCTCTTGTATATTTTCCCATTTGTTTTTAAACCACTGTGAAAGCCGAGTCCTCTTTCTCCTACAATCAAACTTATCAAAGATAAGCAAACGTTCAAACCACTTCCATGACTTATTTCCCTTTTTTAAATAGTCAAATAAGGGTGCTCATAAGCTCCTTATAATAGATTTGTACTAAACAAATTAAAAAACAATTACCTCTCTTAATTATTATTTTTTGTAAAGTACTTACTAATGAATGACATTGTATAAAAAGGAAATATATTTAAAATTAATAATATAAATTCGAAAAAACATAAAAATAAACATAACACGAGACACCATTACTTATATACAAAGCTCTCATATTTTATATTCTTTTGACCAACTAGAGGTTAAAAAGTCTTACAGCCGCGATAATATTAACCTGATGTACACAAAACACACTAATGCACTTACATACATGATGTTGTAACTTGTTTTAATTGAAAAAAAAAACATTTTTTTTCAAAACCCGAACAGGCCAGAAATGAATATCCTATGTTCGTATGTCGTGTATATATATATATATATATATATATATATATATATATATATATATATATATATATATATATATATATATATATATATATATATATATATATATATATAAGGTATGTATATGTATATATATATATATATGTATATATATATATATATATATATATATATATATATATATATATATATATATATATATATATATATATATATATATATATATATATATATATATATATATGGGGGCCTAAAAAAATTTTTTTGCGGGGTGGCGTATTTTTTCTAGTTCCGCCACTGGCCATAATACTATAAACCACACAGGAAATGTAATAAATTAAAGGATATTAGATTCATTTACCAAAAGTTAATTTCTGTCTACAGAGTTTGTTGGAAATGTTAACTAATTGTAGCTAATCGTAAAATATCGTTTATGCCTTGCTTCAGCGTAAGTTCTCTGAGGCTAGTTTTAGAAGTTTGATTTATGACCGTTAAATAAAATTAAACGCTAGTAGAAAATATGCACTAATCTTGATTTGGCAGGACTGGATGTTTGCTGTTTCAGGGGAATCTCTAACAACTCGTTTAAGGGACATTCTATTCCGGTCATCTCTTCGACAGGTATATTTTAAATTATAACTTATTAATGCATAAAAACTCTTCTGGGATGTTATAGTTTTGATCTGATTAAAGCACTGGTATCGTCAGTGGATTGGGCATTGGGGTACATGAAAGTTATAAGTTGCAAAAATCAGTATTTCTCTCTGTATATCAAAAGAAATAATGTAGCTATTAAATAAGAACTAATTTCTCCTAGTATTGATAAAACATCAGATGCTTTAGAGTTAATTTTTAAAAACAATAATGCAAATTTAAATGTTGTTAATTAAAAAAAAAGAAAATGAGTTGGTTTGACGACCCGAGGAACGCTATTGGTGTGCTGACAACAAGACTAGCAACAGAAGCTTCCAGAGTGCAAGAGGTAATGACATTAGTGGCTTTTAGAGTAATTTTAGTAGTCATGACTTTTGTCTAAACACGTAGGTTAAAGAACCTCACCAGCTAAATTAGTGATTAAATGCATTTAATGGATTAAATTAAATTTAAATAAATTTAAATAACTTATGTGGCAGACTTTCACCTCCGCCATGGGTCTGACCATCAACTCAGTGTCCTTGATCGTGATTGCCCTGGGGTTCGCCTTCTACTTCTCCTGGAAGATGGCGTTGATTATAGTGGCATTCGCACCTATCGTCATTTTTAGGTATTCTAAGTAATTTTTTTTCGTTTTTAATTAAATAACCATAATTGACCCTAATTGAATTTTTCTTCTGTTATTCCAAACCTACCACCTTAAATTATTATTATTAAAATTAGTATAATGTAAACAAATAATACAGACACATTTATTTAAAATGTTTTTACTATGTACTAATGAAAGTAATTAAGTGAGCACTCAATGATTCTAACAACAACGAATCATCTTAATTAGTCTTTTATTTAAAGACCAAAAAAGAGGGCCCTGAGATAATTTCTCACCTCGCCAGTTTTTTGAGTGATATTAGGTTCTTAACTCAAATTTTTACAATAAATATAATTGGCGGAATGAAATTATTTGTTTCACAGTGGGTGGGGACAAATGGTTTTAACCAGTCGCATCACAGACAAGACCAAGAAAGCTTTGGAAGAGGCTGTGGCGGTAAGTAACATGTAGTGGATATCATTGTACTTTCGTTAACTTAGCTTTGGTTAGACTTACACACAATGGTGATAAGTACGCGAGGTAGGTTAGTGTTTTATTCAGAAGCGTTTCCAGGTTTGCAGGTTAGGGGGAGCAAAAATATTTTTTTAAAAAGACGCCGGATTTCAATATATAATAAAAAATTTCAGATAGTGTGTCATTCTTTCCGTCAGTAATCGATATAGCATCTTTGTCTTCGCCTGCGTGGTGCACATTACGCGTTTCATGCTGTCGAAGATGTCTCCAGTTTGGCCCATTTGCATGATGTTTATTGGCAATCTGAAATACCTTTCAATGTGTCATTCTGAATATTTTTCTGTAATGGTTTTCTTTCCATTTGATAATCTCTTAAATAAATAATTCTAAGCACTGCTGTTGATTTTCTATTTAGTTTAGGCTACATCCATAATCATAGAATCATGACAAAAAAGCGTACGTTATCTTAATAAATTTTAGAAATTTCTATCTATTTATTATTGTTTTAAAGAACTAACCGTTAAACTACTATGTTTAAGCTACTACATTAAAATGTCTATTTCTCCAGCATGCCGTCCAAACCCTCTCTAACGTTCGGACTGTGGCCGCCCTGACACTGGAACAGAAATTCTATCAGATGTTCGTCAATAAGCTGGAGAAGTCGCCACACACGTTTAGTTCAGACGTCATCGGCAGTGGCGTTCTGTACGGATTCTTTCTGGCACTGCCGTATTTCTCCTTCTCTGTGATGTTTGCGTGTGGGTACCTTCTAGTCCGGACGGGGGAGTTGCCGTTTTATGATATGATACGGTAACCTTTTTTGTTTTGTTTCTTTGTTTACAACTAACGTACCGGTCCCGCGCGTTGCTGCGGTCTCTGAAGAACGGATGGTTATTAAGACGCGCCAGATTGGATGTAGTGAACGATTATAATAGCCTCTTGTATCCAAAGTGTATGGTACTTTTTAAAACGAACGTAGGCGCCATAGAGCTAACGTGGAGTCAGGGGTGCAAAGTTCATGTCGATCGCATGAAAGGTGTAGTAAAGCATAAGGGACACATATAGGACGGGGGTGCGAAATTGAAATTCGACACTGGCCTCTGAATTATTTTACCCTGGCTGTTTTAAAATCAAGTTGACATTGTTCTTTGTTTTTCAGAGTTTTTTCGTTTGTGACTGTATCTGTGGTCACCCTAACACGGATCGTGGTCCAGATACCGGACACCACACTCGCCAAGCAGGCGGCCAAGACCATTTTCGAAGCGGTGGACAGCACTCCTAGCGTGGCGGACAGTCAAGGGGGATCTGTGAAACTTGACGGGGTTTGTTTTCTGTTGTGGTTATATTTCCTTGTCTAGCAGCTAACGTTCAATATTTTTGTGTTTATAATGTTAAATGAAAAGTTGTTTTTTTTTCTTCATGGTGGAGGAGAAAACATTAGGAACTTTAGAGGGGGGGGGGGGGGTTGGTTTTGACCCTGAAATATTCGAGTTTTAAAAATGTTTTAATCTCATGTCACTCCCGCTGGAAATTGTAATAAAACAAATATAAAAAAACTTTTTAGCAACAAGCTCTAAAATGCACCGAAATGCTAAAATATGTAAAAGATCTCATGAGTGATTAAAGCTTTTATTTAAAAAATGCAAATTACCTTAATTTTCTTATTTTCAGTACATTTAAAACACTTGTTGCCATAAAGGTTTTTAAATTTGTTTTATTTTCTACTTTTTGTTTTGTGATTCCTAACTTATGATGTCGGCACGGAACACAGAAAATTCAATAATGCCTTATTTGAATTTTGGGCCCCCACCGCCCCCCCCCCCCCTCCGATCCCCTACCCTATTGCAGTTTTTTGGCACTACACTATTTGTTTTCCACTTACAATATATTTAATATTTTCTTTTAAAAGGATTCGTTTAAAAGTTCCATTCAGTTTAATGGTATACGATTCCATTACCCCATGCGAAAAGAAGTTCAGGTATTAAATGGCCTTGACCTAGAAGTTCGTCCCGGACAAACGCTGGCGTTGGTGGGTGGAAGCGGATGTGGAAAGAGCACCATAGTGCAACTAATAGAAAGATTTTATGACGCCCAGGAGGGCAGCATTGTAAGTAGCGACTTTGTAGCGTTAGTGTGTAGTGTCGCCAAGTAGCTTCAGAGTGCAACAATTGTAAGCAGCGTCAGCGTGGAGTTTCTTTAACAGGGTCGCTGCTCATTGCTGCAAGTAGCACAAGGCGTCAGTATTGTAGCGTCATTGGCCACACTGTGGTTTCAAGTGATATGATTATAAGTTTAGTAAGCAAAGTAAAGACACACGTTATTGCATTAGAATATTTAAACAGAAATGCTAGAAATATTTAATTTGGTTTATTGAAAAAAATTAGCTTTTGGATAATCACAACATCCTTGACCTTAACGTTCAATGGCTGCGTATGCAAATCGGCCTGGTGTCACAAGAACCAGTCCTGTTCGACAGAAGTCTGGCTGAGAACATCGCTTACGGGGACAACACGAGGGACGTGGGCATGGAGGAGATCATAGAGGCAGCTCGGACAGCTAACATACACACGTTTATACAGTCTCTGCCCTCAGTAAGTTTATACAGTCTCTGCTCTCGGTGAGTTTATACAGTCTCTGCCCTCGGTGAGTTTATACAGTCTCTGCCCTCGGTGAGTTTATACAGTCTCTGCCCTCGGTGAGTTTATACAGTCTCTGCCCTCGGTGAGTTTATGCAGTCTCTGCCCTCAGTAAGTTTATACAGTCTCTGCCCTCGGTGAGTTTATACAGTCTCTGCCCTCAGTAAGTTTATACAGTTTCTGCTCTCGGTGAGTTTATACAGTCTCTGCCCTCGGTGAGTTTATACAGTCTCTGCTCTCGGTGAGTTTATACAGTCTCTGCCCTCGGTGAGTTTATACAGTCTCTGCCCTCGGTGAGTTTATGCAGTCTCTACTATCACTTTCTCCCATCGGTAAGTCTAGGGTTGCACAATCATTTACAAAACTATGCTATAATTAAATAAAATAATCACAATAGTAGATCTAAATCCTAGAGTGTGACTTGGTCTTGCATACACGGACATGGGTAAGGAAATATTTACATACCAAAAGTAAAACTAAATATTAGCGATTGTAAACAGAAAACTCCTGTAAGTCTTTTAAATGTTTAAAACTCAACTCCAGGGCTACGATACAAATGTGGGGAATAAAGGAACACAATTAAGTGGAGGACAAAAACAAAGGGTGGCAATCGCGAGAACTCTGCTGAGAAATCCAAAGATTCTTCTACTAGACGAGGCCACGTCAGCTTTGGATACTGAGAGTGAGAAGGTGAGTACTCTTTTTCATACAAAAACTCACCTTAATAAGTTGTGCATGTGTGTTTTGTTTCCAATATATTATTTAACTATTTGCTGTTGCAAATACGCAATTAGATGCAATCAAAATACCCCTCCCCCCCCCCCCCCCCCGACTGGTGGTAAAGTAAATCTGTGAAGGAAAGCTAGGTACTCCATTGAACGCTTGAACGGTACTTGTTCTACATATAATGGTAGTTTTGTAAATGTTAATATAGGAGTATTTCCAGGTTTTTGAACATGGCTATTTTTAAACTGTGAAAATGACCAAATTAAATGACAAATATGACCAGGTGGTGTTGGAAGCGTTGGACAAGGCCAGGGAAGGTCGCACGTGCATCACCATAGCCCACAGGCTGAGTACCATCAGAAACGCAGATCGCATCGCAGTATTAAAGAAAGGCGTGATCCAGGAGTTGGGCACACACGAGCAGTTGATGGCAAGTCGTGGGGCGCTGTATCGTATGATGAAAGCCCAGAGCAAGAGATCTTGTGATGACAAGGTTTAGATCTCGCACAAGATAAACTTATCCAGATATTCTTTGGATAACTTTACGATATATACACATGACATATAAACACATGACACTTGACCTAATGTTTTTTCAAGTGAAGTCGCGAATTGTTATATTGTTTGGCATTATATAAACATTGAATTCAAGCTATCGTTGACCTCATTTTCTTGGGTATATTTGAAAATTAAAAATAAATATTTAATTATAGTCTATATGGCTTCGGTACTGTGTATTCTTCAAATAAGACACATCTTTCTTATAAAAAGTAAATAGAAAAACAGAATTGTTTTTATCCTTTGTGACATAATTTTGGAAAACCCGTTGTGCGTTTTTGTACACAGTGTGTCGCATCCGAGAAGTATCAATAACAGGTAATTTTAACTTTCTCGTATACTGAATATAGAGGAAGTATTGTAATCGTACACAAAAATCACCTGAAATTAGGACAGTTTTCACCGTTTTATCACATACGGAATATAGGGGACTTATTTTAATCGTGCAAAAATTATAAATGCAGATTAATCAAAATGTCAGCGTTTCATGCGTATTCAAGTCGGAAAAACTGGGCTTTGCAATTATGTCCGTATGTCTGTGTGTGTCTATATCAAATTAGTAGTTCTGTATCAGCTTTTCGGCGATTTCCGATAACTGGAACTGGGACTTATATTACTTTTAATTTTCTAAAAGACTTTAACTTGAGTACCAAAACAGATAAATTAACTAAATTTCATATATAAGTAAAAGATCTGATTCTCTGCCTTCTATCAAATTATGAGTAATTTCCGTTGGCAGGAAGTAGTAATTTACGATATTTCCAATTTCACAACAACAACAAAAAAAATTAATTTATTAAGTACTAATAATATTCCGTACTATTATACACATATTGTTCGCTATTCAATTTTTTTTACAAGATTCTATTCTATTTTAAAAAGTTTCAGTATGTAAAAAATTATTAAAAATCACGTTTATATCCAGAGTTGCCATTCTCTTAGTGTTATAAAAGAATATTCAAGAAACGTTTGGCGAGAGAAATCACGCTTTATTTAAAAAACATTCTTGGTGATTTAAAAATTTCGGAAGGTAAACTGGGCAACTGAAAACTGCGCAAACAGAAAAATCCGCAAATACAAACTAATTATACTGATACACTTTAATTTTGTCATTTTTCATGGAAATATATTTTATTATTCTACAATACATATATTCATTCTTTTTTCATTTTTATAAATTCTTGATATTTTAAAACAAAAATGCCCTTGCGCAGTTTTTCGTGCGCAGTTTTGGGTTGCGGAGTTTTCTGTTGCGCATCTTTCCGGTCACTGTAACTGCGATATCTTACTATCTAGCACAATGGTTCTCATCCTTTTTTGGAGGTACCGAACCGCACCAGGTTTATATCAGCATCAACCTAACTCTTCTCAATAAGAAAAATAAAATATGCCTTTTTTTACTTTCTCGTATATACGAAGTATAGAGAAAGTCTTGTAATCGTGCAAAAAAAAAAAATCGAGATTTTTACAAATCTCGACGTTTTACACCTCACTGATACGGAAAAACGTAATTTTGCAATCTTGTCCGTATGTCTGTGTGTCTGTCTGTGTGTCTGTCTGTCTGTCTGTCTGTCTGTCCGTGTGTAAACACGATAACTTGAGTACCGTTACAGCTAGGTTGATGAAATTTCATATATAAGTATTTTATCAAAATCGTAGATCCGTATCAACTTTTGAGTGATTTCCGATAACCGGAAGTGGTACTTTTTCTACTTTGAATTTTTTCAAAAGCCAATAACTTGAGTACTATTTCAGATAGATAAATGAAATTTCACATGTAAGTAAAAGATCTAATTCTCTACCTTCTGTTACATTTTGAGTAATTTCCGTTGACTGGAAGTAGTACTTTACGCTACTTCCGATTTCTCAAAAAACTAATGTAAATTTTAAAAGTACTAATAATATTGCGCACTATTATGCGCTTTTTTTATTTGGCGTTCACTTGGTGTGCAATTAATTTGTCTACGAGATTTTATTCTATTTTTAAAACTTTAAGTATTTAAAAAAATTCATAAAAAACGTTTTAATAACAAGCTTTTATGTAATGATGCACTAAAAAGTAGAAAATAAATTATAGACTACTATTTAAATAACTATAAAGAAAAGCGTGGGTCACTTTAGTATCTATTGGATACCTTTACAAATGTTAAGGAAGACACCCACGCTTTTCTTTATAGTTATTTAAATAGTAGTCTATAATTTATTTTCTACTTTTTAGTGCATCATTACATAAAAGCTTGTTATTAAAACGTTTTTTATGAATTTTTTTTTCAGTACTTTACATGTTTTATCTACAATAGAGTTACATGACTAAAAACCATTGCGCGCCTACTGAATATCACGTTCAGCAGGCGCACAATGGTTTTTGAACGCAGCCATTACGTGGTCGTGATGGCGCAGCTATTGATGACGCGTGTGGTGTGGTTGGCTAGACATGCCTACTAATTCGGTCCAAATTTTAATTAATTCATAAAAAATCAATTAGGCATCCAATTAAGTCAAATTTAGTTTCAGATTGCATTGTCTTCATGTCTTGACCCACGTGCCAACTGTGAATCGTGTCGGTCAAGTAGAACTGTCCGAAGTTTCACTCCTGCGTTTCCGTCTAGACAGACTGACGACAGACTGACGACAGACTGACGAGGAAGTGAGTTAAATAAAAGCTTGTAAAAAATTCATAAAAAACGTTTTAATAACAAGCTTTTATGTAACATTGCACTAAAAAGTAGAAAATAAATTATAGACTACTATTTAAATAACTATAAAGAAAAGCGTGGGTCACTTTAGTATCTATTGGATACCTTTACTAATGTTAAGGAAGACACCCACGCTTTTCTTTATAGTTATTTAAATAGTAGTCTATAATTTATTTTCTACTTTTTAGTGCAATGTTACATAAAAGCTTGTTATTAAAACGTTTTTTATGAATTTTTTTTCAGTACTTTACATGTTTTATTTACAATAGAGTTACATGACTAAAAACCATTGCGCGCCTACTGAACATCACGTTCAGTAGGCGCGCAATGGTTTTTGAACGCAGCCATTACGTGATGGCGCAGCTATTGAAGGTGATGACGCGTGTGGTGTGGTTGGCTAGACATGCCTACTAATTCGGTCCAAATTTTAATTAATTAATAAAAAATTAATTAGGCATCCAATTAAGTCAAATTTAGTTTCAGATTGCATTGTCTTCATGTCTTGACCCACGTGCCAAATGTGAATCGTGTCGGTCAAGTAGAACTGTCCGAATTTTCACTCCTGCGTTTCTATCTAGACTGACGACAGACTGTCGACAGACAGAGGAAGTGAGTTAAATAAAAGCTTGTAAAAATGGATTAAAAATCATGTCTATAGCCCGAGTTCCCATCCCCTGTTATTTTATATAAGAATATTCGAGAAAGTTTAGGGGAGATCACTCCCGGTTTATTCAAGTTTAAAAACATATAAGCCTATAGATTTTACTGGTGCACAAAGTGAAGCGTACAACATCACCGTGTTCAAAGAACAAAATCATTAAAATTGATAAAAATCGATGTGAATTCTGTTGTTGCCTTTCAGTTTCAAATTTTAGGTGTCATAAAACTAATTTAAAGCTAAATGCTATTTTCTTAAAAACATTATTATTTATTTTGGAACATAATATATAATAAATAATTGTTTATTAAAAAAAATTAAAATGGACATGGGTTTCGAAAATGTGGAGGCTTTGTATTGATCTTATTTGATTTTTTTCACGCAATACTTCTATATCTGTAAGAAATATTCATACCTTTTTTTTTCATTAAATTACCCTCATTTAGATTCTAACTAGACTTACCCGTCATCCCTTGGATAACTGTGGGTTTCGGGGGTCATCCATAAAAAAAACATCACGTCTGTCACTTATCGCCACAAAAAACCAGACCCCACATTAAAAAAGACGTTTATTTTTATTTTTTAAAAACACCGATTTCAGCTGAGCATTGGTCTGACCACACTATCCCTTCATATACTGACGTCACAGGTGAATTACTCAACTTTACTTTACCTGCCTTGTATCCCGCCAAATTCAGATAGGCAACTTTATCATTCACATCTTTAAAAAAAAATTGAAATGTTTTTTTTTAACATTGACGTGATGTGTCTAGAACCCGTGTCACCCGCATGAAAGCCTATTTCACTAACAACTATTTAGACTCGTGACGTCACTGATGTTTTTTATGGTAGGCCCTATAGTTTAATACTTTGAGTCTCCTTATGCAACTTGATTTACGCGCATAGGCCCTTTCTAGATCTAGAATAATCTAGATCTAAGTCTAGCAACTTTCAAATTAAATTTTATCTTAAATTAGCCAATCCCATAGCTAAACAAACAAAGATGTATATAAAATAATGAAGGTCTGAAATAGTTTATATAGAAATTCATTATTATCTAGATCTAGATAGAATTATCTAGATTCTACGACTCGTTTGCTTAAGTCTAGTTTTTGCGTAACTCTTGCTAGATCTATATTAGACCTATTCTAATCAACTGTTTAAGGACTAAAGTAGTTTTATAAAGAAACTCAAAAATATATTATGATTTTGAAATGGATTGTAGTTTTAACTAATTAATCTTTGGTTTGACCTAGATTCTAGATCTATAAATAACTTTCTTGGACAGGTTGTAGAGCTAGTGAAATTTATTGTAAAACTAAATGAAAAAGACAGTTGAAAATTTATATAAGTGTTGGAACTTAATAAAAACAGCAAATTGACGTATTGTTAAAGTTATAGCCGACAGAAAATAAGCTTTATAATGCGTTAAAGATCTGAATAAGCAACGAAATCTTGTATTGGAGCCGCCATTTATTGTACTAAAAAGTAAACAAATCATGTGACGTCACTATTCACTCAAAGTAAAGTCGTTTTTCTAAACTTTTAAAATTAATGTGGTTAATCTGCCAATGAATAAATCAATAAATTAATTAACGTCTTTAAATAAATTTGTGATTAACAGTCTGTCTGAAAACAAAAATTGTTCTCTACCTACATACTATTTTACAGCTCTACACATAGTGCAGATTCGCCCCAGTAGCCAATCAGACAAACAAATAAATATTCAAACATGTAAACAAACTTGAGTTTTAGTAGTATTTAGATTTGAAATCTTAAAAACCTATGATTTTAAACTTAGAAAAAGAAATATACTAGATGTAGATCTAGATTGGATAAATAACAAAAACGTGCAGTTAAAGCTCAAGCTACAGAGAATATGAGCTTGTTGAACGGCAAAAGATTGATCAAATTTACAAGTGCAAATATATGATTCACTTGATTAAAATATGAATATTTTTATCCTAAAGGAGTTATAACTAAATTATCAACTATTCCTATCTAGATTGGTCTTTACACATCACATTATTGAAAATAATAATTGAAACAAAATATGTTTAACTTGTATATGTGAGCGGCTGGAGGGCTTACATATAGTATTTTCACCAGGCAAACAACCTAACCCCCTTAACGTTAAAATGCTATTACTATATCACACACTAATTAAATATTTAAAAAAAAAACGTATGTGCATTATATTACCCGTAGGAGCGCTTTGTATATTACATATTGCTTGTTGGATGAAACAGTTTCAGATGTACTAATTACGTGTATATTATTTTTAAAAGAGATAAAAATTACTTTTTTTAATGATATTCATCAATATCAACACATTTATTCTGAATTCGTAGAAGCAAATAGCTACATAATTTTGAAAAATGAAACTGTTTAATATAGTGAGTTATGTAGTGTGCATGTAAGTGCACTAGTATCTCCTTTGAGTACTATTGCTTCAACATTCGTTTTAAAGATCGCTCAACACTAGGTAAATAGTGGGTTACTACAATCGATGACGAAAACTAATCAGCGGCGGCACACGACGCCCGCACTGCACTGAAACTACCTGCTTATCCTCTATTCATTGCTATACCATTAATTATTAATGTAATCAACATGGAGTTTTAGGTAGTGGATGAGAAAATTCCCACGAATGTTTCTGACTATAAACAGTATTTAAACTATCCGGCGATAGTGTCCGATTGAACATTCCAAGTTCCACAGCGGCAAACTTAACGCCTGCGAGTCTGCTGACTAGGTGTCATGCACAGGAGGTCTAGAATAATACTCATCTTCTTCTTCTTCTTCTTTGTTCTTAATTATTAGTGTTGAAGGGGATCGAGAATTATCTGCCAGTGCGTTTGAACTCGAGACTTTGTTCAAATGTATCAACCATGAGCTTTTTGCCGACTCGACCACGCCTCCAACACAATTAAGCGTTACGTGTCAACTGGTTATGCGCCATTGAGGCCATTGACTCCGATTTCAGCCTGCTTTTCTTTTTGGAGTTGCTTCCATAGCCTTTGTCCAACCAAGAACAAACTACAAGGCAGCAGTTGTTTAATTTTGGAGTTGTCTCTCCTAGAAGAGTGGCTGTCCCCAGCTAACGAGCCTCATCTGCCCGAGGGTTCGAACTCGAGACTTTTCGGTTTAGCAACCATGAGCTTTACCGACTCGACCACGCCGACCCCAATAATACTCAAATCAACGGTGAAACGGAACCAGGTCCGTTCTCCGGTACAACGGTGGTTCTGTGACCCAGAGCGCCATGTATCCATAATCCACTATCGTATAAAAGAGTGTCCTATACTAGGGATACTGTGGGCTTCTTCTTTCTATGACTAATTCTAACCGGGGGTGGCACTTGCAGCCACTGAGGTCATGTAGATAGTTGCTCTAAAGAGCGGCCGGGGAGTGTTCTATGTCACCCTTACAGTACATCTTTCGGTCAACCCTTACGTGCTTGCCGAGGGCTAAAATCGGACCGTGATTGAAATGCTCCTTATTTAAGCTATATATATATATATATATATATATATATATATATATATATATATATATATATATATATATATATATATATATATATATATATATATATACATATACATATATACATATACATATATACATATATATATATATATATATATATATATATATATATATATATATATATATATATATATATATATATATATATATATATATATATATATATATATATATATATATATCAGTGGCGTAGCGAGGTCGGGTGTCACCCGGTGCGGCACTTAATGTTGTCACCCCCCCCCAGCCCCCCCCCCCCCTCACACTTTCGATTTGCACCCCCCCCCCCCTCAAATTTTCGATTTTCCCTATATATTTTGCTATTTTTTGCCTTGGTGTCACCCCCCTAAATGGTGTCACCCGGTGCGGTCCGCACCCCCCGCCCCCCCCCTCGCTACGCCCCTGATATATATATATATATATATATATATATATATATATATATATATATATATATATATATATATATATATATATATCAAAAACCTTCCGCACGTCAAAACAGAAAAAAAAGAGCAAACATTATTTTTTAAAAATCCCACAACTCCCCAGTCATAAAATTAGTTGGCTTAAATTAAAAATTGTAAATTAGTTTGCCGATGAGGGGCCATATTTGTTGATTGTGTGGTCTGAGCCTAAATCGTGTGGTTGAAATGGATTCAACATTAATTACACGATATGTTTTAGGAGTCGCCCATCAATAGCGTCACAATCGTAATGGGTGGGGAGTTGGGGGGGGGGGGGGTTAGGTAGTGTGACGTCACATTAAACAAATAATGTTAAAAACTTAATTTTAGCCGTAATTTAGCAGTTTTTTGAAAACTATTTTTGTAAATTGCAATAGAAGATTATTAATATGATCTATTATAATTGAGCTCAGTCAATATTTCTGAAAGGAATCGATTTTTAAAAATAATTAAACTGCAATTTTGAAGAGGGAGTTGAAGGCTGAGATGTGACGTCATTTTAGGAGGGGGGAGGGGGCTGGCTTTTTGTGACTGTTGACGGAGGGGAGAGTAGAGGAAAAATCTTCAAAAGTGTGACGCCATTGAACTCCACACTCTTATGTATGGAATTGCTGTGTGTTATACCAAAACTCAGCAACATTTGAGTACAGCCAACCTATGTGGAATAAGTTCTAGGGAGTAAGTTCTGAAAACTGAGAGAGAGAGAGAGAGAGAGAGAGAGAGAGAGAGAGAGAGAGAGCCCAGAGTTTAGTTATGGTCGGCTGCTTGCTATAGTTGTTATTTATTAATATTAACTTGGATTGTCCTATTTACTATTTTTAACTATTTAGTATAGCTAGGCTACTTTTAATTTTTTGCAAGTTGATTTTGACAAAAAACATTGCTTTCAATTTTAGCAAATGCGAACATAATTATTATAGATCTAGTTACATATCATAGTTTAGTTTACAACAAATTAAAAAGAAAAAGACAACATATTGAATATTATGATCCCAGTTCATGGACCAATATAAAGTGGACTAATATTCTAACCCCATTCATTGGAAATGGTGATGGTGTCCCCTAGTTAAAATGGCGACCTCCACCAATTTCATGTGGACTTTCTGATCGAAGTCTGAGTGGTTAGATTTTAATTTTGTGTGGGTGAATACCGATCGAAAACATGGTAATGTTACTTTAAAATGTGTTTCTTAGTGTGTTACGCTTTGTCGCTTAAGTAGACTGATTCTACAATATTTATCTAGATCTAGAATCTAGTCTGTAACACTGGTAACAGTAACAGCAATAAAATTGCAAGACAGTGAAAGACAGTCTCAGCTCAGAGTCTCAGACTGAGTCTGAGTCCTGAGTCAGTACGTACAGTAAAAGTACAGTTGAATACTCTCTAGTGAAGTCTCTAGTCTACATACAGTCTATACTCTACACTCTACACTCTACTAGATCTAGTATTACTCTAGAAAACGGCATTTTTAAAATGAAAATAAATAAATTATTTATTAGGCCTAGGCCTAGTACTAGTAGAGTAGCAGATGATGTTGGGGTAATCTATCGTTTTAGTTTTAGGTACGTAAAATCGCCCGCGACTTGTAATGTGAAAAACAGGTGACTCCTTAAATTTTAATAATTATTTCACATTTTGAAGAGGATTTATGATTTTTAAAATACAAACATGTTCCTTGTTTCATTTTTGTACCTGTTTTTAAACAATTGAATTAAAACTTTTCCGTAATAAATGAAGACTAGCGATGTTTCCAACAGATGCAACCATGCTCATTTACTATAGCAGCCATTTTATTTAAGTTTTATTTTTATAAGCTTATAGCGCGAGATTCAGGGGGAAGCCACTCTATTTTACAAATGGCTGCTGTTTATATAGTAATATATAGCAAATCTTGCTCTCAGACACTGCTGTTTAAAGTTAATTTCTGGCCCATATCGATATATTTAGCCATTGATTTAGGTTTATTATTCATTTATCTATAGTATTTGACACAAACATATGACAAATACTTCTATTAAAGCCTTGACAATGAGGTAACGTTTTCATACATTAATAGCCGCGGGCGATTTTACGTACCCAAAACGATAGATTACCGTTGTTGGCATGTATACTAGATCTAGCCATGTTTAAAAAATAAAACGAAAACGTCATAAGCTTTCAAAGGTAAAACTCCATTTTAGCGTATTTTATTCCCCGCTTCACGTTCACCTCCAGTTGAGCGTATTTTTTTATAAACACAACCAAAACGCACAAAAACGTTAGGCAATCACTCTGCCTATTTGGAATATTCAATTTGTACTATTTAAATGTAGATCTAGATTCTAGAAGAAACTCTGCATGATACTATAAATTAAATTACTTGAACTCATAATGACCTTAAGCTATGACGTATGCTGATTATTAAAGTCAATGTGAACTCACGGTGAACCCTTTACCATGTATTGTATTGCAATGTACTGTAGGGATTTTAATCCTAGTGTTTTCCTAATGTTTTTGTGTGTTTTGGTTTTATAATGAAATACGCTTAACCGGAGGTGAGCGTGAAGCTGCGAATAAAATACACTAAAATGCAGTTTTACCGCTTTCAAACATCTATTTTTAGCCACATTCTAGTTTTAAGAACCTGCGTTGTTTATGAATTAATTTTTTTTCATTTGCCTATTTATTTAATATTTTTATTTAGGCCTAATAATCTAATATTTTCATTAAGAAAGTGACTTTAACTTTTCTTTGGACATCTAGTCTACTAATATGCTGCTTGCAAGATAAATATTGAATAACTTAATAAACTATAATGAGGTCAAAAGTACACTACCTGACTATTCTTAATTAACCAAACTTAGTAGTTTACTACAGTTATTAAAATTAAAATTGACGATGTTTTTGCAATCTTTAGTTTAGTTTTACCTCTCTTCGCTACCAGCTAGACTTTTAGACCTAATGAAAATATAACTAGTTGCCAATTATCTTACCGTAACCTTAGGCAGTGAGATGGATATAAATAAGCAACCCTGGCAGTTAATTGTTAATCTAGATCTAGATTATAATGACATCTACCAGGCAGGCCTTCAGCATTGATTTGGTGACTTTCATCACATTACATTATTATTAACATGATCCAGAGAATTTTAGTGTACTAAAAGCTTTGTAAAAGCCTAGGCCTATTAAAATTTGAAATACAAAACAGCATTTAATATTGATAGATCTTCTAATTTCTAGTATTGAAGGATGAGAAAATAAAAAAAAAAGGGAGTTGTTTTTGTTTTCTACTGTTGACGATTTCACCCCTCAAATTTCACGTTAACAGGCCTAAACACTTTATTTTCTGAGTCAGTGTTATACAGCGTTTACACTTGCGACATGTATACTATACATAACAGTCACAACACCCCTTTTTTAAGAAGACTTTATTATCGGATACTGGTATAAGAAATCCACAAATTTCTCAAATTGCTAGGCTAAATATTTTTATTTTTTCATAGAAGGCAAATATTAAAAAGAAGAGCTCTCAAAAAACAGGCCTTAAAAAGAAAAGCTCCCATAAAGCCAGCATTTTGAAGCTTGCTAACAAAAGAACCAACCGTTTAGCAAAACAAGGAAAGCTACATAAAGCTGAAAAGAAAAAAACAAAAAGGCAAATTCTTCAAGAAAAAGCCAATAAGAAATTACAGGAGCAGCAACAAAAGGAGGCTGCCACTGTAAATAATAATGTGGAAGATGAAGAATCAGAGGATTACACTGATGAGGACACTGAGCACTTCCAGTTCCTGAAAAATGCCTCGGCATTTGCAAGAACTGATCTTAATTTTGAGTAAGTTTGACCATCAGTGAATAGATATAACAATTAGTGCCAGTAATAAGTTATAACTACTAATAGCACAGATTTTAATAATAATTTTCTGTTCTGTTAGAAACAAACCCCGTGGGAAAAAAAGAAAAGCTACAGATGATGAAGAAGAGGAGTATGAGAACCAGCCCAGGTCATTTTCTTCTGATAAAGATGCAGAGAAGATGAAGATGATGTTACCAATAATTGACAAAGGAAAAGTAATTAAAAGGATGATGAAGCAAGATGAGGCTGTCACTGATAATTCACTAAATGGTTGGTGGTTACACATTTATTTGACTTCATGTTTTGCATAAACACAGCTTTCAAATGTTTCAATTTAATTAAAAAAATTATGTTTTAAAAATCCAGATAGTAATCAACAACCAAGTACTCCTGCAGTGCAGGGAAAAAAAGATGAAGCAGCAGAGGCTGAAAATAAAGAGAATGAACCAGAGGGAAATTCTGCAGACCAGAAGGAAAAAGAAAAGGCCATGCTAGCATCCATGACAGCAGCCCAACTGTTTGTCTATAGAAAGAATAAACTGGCTGAGAAGAAACAGAAAATATCAGTCCTGTCTCATGCTGTTCTGGAAGATCCTCAAAGCAATGTAAATAATCCTTGAGTTTTTACATGACATTATCTACATCACATCTTGACTAGCTGTCATTGAAAAAGTGTTAATTGTTTTAAAATTAATTCTGCAGATGAAAAAGTTAAAGGAACTAAGGCTGATGCTAGGAGAGAATGATGCAGGAGTAGCCTTGACTGTTAGAAAGTATGCGATGGTGTCTTTGATGGAGGTTTTCAAGGATATTGTACCTGGTTATCGCTTGCGTATTCCTACAGAGAAGGAGAAAACTCAAAGAGTAATGTGGCATTTATTATGTAGATATACATAACACAGTTTTTTTTATTCATATATACACAGGCTATTGTACTCTCATATTTTCCATATAATCAATGTTTAATCTGCAAATTATAAAAAAATTTTTTTTAAAATATCAAAAAATAGTAACTATAGCCTCATTTTTAAACTAATATGTTGTCTGATGTTAAATTGTTGTATCTTTGCCTTCAATATTAATATACAAAATTATGACTTGTACAGGTTAAGAAAGAAACAAAGAGTTTATGGGACTATGAAGCATCATTTTTACTTAGTTATAAAGTTTATTTGGAGTTCTTGGAAACAATGGCAAAAGGTATTTAAGGATATGAAATGTTACTACCTTAATTTACATGTTAATATGATTCTACATAGCATTTAGAATTTTTGTTATCCTGTTTTATTACAATATCAGATATTTTGTTTTAAGTTATTCTCCTTGTATTTTTTAGGCAAACATATTGAGGATAAGAGTTTTCTTACCAAACATGGAATACAAGATTTAGCACTTCCACAGTCAAGCAGAGTTGTGAGTTGGTCATTCCTAATTTTCTTACCATTCTTCCATAACATTTATTTTTTTCCCATTGTATTTTTCTTAATATGTTGATTATACTAAAAAATTAAGCAGTATTCAATAAACTTTACTTTTTTGTTTTTTGCTGTTGAATAATTACTAATTAGTTTCATTATTTTATGACAGGAGTTTGGAAAGCTAGCACTTCGATGTTTGTGTGAAATGCTGGTGAACCATCCACACTTTAACTACAGAAATAATATCATTGCCATTATAGTTCCATTTAGCAATCACAAAAATATTGAGGTATCATTAGTTTTTACAATGCTGCAGTTTCAATATTTCTCATTAGAAACCTTAATCTTTTGCTTACTACTTTTTTCCATTTTTGAAATCTTAGAAAATATAAAAGCAAGTATTGATTTTCTGTTTAAGAAAAAAAAATCTATCTGCTTTTTCAGTATTCAACAGTAACATGTGATGCGTTGAAGAATGTTTTCAAACAAGACAAATCAGGAGAAGTATCTCTGGAGGTTTGTTAATTAACTTAAAATAGACCTACAGTCTATTTTTTTTATTTGGTCACACATTATTTCAGAATTGTAGGAAAAACATTATGCTTTTATATTTCTTTTCAGGTAGTCAAAAACATTGGTAGGATGGTGAAGAAGTTAGACTTTGATGTTCAGCCTCAGGTCATTATGCATTGTTACTATTTTTGTTTATGCACTAGTTAAAATTGTTGTTTTTTTATCTTAAAGTATTTATATTCTTTTGTTTTCCATACAATTTGTCTAAATCTGAATACAGTAAATATGGTTTTTTATTTATTTAAGTTTCATTTGCTCCATTAGGTTCTAGAAACATTTTTAGAATTACAGATAAAGGAAGTGGAGTTAGACTCGGATGAGTACAAATTAAAGAAAATGAAGAGGAAAGAGAAGATGTTGAAACTTTCACGTAGAGAGCGTAAGGTAGGTCTTTGTATTGGTGCATTACATTTATTTTTGTAGACTGAAAAATTCACTTTGGCATTAACATTGTTTTTACCATTTACCTTGTTTTTTCAGAGATTGAAGATGAAAGAGGCACTAGATAAGGAGCTCCTAGAGACCAAAGCAACAGCAGATAGACGACAAAAATTGAAAATGGTAAACAAATTTAAATAATGTATTACATATTTGATATTTATTTATAAAACAATTATTTAGCATTTTGAAAGCTATTTACATTATATTTTATAGCATATATTTTTATTGTTAAACTTTTTTCTTCCAAAAGCACACTGAAATAATTCAAGCAGTTTTTGAGACTTACATAAGAGTGATAAAACTGGCCTCTGACTCTGCCCTTTTACCAGCTGTGTTGGAAGGACTTGCCAAGTAAGACATTTGGATGTTTTTTTTTAATTAAATTTTTTTTTTTCTTTCTAGAGAATAAATGTTAACTTAAAATAGACTTAAGGTCTATATTACAAATGCTAGTTAAGGTGATTATTATCTTGTATGATTCATTGATTTTATGTCAGAATTTAATCACATCAAAACTTTTTTTTTCCAGGTTTGCTCATCTGATTAATGTGGAGTATTTTGACAGTTTATTTGCTGCATTTAATAGTCTCATTGAATCAGGGGTAAGGAGAAATATCGATTATTAATAGCTAAAGCCTTAACCATCACCCATTACCTTTTTTAATAAGTGATTTAAAATTATTTTTCTAGGAAATATCTTGTCATTGGGGAATCTTTTTTCCACAGCTTTTGACAAGCAGAGAAACTCTCCACTGTATGCAGACAGCCTTCACTATTCTGTCTGGTCAAGGCTCTGTAATAAACATTGATCCTGCTAATTTCTACAGACATTTCTACTGTACATTGCTCAATGTCCATGCTGGTAAAATCTTTATTTTAAAATTTCAAGTTAAAGAACTGATTTTAAAAGACAAATTAATTTCAGAATTTATTAATTAACATAGTAAGACATTATCAGTCTGTAGATGCTCTTTGTTAAAAGTACTATAAAAACTAAAGCTGGAATGGTTAAAGCCAGCAGCATGTTAATAACTATCACAATACTTGGATTTTTTTAAAAAAAAAAAGTCAGTTTATTTTAGATCCACAGTTTCTGTTTACATACATTTTTTTTTTTTATTTAAAAAAAAAAATATGCTGTATTTCATTGTTTGATTAAGCTAGTTGTAAACTCAAGTCACTTTTTTAAACATTTAGATCTATTTGTATTGTATTATTTCAGGTTCGACATCTGAATGTGCATCTATAGTTCTAACTTGTTTAGACTCGATGATTAACAAAAGGAGAAGACAGGTGAGCTAGAAAGACCTATAATACATACTCATCATTATATTTTTCATTATTTACTCAAGCATAGGTTACATAGAATTTACAATAGCATTTATCTACCTGTTTTTGGTAAGAGTATTATTTATCAGTTTAATAACAAATTGGAATTGATTTAGATTAATCAAAGTTCATGTAAATGAACCAATGTTATGAAATGAAAATAAATAGATACAAATTTTGTTTGATGCCTGTGATGTGTAGATCTCAAAACAAAGGATCTTAGCCTTCATCAAGAGATTGTCAACACTGAGTCTACAACAGACATCAGCTGCTGCTCTGGCATACCTGGCCTCTGTCAGACAATTCTTACATGTAAGCCATTTGCTCTTCTTCTTCATCTTTCTTAATATTATTTATATTGGAGGGTCAGACATGGACGGTGGTCTCCAGATCTGCTGGCAAACTCCAAACATTTTTTTTTCTGAGTGAAATGGTTGTAAAAATATAGACATTCTATAAAATGTTGTTGTTTTTGTTTGACCTCACTGGGATAATAAAAATCTGACACTTCCACAGACCTATAAATACAGTGATATCCTGTTTGATACAGAAGCCCAAGGAAGTGGAGTATATTTACCTTATCTAGAAGATCCTGAACACTGTTGTGCTAACACTGCAAACTTATGGGAGCTACATTTATTAAGGGTAAAGCTTTGAATAGTAATTATGTATAAATCATGTTTTATAAATTCTATAAACTTTACAAACACAATAAAGAAATAGGTTATATCTTTATGCTTTTATAGATTCTAATCTATTGTTCTCTCGGCAGCGTCACTATGATCGAAATGTACAGTTGTATTCCAAACATTTAATTAAGATGGCACCTCTTGCAGGAGAACATCAGTTGCCACAGGACCTTGCTAGAAAGTGGGTTTTTAAAAAAAGATAATTTTAAACTGCTTTTATAAGTCTATAATCACCTTGCTTAGATTGATTGTTATTGTGTAACTAAAAGAACATACATCAAGTAATACTAAACTGAAAGCAAATATTTTAATCTGTAGTTATGAAAATAAAGTAGTTGTAGAAAAACTCACAAATAATTTATCCCCTAATTACCCTAAGCACCAGAAATTTTTCTTATCAGGTTAATTTCAAGACATCAAAATTAAATCTTAAAAGTTAAAGCAATGCCTCTGCTGATAAATCTCTTAGATTTTAATAAACTTATAGTGACAGAAAATCTCGTTACAGTTGCTGTTACATTTTTAAGCATATAGAATTGATATTTTAAAAAAAATATCAAGCTATTTTTTAAGTATTTTGGTAAAACATTGAGGTTGATAATGTTGCACTATAATAGATGAGAAGTATAAATGCTAACAGTTCATGATGTTTCTGTGCAGTACTAAAAAAAAAGAGCATTTTATTTAATTGAAGATAGGTATAGCAAGCAGTAATTAGGTTTTTATGTCTTCATACATTTTCTGCTAACTTTGTAGGTCACCACAAGAATTATACCAGTCTAAAAGTACACAAGATATTTTTCACAAAATACCTGAGAAGAGTGCCAAGAAAAGAAGGGTAAAGCATTATGTTTAACTTACTGTTTTAAGTACTGAAATTAAAATATTTAAAACAAATGTTGTAAAATTTCTATTTAATAACTTCCAGGTTATGACTGATTTTTCAAATTCTGAGTTTGGTCAATACACTACTTCAGTCTTAGAGTCTGTTTCAAGTTTACCTTCCCCAACAATAGAAATATCTATGGACACAAGTTGAAAGAAAATATTTGTTTTATTGTCATTGAAATAATATACCTTGTATATATGCATTAACAAATAAAAACATTAAATAAATGTCTTGTTTTCCCTCCTCTATCAAAATAGCACACAATTCACCTTTAAACAGCAACAGTATAAAATATTTCAAAATTAAAGTAATTGAAAAAAACAAATAGCAGTACATTTTCAAGGATTATTTTGGCATTATTGTACTACATCAAAGATTTAAAAACAGTCATTTAATAGTTTTATTTTGCTTATATGTTAATTTTCCCCATCCCTTTGTTAGAGCTACACTCCCTCCATATGAAAAGAGTAAAAAGACAATGACTAGAAATTAAGTTTTCATCCTTCCAGCCCTAAGCGTTTCCCTTCCCATCAAGCGCAGTCCTGTGAATCTAAATCAAATGGGTAACATTTGTAAACTTAACTAAGTATTTGATCATGCATCTTATAATGGGGCATTTAGCCTGTTACTTTATTAGAATTGACTAAACCGCTTCCACCTGCTAGTCAAATTACCTGATTATGCTGCTTGAGGCTGGCACATAAATTTGATTAAATTGTAACAAAATTGAAATTAAAATAGGAGATGAGTAACAATTACTTTGACATTGATAAACTGCTCAAAAATGAGGTTCAAACACCTATATTGTTATCCACTAAAATATTTTTGTGATATATAATCGTGAATGGTGTTAACACATTAACTACATTCATTTCTAAAATCAATACAATTCTAATCTAATAGTTCTCTGCATGTCATCTGGTACTACAGATTAATCTTTTTTTTCCAAAAGAACCAGGTGGGATTGATGGAACTAATTGTAAAAGATTGTCCAGGCTGAGGGAATAGTGACACAGGGTTGTATGGATTAATTTATTTCTGTAACTACTATTACATAATGCTATTGAATGCAACATGTAATTAACTACACAGCAAATTAAGCATGGATGAAGTATAGACTAATAAAGTAAAAAAATACAAAGAAAACAAATATTGACAAAAATGTTAATAGCCTTTATAAAAAGCTTATAATATAAATTAAACTTTAAAAAAGCTCATAATACAGCAAACAGGCATACAGTTAAATTAGCAACACATTTTTGTCAACACAGTGGAACAGCTGGATTATCCAAAGCTAGTTGTGGTTTTGAGCCATTTAATATCAATTAGCATTTGAGCAAGTCCTCCTTTGGATAGTGGTGAGCAAATCTTCCAAGGGCCCAGATAGGGAAGACATTTCTGTAGCTTGTGTAACTGATGGCACAGGATTTATTAAAAACCCCACTGATGTTTTCCTGTGGAGAAAAACATTTCAATAATAGAAATATGACTTTGAAGAACAATTTTTACTTTGCATGTAAACAAGCAAAAATGATTTACAACTGCATGTAATGTCATACATTGATGGTCAACAATATACATAGTCTGATTTTCCCCACTAGTTACAGTTTCAGGTACTTATCAGAGCTGAGTAGACATATGGGTATTTTAAAGTCCTGAGCCCATAACTCTACAATTTCAACTTGACCTTAACTCTAATGAGCTTACTTGTGGCCAGTCTCCATTAGGAAGTTGTCTTGACATAAGAAGTTTTATTCCTTTCTTTATAACTTCAGTATCAGGATATCTGTGAACAGATAGGTTATAACATCTTTTAGTCATAGTAAGGTCAAATGAAATTATATAAATATTAAATCACACTTCGAGCATGATATTGTTTCTAGCCAGACATTGTGAATTAATTCTTAAAATATATTAATGTATAGCTGTATGCTTCAATGAACATAAAAAAGAAAATTTTAATCTAACAAATCTGCAAGTAAGCATTTCCTAGATCTAACTTTAAAAATCAGTGGTTTTTAACCTTTATTAAGGTACCAACCCCAATAGTTGGATATGCACATTCTCAGAACCCTTCTTAATAGTTCTATCGTCTGCACTGACCAAAGCCTATTGTGAATTTTTTGCGTTGTCAGATGTGTCTAACCTCAGGCAAGCCCAGGTTATAAACCTCTGCTCTAAATTATAATTTTAAAGTAATCACTTAGAGCGGATACTGAATCTTAAACTAGTTTGTGGTAGGCATACATATAAAAACAAAAAAGGGGTAAAATATTTATCAAATAAGTGTTAAAACAAACATAACAACCACACTATCATCAACTGACCAACACACCAGAACAGCAATGTGAGAGCTATATTTTTTAGAATACCTGACAGCCAGTAGCTGTGAGCTATATTTTTAGAGTAAAATAAACCTACCTGACAGCCAGTAGCTGTGAGCGATATAGAGTAAAATAAACCTACCTGACAGCCAGTAGCTGTGAGCTATATTTTTATAGTGAAATAAACATACCGGACAGCCAGTAGCTGTGAGCTATATATTTAGAGTAAAATAAACCTACCTGACAGCCAGTAGTGCCAGCACAGCCCAACTGGTGTTGACGACCTGAGATGTCTCACTGTTCACATACTCCCTGAGTTCACAGGATTCGAAGTTCTCTCCCCAGCCACCATCTTCCATTTGTTTACTGACCAGAAAGTCACAACCTTTCTTCACAGCACTGGGAACTTTATTCCCACTTCCATAGGTGTATCCCATGCAGGCATAAGCCTCCATAGCAAACCAGGCCCCATATGTAAAACACACGGCCCAGCTGCCTTCCCATGAGCCATCTGGTCTCTGTTTATCTTCAATGTATTTTAAGCCCTCTTTTAGGCAAGTTTGGATCTCATGTTTACGGTATTCTGGATAAGCTTTGGAGAATGTTGTAAAACACTGCATACATGCAGAGGTGCATTCCACATAGGAGTAGTCAATCATGATGTCACCTATTCAGACAATGTCATTTTTTAAATCTTGGTAGATAAAATAGAATTACATTTAAAAAATAAAATGACAAATTAGCATTTTATAACTTACAGAAATATTGTTACTACTGAAACAGGAAATATTTATCTGCTTTAGCAAAACTAAAAGTGAACAGTTTAAAATTTGGTTTACTCCATGACTAATAACCATATGTGGTTTTACAATTTTTTCAGAGTAGCTCACCAATGATATGCTTCTATTTATCAAATTACAAAAAAAATTACTATGGAACAAACAGCAAAATGTACAATACATGCTTCATCCTTTTGTTTTACATTCAGAACAACTGCTGTATGCAAAGTAATTATTTATACCTGTGTGTTGCTACATTTCAGAATTTGCCAAAGAGGGTTAACAATGTGCACTTTATTTATACAAATGGTTTGCGTACTTTTCTTAAATGATGTAGTGAGATAATAAAACAATGTATCATCTTACCAAAAACTTCAGATGCATTCAATAACTCCAAAAGAGCTCCGCCCCTTTTCTTCTCATATGTTGCCCAGCCATTATCATCACACCTCATGTCTAGCAGCTGTAAACAAAAGTGTTGTTATGGGAGATTTGATGATGTAATTTTGTGGAAATATAATAATTATAATAATTTAAAATTTAGGCAATAAATATTCCACTCAGGCACGAAAATAAAAATGAGCAAATTTACAACAATGTAACCATACATTCAAAACACAGCATGTATATGGATCATGCTATTAAGAACATTGTAAGATGAGAAATATATTACTATATTTTGAATCAAGCTAGGAGTAATTCATGTAGTAAATTACTAACCACATCAATGCCCCTGAACAGTTTTTCTTTAGGTATAAGGTTGGTCAGTTTACATTTCTCCTGCAACTTGATCACAGCTTTAATCCCCTCTGCTGTACAATCTGAGACAATCCACCCACAGTCTCTTGTACTGAAGGGGAAGGCACCCTGTCATTTAAATGGATCAAAAGCTAATAAAAAAACACAAGAAATAAGTTCTTATTTTATGGTGTTAGGACACTACATGTTCTTTGGGATAATCAAGAAAATAAAACAAGAAAAGATAAATAATTTATAATACACCATTAACTAAAAAAACACATACTTCATTCATTTGTCTGTAATACTTCTGGTAATCTGGTGGATTTTGAGGGATTTGAGTTATTCGAAGAAATTCATGAACAGCAGCCAAGCAGTCTTTGAATTCATCCATACGGTAAGCACCAGCCTAAGGCAGATTATTTAAAGTTATTATTTAAAGTTATCAAAGTTTTTTTTGTAAAAATTGTCATACTGAGACTTATAGCTAATTGAAAAAAATATATATAAATTAATTTTTAAAGAATATATTTAATTAATCTTAAAAAGAAAAAATGTAAAATCTCACTTCTAAGTATGCATGCGCAGCAAATGAGGTGTCCCACAGCTGGCTGCCATTGGTACCCTGCACAAAAAGATGACAGAGTTTAATACTGTGTTTGATGATGATTTTGATGTAGTAGCAACTATATAGTGAAACAACACATCTTTCTACATTTTAGTTAGATGAAAAATAATTCTGTTTTCACTTACTGTCATTTTCATGCCATCTAGTCCAATCCTGTTAAAATCCAAACAAACATCAATTTTAAAAACTTAAAGTTTTATGAGCAGATATACCTAAAACATGCTGATAACTATAAGTGTAGTTAATGAAGCTACTTCATGGGGACAAACCCATTTAAAATAGAACTTCCAACAAAAACATACAAAAAAGAATGAAATAATAATATTAACAGTTTACAGAAATGTATATTACTTCATAAAGTTATCACCTACAAATAAACAGATTCATACATTAAGTGTTTAACTGGAATAATTTAGGAGTTTACCAGAGATAATCTTGAACTCTGTACTGATGCAACTGGAAATCTTTACTAAGTGGTCCCTCCTCATGATAACGTATCAGCATGTTGATTGTCTTGGAAATCTGTGAAAAAGCCATATTTAAAAAAAACCAAGTAAACACACACAACAGCTAGTCAGTACCTGGTTGAATGAAACAGTTAACAGAAACTTACTGGGCCTATGCTAATACACTTGGTAAATCTGTCATCTGCTGCTATATGGTCATACATGACACCTAATGCCTTTTTTCTAATGAAACCAATGTGAATCTTTTCATACACATTCAACACCTCTGGAGAAAAAAAAATAAATACTTACGTCAACTCAGTCTTTTAGCACAATAACTGCCAACATTTCAATCAAAATTAATCCTTTAAAATATTGAATAAAATCACATATATAGTGAACATTTTTTCAAGATATTTAACTGTCAAATGGAGTAAAAACCTGCATTCTTTACAAAGGAAGGCAATTTTTTTATGTTAAAGTTGATTTTAGGGAACCAATAAGCATCTACACTTTATTGTAAAGTTAGATTTTTAGTGAGAAAACAAAAATAATTGAGCCATAACTTTATTAAGATATTAAGAACCTCTTGATATATATATTCTTTTAATAAATAAGGTAATGATGGCCATAGTGAGTACTTACTGTAAGCTAAATCTAAAAGCCATGAGTGTGGACTAAATAAATCAGCAGCAGACACATTGTTTCTCTGATCTGGCCAGTTGATTGTATTAAAATCTTCAACATAAATCTCCTGAAACAATGCACAAGGTTTAAAGAAATGCATTAAAATGGTTTATCAAGTATGTAAAAATAAATGGGTCATATTTTAGTTTATTAAAGATTTTAAATTATCAAAAAATATATATACAAATCCTAAATGATAGTTTAAATTAGCCAATACAAAATTGAACGTATTTTATATTTTATTTGGGATGTAGTGGTAAACAAACTTTTCTAAGTTGTCGGATAAGATCATCCTCAGGTGCAACTATCCTTCTACCAAAGCAATAAGCCATGGGGAGGTAAACTTGACGACAATGACACCACAACTTTGATGGATGGAAGGGTAGCCAAGATGGAAGAATCCTGTTAGATTTTCAAATTTACACTTTTGAAATTTTTAAAATAACTTTTTAAATAAAGTATTGAATCTATTAAACAGGACTTTAAAACACCTAGTAACACCTATATTAAGTATTTACGTGTAAAGAATAAGAGCCTACCACATCTCAGGGAAGAGTGAATTTAAGCCATCCCAGCTGTATACATTAAGAACAGCAAGCCAAAATTTACCCCAAGATGGTATTGCTGCAGCGCCACCTATTTAAAAACAAAATTTGATTAATAATCTCACTCCATTAGAGAAAATCAAATTTCAATAACTTTTTTCAAAATTTGATTAAGAATCTCACTCCATTAAAGTAAATCAAGTTTCAATAACTTTTTCAAAGCTTAATATGTGATAGATAAAAATCATACCTAATTTATGAAGCAATTTTTTAGTCTTTATTAAATCCCCATCATCAGCAGGGACACCTAACATACGCATAGCACAGTAATTTAATGTGCAGCCAAATACTGTTGGTGGACCCTCTATATGCCTAAAGAGAATAGACAACAGAAGTGTATCGACTGTAAAAGGACAACAAAAGTAAGTAATATTAAAAAAAAAACATGGTAATTACAGTAGTTGTTAATGATTTGGTCTACTGTTATTGAACTTACAGTCCCCATCCACCATCAGGACACATGACAGATCGCAAGTAGCGGATCATCTCTAGTCTCTGGGCTTCAGTAAAAGGTGTCTTTGTAATATGGCAAACAATGATTATACCTGAAATTTATTGATGAAATCAGTCATTTAAGTCATGAGGATGCAGAAATTAGTGTTAATGAAATTATGAGAATATACCAGGCATGATGAGGATGCAGAAAGTAGTATTAATGAAATGATGAGAATATACCAGGCATGAGGATGCAGAAAGTAGTATTAAAAGAAATGATGAGAATATACCAGGCATGAGGAAGAGTGGACCACCATAATCTCCAGCCCAATGGCCGTCTTCTGCCTGTAGCTTTGTATAAAAACGCATTCCATTGTTAGCAGCTTCTTGGGGAGTCTCAGCTTTCGGTAGGTCTGGTGCTTCCTTGCTCTTTGACAGACAGAATATTAACATTAGAAGTTTACTAGGTAACTAGGTTATTTGAAACAAATGGAATTTTTAATAACATACTAGATACCAAAATATCTTACTGAACAACCAGATGCATATAAAAAAATGAACCTACTGTATCCAGGCCTAAAGAATGTTTTTCTAACATAGTCTGTTCACGTGGGACATCTTCTTCTTTAACAAAATACTGCCAAGTCTGACGGCCTTCCACATTCGACAAGCGCCAACGAGTCAGATCAGTTGCTGGCTCGGTTTTGTAAGGCCCACCTCTATTTCTCTTCATATCATTTACATACTTAAACGGCATTTTTAAATCTCTGAACTTCTTGAAATCTGACAGCAATTCTGAAAAAATTATAAAATAGTTAAGTGAAGTGCTATTCTTCTGGGCATGGTGGTCTATGAACAGGGCAGATGAAATAGAGTTTATCTGCTTCTGTGGTCCAACACTCTAACTGTCCTAAACCTAAACACTCTAACTCTAAGTTACTCTAAGTAATAATATAATAGGCCTAATTAGCCTAATAACACTAATAAAAATAATATTTTATAGGCCTACTCTCATTCATTCAGTACTCACAGTACTCAGACTCAGACGACTCAGTAAACTTGTAAAAAAAAAGTGTAACAAAAAATGTGAAGTCAGTGAGGGTAAAGTACTTAAAGTAATGAGTTAGATCTAGATCTAGATCTAGTTGTAAAACTAATTTACTAACGCAATCTATTTCCCTTAAGTGTGTTTATATTTATTTTGTCTAGATCTAGGCCTATAGCTAGATCTACATAATTTTCTATAATCAAAATTCAGATCTAAATAAAAATATTACCGGCATCAGCTGTCTTTTGTCTATCCAATCGGTACAATGAACTATTTGTAACTCTTCTGCAAAAGAAAAATGGAATGCTTAGTTGTAAACATCCTTTTTTATCATGACATTTTAGAGATCTAGTCCCGTGTAGATCAGTTGAAAAAGTAAGACCTTTCTTTACAAATATTAATTGTAAATCTTCTATGGCCCAATAAAAATTAATCAAATAGGCCTACTGTAGTGTCCACCATTTCACTTTCTTTCGGTCTTTCACTGTTTGACTGTAACACTACTGTGACTTAACTTACTACCAGAGTGTCTTCCAGGCATCTCTCGGGGGGGGGGGGGGGGGGGGGGGGGGGGGGGGGGGGGGGGCTTAGCCCCCCCTAAAAAATTTTTACCGCCCCCCCGAACGAAATGAAATTTATAAAATTTATATAGAAAGGTAATCTATCGTTTTGGGTACGTAAAATCGCCCGCGATTTGTAATGTGAAAAACAGGTGACTCCTTAAATTTTAATAATTATTTCACATTTTGAGGAAGATTTATGTTTTAAAAAATTCAAAAATGTTTCCTTGATTCATTTATGTACCTGTTTTTAAACATATGAATTAAAACTTTTCCGTAATAAATGAAGACTAGCGATGTTTCCAACAGATGCAACCATGCTCATTTACTATAGCAGCCATCTTGTCAAAGTTTTATTTTTATAAGCTTTTAGCGCCAGATTCAGGGGGAAGCCACTCTATTTTACAAATGGCTGCTGTTTATATAGCAAATCTTGCTCTCAGATACTGCTGTTTAAAGTTCATTTCTGGCCTATATCGATATATTTAGCCATTGATTTAGGTTTATTATTCATTTATCTATAATATTTGACACAAAAGTATGACAATATACTTCTATTAAAGCCTTGACAATGAGGTAACGTTTTCGTACATAAATAGAGCCGCGGGCGATTTTACGTACCCAAAACGATAGATTACCTATAGAAAATATATACTTTTTAACAGTGTCCCGCCCCCCCCCCCCCCCGAAGAAAGTTTACCGCCCCCCCCCGACGATTTCAAGTGCCCCCCCCCTCCCCCCCCCCCCCCCGGAGAAAAAAAGTCTGGAAGAAACACTGCTTACTACTGCGGTAAAACTCCATTTCAGCGTATTTTATTCTCCGTTGCTTGTTTACCTCCAGTTGAGCGTATTTTATTATAACAAACCGAAACACACCAAAACATTAGGAAAACACGATTTATTTTTTGTATTGTATTTGAAGTTGAAAAAGTAAATTCTGACAGTCACTTAACTTAGTAATTTTGTTCTATTAGGTTATTCCTGCATTGTCACAAACATCTTATTTAATATTTCACTATTGAAAAGCCAGAAGACCATTTAATATTTAATTTTTTTAAATACACATTTATGATTGTATTGCTTGGTTTTACACTGCTAATTAATTTGTGGTGTAGTGTGTAGGCTATGGGCGGCCTGGTATGTTATTTATTAATTACAAATCAATATTTTTATAATACTCATTACTAATTTACTTACAGCCACTATCATTAATTAGGTTTAGTATTAGATTCACATAGAGAGACTATATAATTTTTTAAATTTACAGTTGATAATTTAAAAATTGATCTCAGTAGAATCTGGAGATTTATTTAAATGGAACTATGTATCAACATAATGGTCTAGAATTTATTTTCAATAAAGCTTTAAAAACAGGTCTCTCTCTCTATATATAGATGCTATTATTTAAGAAAACACCTATACAACTACTTTTTATTGATTTTCTAGCTGCCTCAGGCAAAAAACAGTTAGCCACATTTGAGTAGGAATCATCAGTAACAATTCATTTCTACAATTATTGTTATTGATTATTTCTACTACACTGGTTACAGTTTAAACAACACTTTTGTGTTGTTAAGCTTCGAATAGATATTAAATAAACCTTTACTTTCTTTAATTACTTTAACATGTCATGTAGTAGCTCTTTTATTTTCTTTGTTTTTGAGGACAACTCTTTTTTTTTCAACAGATCAGTCATCGGAGATGGAGACAGCCTATGGATCACTAACACTCTTTACCTCCATTCTTCACAATGTGTTTTTACTCTATCATGTTGATATGTTCGTCTCTGTTTACAAGATAGACAAAACATCCTTCTGGCTTGGAGAAACAATATTCCTGCTGTGGAACTCATGCAATGATCCTTTATTTGGTTGGTTCAGTGACAAGAAATTGTTAGTACAAAATAAAGCTGGACATGGCAGAGTTTCTGATGTAGTATGGAGCAGGTTAAACGCACTTCACATTTATGGGCCTTTGTTTGCTGTTGCTTTTCTTCTATTCTGGACACACTGGGCCTGGCCTGGTCTTCAGTTTGCAGTTTGTTTATGTTTGTACGACGGGTTCCTAACTATGATTGATCTACATCACTCAGCGCTGTTGGCTGATTTGTCTTTGTCTGCTGATGTTAGAACTAAACTTAATTCTAGGTGTTCAGTATTTAGCGCCATAGGCTCAGTGTCAGTATTCTTATCTTACTTGGTGTGGAATAAATCAGACTTGACAGCTTTTAAAATCTTTTGTTCTGGTCTTGCTATCCTGTCACTTGTTGGTTACATCACCATGGTGAGAGTATTAAAGGCAGCATATTTAAAGCATAGCAAGCAATTCAACTATGATTCTCAAATGTAAGTATTTCAGATGCTAATAATTGAAACCTTAATGGAACATTAAAAAAAATTATAGAATTACCTATTGCTTCTATTATATATATAAATATGTTGTTCCCATTTGTCAAGGAAAACTAATTTATATCTTTGCAGGAGCAAGTCACTAGATCCAGATGAATCTAAAAACAATGCATCTGTTGTCAAATTTGGAAAGCAACTTCTTTCCCACAGAAACTTTCTTTGGTTTGCATTTATGAATTTAGTACAAGTAAGCATAATTACAAACTGTTAAATTAACTTTTAATTACTTATTAATAAATATAAAATTTATGAATACACACTCCAATAAGGAAATATTGTCTAATTTGTTTAGGTTTTTCACTGTCATTTCAACTCCAACTTCTTCCCATTGTTTTTGGACACACTTCTGGGGGAATCAGTGAGCCCTACTATGGCATCTTTTTTGTTGAGTGAGTATTTTCTTATTTTCATGCTAGACCTCTTGTGTTATTTTTCCCACTTCAATAAAATTATAAGATTGATATTACAATATAAATACAAGTAGTAAACCAAAAATAATCTTCATTTTCATCTTTGTTTCTGAAAGATTTTTTTAGTTTAACAAGCTACTCACTCAAAGTAACTTGTTATTGTAACTTTAATATTGCTAGTATTGCTATTACTGTTATAATTGTATTAAAACTTTATGACAAGACTATAAACATGTATTTCTTGATGCAGGTATATCATTTATTGCACCACATATCAACAACTTGTACTTCCTGAGCTTGTGTAAGAAATATGGTGTTTATGCTGTTATAAGGACTTTATTCCTGATCAAACTACTGCTGAGTCTTGTCATGTATGAGGCAGGTCCTCATCATGTTTGGCTGCTGTGTTTTTTTATTGCCAGGTAACAAAGATTGATATGCCACATTGCATGAGTTTATTATGTTTTTTTATTAATCTAGTTGAGATTTTGATGGAGTGGTAGTATGCATACATTATACCTTTGATTGTTGTTAGTTCAGTCCTGTAGTCTCTATTAATCCTCGTACCAAACTAAATCTCCTCTTCTACTTGTAATCTATTATTGTGGTGGACTGTAGAAGAAAGGAAAAGCCTGGTGGAAATTAACTAGTTGCTGACATCATGAGCCTGCTAGTTTATATGTGCTTAGCTCACTATGTGCTTGTCTAAGAAAGAAAGAGAGGCAGAGAAGTTTTGCTTTGTATTTAGAATAGTTTGTCTTTAAAATAAAAATGTTTAAATAATTGCTAAAAAATTATTATTTTTTTCATTTTTAGTAACCGTGTGTTTACAGAAGGTACTTGTAAACTGCTGAGTTTGGTAATCAGTGATTTGGTAGATGAGGATGTTGTTTTACACTCGCGGCCACAAGCTGTGTCTGCTTTAATATTTGGAACGGCTGCTCTTGTGTCAAAACCTGGCCAAACATTAGCTCCTGTTATAGGGACCTGGATTTTAGCTCTACAGACAGGTAGTTTTTAATGCCTATTTATCTAGAATAATATTTATACTTAGATATTTCTGTAGGGGCTGCAGTAGTTGGGCCATTAACGCTGGAGCTTGATTGCTGGGGACAGCTTTCCTTCTTGGAGAGAAAACTCCAAAATCAAACAACTGCTGCCTTGTAGTTTGTTCTTGGATGGAAGCAAATATAGTATAGCAGGTTGAAAGCAGAGTCAACAGGCCATATGACATATAACATGCTGACACCATAATACTTAACTGTGTTAATTCTGTCGAACATTACAAAAAAATTAGAACGAAGAAAAAGAAAAAGATTTTTCTGTACTGATTTAATTATTAAAAGAATTTTTTTTTTATTACTTATAATTGCAGTATGTTTTTAATCTGGATACTAAATTAAATTTGTTTAAATATTTCAGGTCATGATATATTTCAATCAGGAAATGAATCAGGTTCAATAAAACTTGACCTGTCTAAAATGGATCATATGACAAAATCAGTTCACAAACAAGGAGTTTTCCTTATATTGATATACGTCCCTGTGGCCTGTGCATTGCTGCAGCTATTTGCTTGGTCACGCTACACACTCAAGGGTCAACGATTGTTGCAGGTTAAAGCCATCAGAGAAGGCGTATTGCATATACCAGTCTAGAAAACCTACATGCAGTCTTAAACTTACATTCTGTCTCAAAAAGATGCATGGAGTAACTTCATGAATTTCTGATGCTAATCAAAAACTTGTAAGCTGTTCCATCAGAAGTTATTATATTAGAACTGATAGGTGATAATATGTTTGAAATAGTTTATTAGTCATCATCAAATATTTTCTATTAACAACTTTCAGAAGTTTCAACTCTTGTAATAAAAATGTGTGTAACATGTTAGAATATAAAGAGTAATATTTCTCCTTTTCAACAATGTACAGAAAACTAAAAATTCCTTAAAATTACATAAAAAATATTTGTTCACGTACATTTATATATATATATATATATATATATATATATATATATATATATATATATATATATATATATATATATATATATATATATATATATATATATATATATATATATAAATAAAACCACATCTATTAACTGTTATATTGGATTATATCTCACATCATTCCAAACCTAACTATTTATACAACAGCAAGCAAACAAAAGTGCCACTTTATATTTTGTTTCACCTGTCTGCTACTGTTATTTTTTTTACTTTTATTTGCTGCTGATTATCTTCAGACTTATTTTATTTAAAAAAAATAATTGTTTATTTAATTAATTATCTCTTTGATAGATGTTTAGTCATCTAATGTTTTATTAAAACTTAAATTGTTTATAAACGAGAACTTAAGAATCAAAATATTAATGAGAAAAATTAAAACAAAATCAAACAGTGTTTTTGTGAGATTAACTCAAAGCAACATTATTTTAATGATTTATTCTTCTGTGATACATAGACAGATTATGTATGTATACAGTATAGTATTATCTTTTAAAGCTGTACAAATTTTAAATAAAATATTTTTTTAGTTTTAATGAAATTAAAAAGAATTATAATTAATAATGTTGATTTCAATTAGCTGGAAAATACATAAGCTTTTCTGATGTCAAACAGTTGTTCTATATTATTGTCAAAGAAAATTAAATACAAAATATGGCCATATATTTTTATTTTATTCATTGTTACTTGTGCTCTGCTTTTTGAGTTTTCATGAGCTATACTGATTTATTTACAGTTTCTGTGTTCTGCTGTGATGGAATTTCATCATTGATGTGTTCTATAAATTCTATTGTTCAATGATTTTTCTTTATGGTTCATTATTAAATGATGTCATAGGATTAAAAAAATTAATTGATAAACAATAATCAAATATTATACATTTCTACCAAATAATCACATGAAAATGTAATATTCGAGTTGAATCTACTTTATATGAAAATTAAACAAATTTGAATTTTTACATTAATCTTTATCTTGCTTAAGATACAATTCAAAGAGATGGTTTTTTTGTTTATTTTTTTGTGTGAAGATTTATGTTTTCTAAAAAATGGCAACTTTGAAAAACTACTTTTAAAAATGTAGTATTTAAAACCTGGCTGGCCAGATCAATGAAACCTGTTGAGTGTCAAATTGTTTTAGCCATGTGTAACAATTAAATAATTCTTTACCCAACCACAGTTGCAAAATATTGGTACGAATTCTTTTCATTTGTCATTAACTGTGTTATTGTGTATTTGCTATTAATCAAAAGTATCTCATTTACACTGCATAATAATTAAAACTTTACATTTATGCCTGTAGCTACATTCATTGCATCTACAGCACTGGTAAATAGTATTGAGAAAAATAAATTGTGGACGTAATCCATTAATTAAATACTGACTGCTGGCTTATGCTAGTACTTTATGATTCCAATGACTTATTCAAAACGTCCCTTGTTCTGACAAATTTCTTTTGGAAGTCCAAATATTGTACATTTTGTTACAAAAATTACTACAATCTAAACAAACTTTTATTTTCATTTAAAATAAACAGGTGAAGTAAATTGGCCAACACAAATGTTCTGGAATTAATTATTGAATATCTGGTGCAGTTGTTTTAAAGCTTACAGATATTTGGTTAAATATTCATGGTTTGGTTAATGAAAATGTTGAACTCCGTTTAGATCTTTGCACACTCAATCTTCTAATTGTCTAGATAAACTCATAAATATTTGTTTTCTCAGTGCTATATTTTTGATGCATTATTCACAGTAACAAAATATTTTTTTTAATGTGCTGGATTCAGAAGAGGAGACAAACATGAAAAAAAAATATTGAGTAATTTCCTTTCAGAGGTTGCACTAAATTTATTGTTACCATTAATATTGTGATTAGCATTTTGCATTAAAAAAACTTTTAAAACGCATCGTCTATAACATTGTTTCATCAAAATAAAATGTATTATTATTGAAGTCTATTTTTCTTTCTTTTTATTTAAAAAAAAAAGGCATTTTGAAAAAAAGTGTGTGATTAATATTGAATTATTGGGATCTATTATTATTGTTTCAGGAAGCCGGAGTTATCTTCCCTAAGCTTTGTCACCTATTAGTGTAAGACTTTGGATGGCTATAGAAGCGGTATCGTTTTTTAAACAAACGGACGAAAAATTTTTAGAGTATGATAATGATGATAGAAACTTATACATTTTGAAGGCTTCAGTGAAACCAGAAATAAAGTTACGAGTAATTGCTCGAAAGTTGATAGAAATCACGTAGAGATTCTGGAATTTACGGTTCTCAAGTTAACGTGTTCACGAACTCACAAATCTGAACGTTTTAAACCTACCTGAGTTGAAGAAATCCCAGTTTGCAATTTTGTATCACTGCGTGATTTTAATATTTTTCTTTTTGTGTCTACTCCCCCTACGGCTATTCCATGTAGATTCACATTAGCCCCACTTCCCCAGGAAAAAAGTACTAAGTGTGCATAAACCACACAGCATGTTTTTCATTCATCATTGTGTCCCACATGATTAATAAAGCATTGACCTGCAATCAATTATATTTTTAAAAAATCAGTTATGAAACCATTTCAACCAAGGTTTTCTCCGTGTCTAAAAGAGTATGTCGTCGATATTCCCCATCATATGGATTGTTAAACAAATTCATAGCGCTCATTTTCACCAGATGCATTGTTACTTCTGATATTTTTTGGCTCTCCCCCCCCCCTCATTCGTTACACTGATGTTATATGCCTTTATTGTGATGCACACCGAAGTTATGCTCATTTGAATTGAACTGTTAGAGCCATAGTGCCTCCCCCACCAACACCTTTTTCTTTTTCTTTTTTTCTTTTTTTTTTATTTTACACCTTTTTTACATGAAGACGAGATTTTTTGCAGTCCATGTAAATGTAACACTCTATCTAGTTTAAAAACTAAATGTTTAATGTATGAACGTTTAATAATCTTTAAAGTGTAGATTTAATAACTAAATATTCAATGGAGATTTGTGTCTTCATTGTTTAAAGTTGGGCATTAGATTATATAACTAAATTTTAAACGGAACATAATGTGGACATTTTAAATTTTAAAGTATCGACCATAGTATAAATATCCCAAGCCAAACAATTTATCTTATAATTTAAAAATAAATAATTGAGTTGCTTCCCTTTATATAGATATGTGGCCAACACAAAATTGAAATACAGCTACATTTAATTGTTTGTTTTTAGCTGGATAAATTTTTTGCCACAAGGCATTGCTTAATAGATATTTAATGCTAAAGTTTTAGCAAATCCAGATCGAGATTAAGTACATTGACTTAATTTAATTATAATTTACAAACAAATGTTGTTTACAGTGCGGTGGTCGCTAATCGTGGAAAATCTCGCCCCTCCCAGGACTGTGGCGTCTTTTTTGACAACCACTTAAAAGACCGTGCATACCGATAATTCAACATAATTTATAAAATATAAAAAGATGTTTTTTGAAAAAAATAGTTTAATCAAATAATTTACAATTAACATACATAGTAATCATCTGCAATACGCACATTTTCATTTAACGCAAATAACTTACTACATAAAATAAAATTGGACATACATTCCGTTTCTTTGTATTATTCCTAAAATAAAAGACTCCGACATAATAATATTTCACTAAGTGGCGTTACTAGGTGGTGTAATCCCAACTTAGGGCGTCGCCCCACCTAGAGGCGCCACTGTTTTAGGTGAATAAAACCAACATGTGAATAGAATTTCGCGATAAACACAATATGAGATGAAGAAAATGAAAGACCACAAACGTAAAGATGTAAGAATGCAGTGAAGTAGAATGGAACATTCTGGAAGAAACTATACAGCAGGGGGTTTCATTAGCGGTTTGATGACAAGAATCGCCAAGGATGAAACAACAGCAACAAAGAGAAACAACCAGAACAGCAGCCTGTCCATGACGTGGGCTACAAACTGCCACTCAGACACCAGCTCCTGGTATTTGTCAAACTCCTGGTCGTTTTGGTACATGGACTGTCCGTTGTCGATGTTGTAGTTCACAGATACAGGAAACCCAGCTCTAAACGAGCCGCGGAAGCGATTGTCTCTTCTGAAGCTCGACCTTAAGCTGGACCTGAAGTTGTTGGAGAAAGATGAAGGCATCTCGTAAGTTCCTTGAGGGAACCCGTACTCCGAGCACTGCGCTTGCTGGTACCCCATAGTTTGAAGGTTGAGTTCGCTACTCGTTGGGGCTACCCTGTCCCCGTTACCACTGCTACGTTGGAGCAACACCTCGCCGTTACAGTTCCGCGCTGTGCACATACCACCACCACCACCACCACCTCCACCGGGGCGGTAAGAACGTCTTTCCGACACGCTGGACTCACCGCCGGAAGCGGAAACATCGTGAGAGGGCTCGACGATCTGTACCGTGTGGCTGGCGGTGATTTTTGCGTGTTCTTGCGTTTTGAACGTCTGAGACGCCTGGCACATGCAGACGAGACGGGCGATGACGCCGAAGACGAGAGACCGCAGCCAGCCCGGGACTCGCCTTTTGTGTGGACCGACGTGGTGCAGCTGTAGAACAAACACTGTCAGGATGATGGATAGTGACGTCATTCCCATCGTCACTGTCAAGTAAATACCTAGAAGGAAATCAAATCACAACATTAGTATTGTCATTAGCCAGACAAAAATCACCTTAAAATGCCAAACGTATTTTTTTTTATATTTTGAAGAAAAACCCCGAAATAATTGTATGGAATTTCTTGAGATTCACAGACGGCTGTGTTTTACCAGCTTAATTGTTGTTTATTGCTCATGTAATTGTTGACATGGTCTGCATCGTGCAAACACCGCCCAGCGCAGCAATTAGTGGCCAGATTATTGCGCCAGTTTCTATAGAGCCAGATCACTGACCTGACAATCCGCTGTTTCCCATCAATTTAATAAAACCTTATTTCTCTCGCCAAAAGCTAACCAAGTGTCGTTTTACACGTCTTTTTTTTTCTCTCTTGTCATGCCTTTATCTTGATATAGCTGTTCTGGTTTCTATTTTTTTTTAAAAACCTGCTTGAATTGATTCCGTTTCACATTTACAATTTCATGTTGGGCGTTACGTAACAAAATGACAAATATGGGTACACGATATGCTGGGATTGTAAAGACATCAGGCAAGGGTTGGCGATATTGCTGTTTTTTATATGCAATAGTGAAGGCATCAGGCTATGGTAGAATACCATAGTGAAGGCATCAAGCTATAGTAGGATACAATAGTGAAGGCATCAAGCTATGGTAGGATACAATAGTGAAGGCATCAGGCTATAGTAGGATACAATAGTGAAGGCATCAAACTATGGTAGGATACAATAAAGAAGACATCAGGCTATGGTAGGATACAATAGTGAATGCGTCAAGCTAGGTTAGGAGATATACAATACAGAAGGCGTCAGGCTATGGCAGATGATATACAATAGAGAAGGTATCATGTTAGGTTAGGAGATATATGTTATCAGGTACACAATAGCGAAGGCATCAGGCTATGGTAGGAGATAATGATACAGCTACATAACATATTAAAAAGTAAATACATGACTGCTTAAAGTTCCCCTTTCAGAGCTGATGAAATAGAGTTTATGTTTCTTGACCTTGGCATATGAAGGAACGGAACTATGTGGTCAATACTATGCCCAACCGCCTTTACCTTCCCTAATGTGAATTAGATGCCCATCGTTTCCTTCCCGCCCCTTTAAGATCGATGGCTTATCCTTAAACTAAAAGTACCCAGCTTTCTCTAGCGACAAATCTTATAGAAACTATTTTTGTAAACATTTAATCGACTTCAAATTAGATCATAGGACTAATCTTGGCGAGTTAATTTAAGATTGGTTGATTTATTGACGCCTTATCGCTTTAGTTAACGAGTAAATTGTGATGTACCTAATGTCGATATTCTACTGGACCGTGGCTGATTGGTCAGACAAGGAATATATTGTAGAAGTGAGGAACTTAACAGTTCTGTTAGTTCAGATCAGCAGCAGTGGCGGAACTACCGTGAAGGCAAACACCAAATTGCTAGGGGGGGGGGGGGGGGGGAAAGGAAAAGGGAGGCAGTTTGTATACTGGCTCAAAATTCGACCAAAAATAAACAATATCCTTGAAAGGAAAAACAAATAAAGCAGTGATTATTCTTGTCACTAGCTCATGCTTTTGCGTAGAAAAAAATATTTAAAACCACTCAACGAATTCTAGTATGAAAGACAGGCAAACGTCTTAAGTGATTCAATAAAATATTGCACTTCTTTAAATAGGTTACTAGGCCGGGGGGGGGGAGCATTTATAAAATAATTACGCATATTATATATATATATATATATATATATATATATATATATATATATATATATATATATATATATATATATTTATATATATATATATATATATGTGTGTGTGTGTGTGTGTGTGATTTTATACATAAGAAAAATATCTCACGGACAAATGATCTCAGGACCAATGATCTCAGGACTGAGATATATTTTGTCCTGCTATCTTTTGTCCGTGAGATTATTTGTCCTTGAGATCATTTGTCCTGAGATATTTTGTCTGAGATATTTTGTCTGAGATCATTTGTCCTGTCACCACATATATATATATATATATATATATATATATATATATATATATATATATATATATATATATATATATATATATATATATATATATATATATATATATATATATATATATATATATATATACATACATACATACATTGAGCGGTTGAGCCTCTTTTTCTAGTTCCGCCGCTGATCATACACGTTTTATCACAGAGCTGTCTTGAAGAAAAAAAAAACTTGCGCATAGATACAACTTACCAATAAGGGGAACGAACTCTGAAGTGGCCGGCATACTCTCTGCTATCAATAGCATGAAGACAGAAAAGGCCAAAAGAACGGTAATCCCAAGTGTGATTTTCTCCCCTGAATCTGGGGGCAGCCAGAATCCTAGTAAACTGGAGTATAGAAATAAATCAATAAATGCAGATCTCTCTCATACAACAAAACTTAGTCCGGCGTCGTTTTTCGGTATAATACAACTTAACATGACGATCAGAAAAAATAGATTAAAAATTAGCCGTGTTGAGAGTAAAGTTAAAAATCTATGTCATTATATTTTTTACTTTCTCGTATACGAATTATAGAGGAAGTATTGTAATCGTGCGACATTTACTCCTCCCTGAGTCGGAAAAACATAGATTAGCAATCTTGTCCGCATTTCTGTGTGTATGTGTGTGTGTATGTGTGTCTGTGAACACGATAACTTGAGTACCGTTACAGCTAGGCTGATGAAATTTCATATATAAGTATTATATCAAATTTGTAGTTCTGTATCAACCGGAAGTGGAACTTATTCTACTTTCAATTTTTCAAAAGCCTGTATCTTGAGTACTGTTTCAGATAGATTAATGAAATTTCACACATAAGTAAAAGACCTTTGCCTTCTATCAAATTCTTAGTAATTTACGTCGACCGGAAACATTAGTTTACGCTATTTCCGATTTCTCAAAAAACTAATATGAATTTATAAAGTACTAATATTCCACACTATTATAAATATACGAGCCGACCCGCGGCGTATCATACGCCGCTATTTAAATGTTTTATTTTCTACTTTTCATAATTTGTGAATTCGACAGTACCAATGTTGCCACTGAATATATTTGCTTTAAAACACTATTAGTAGCTTGTTAATGACGATAACCCTCCCCCCTCCTTTCCCCAACGCCTATCCCCCCCGTGAAAGCAGCCTCCTCTTAGTTACCTCCCCTAAGTTTAAAATCGTTTCAAACTAAATTATCTACCCCTAATAGCCGTCACTAAACCCGTATTGTAAACATTTAGCGTGAACCACAGCTCACCAGACCATGTAGAGGTGGGGGTGGTAGGGAGCGCGCTTACAGGTTGGTGTTTTCTAGGGCCTCCAAGAAGAGAATTTATATATATATATATATATATATATATATATATATATATATATATATATATATATATATATATATATATATATATATATATATATAGATTCTTTGGCATTTACTTGGTGCGCAATTATTTTTTTTCTACGAGATTCTATTCTATTTTAAAAAGTTTAAGTAATAAAAAATTACTAATTAAAATTACTATAGACATGATTAAAAATTATGTCTATATCGCGAGTTGCCATCCCTCGTAGTGTTATAAAAGAATTTTCGAGAAAGTTTAGGGGAGATCACTCCGGTTTATTTTATGCAAGCTTTTACTTGGGTCACAATATGTGCTGATTTTGTAGTCAATTCTAGTTCTAGTCACTGTCGTCACATTCCTGATAGAATACAGTTTTCAAAGTTTGCAGTTAAGCGAATTAGTTCTAGTTTCTAAACTAATTAAATGAATTTATATATTACTATATTAAAAACAATAAGTTTTTATACATTTGGTTTTTTTACAATAAGCATTTTTGAAGCGGCAAATCGATACGTTGAAGAGGGTTACATTAAGGTTTTGGAAATACAAAATGAGATGAAATTCATGTAAACCAGCTTTGTTTTCGACTATTCTTCCATATGTTATACTCTTCCACCTCTTTTGTTGGCAAACATGTTTCAAACCAGCTTCTTCTCAATTTTTGAACCAACAAGCTTTTAAATTCAATGTATCTTTTGTATTCATTTACATATTTCGCTATTTATTTACTATACTCTGTACACCAATGTAACTATCTTGTAAATATCCACCCAAACGGCGTGGAATGTTACTGTATTTGTTTGAAATTGGGAAAAAAAAAGTATTAATTAAAAAAAAAGAGAGCGAAATAAAATAAAATAAATAAATTTGGAAATACAAAAAAAAAAAAAAAAAAGAAATTAAAAAAATAATAAAATAGACGGGACAGTGTGGCCGTCTCGAGTTCGAGTTCGAATCCGGGTTCAAGTCAGCAGCCCGTCCATGAGTCCACCCAACTCTGATGGGCACCTAACTCATGTTAGGGAAAGTAAAGGCGGCTGGGCATAGTACTGACTCTACTTCACTTGCCCTATAGACCGTCAGGTTTGAAAGGGAACGTTACTTACTTTACTTATTTGTAACATATGTACAAATAAACCGGGAGTGACCTCCCCTAAACTTTCTCAAATATTCTTATATAACTTGGAATATAGACATCATTTTTAATTACTTAAACTTTTAAAAATAGAATTGAACCTCATAGAAAAAATAATTGCGCACCAAGCGAACGCCAAAACAAAATGTGCATAATAGCGCGCAATATTATTAGTACTTTATAAATTTACATGCGTTTTTTGAGAAATCGGAAATAGCGTAAATTAGTACTTCGGGTCAACGGAAATAACTCAAAATTTGATAGAAGGTAGAGATATAGATCTTTTACTTACATGTGAAATTTCATTTATCTATCTGAAGTAGTACTCAAGTTATAGGCTTTTGAAAAATTCAAAGTAGAAAAAGTACCCCCTCCGGTTATCGGGAATCGCTCAAAAGTTGATACGGATCTACGATTTTGATAAAATACTTATATATGAAATTTCATCAACCTAGCTATAACGGTACTCAAGTTATCGTGTTTACACACAGACAGACACACACACAGACACACAGACATACGGACAAGATTGCAAAATTATGTTTTTCCGTATCAGTGAGGTGTAAAACTTCGAGATTTGTAAAAATCGATTTTTTTTTTGCACGACTACAAGACTTTCTCTATACTTCGTATATACGAGAAAGTAAAAGAGGAAATAAGGTTGTTTAAAATTATACAGTTCTTACGATGTGTGCTCTCATCGAAAAAAAAAGTAAATTATTTAATACTAAAAAAAGAAAATTAAAACTTTGACAGGCACTATTAAATAATGTGCTTTTTAAAGAACATCATCAGCATTATAATATACTGTATGTTGCATGTGAATTAATCCTGTTTAAAACGAATAATTTTTATAGGGTGGGTGTCCATGATTTTAAATTCACTACGAAATAGAAAATAGACATATTGTACTAAAAGCAATAAAAGTCATTCTAGAAATCTTTTCAATATACAATATAACGACCAACGTTTGAATTATTATAACTATAAAAAATAATGATTATTTTGTTATATTTAATGTTTTAAAATGTTTGTTATTAAAATATTTTTATACATGTTCGTTTTTAACGATGGAAAAATATGCTAACCATCTAATGTACACCCGTTAAATATATAGTAGATAGTGCTGGTAGAAATAAATCGTTGCTTATTGATTTAGTCGTCTTTGCATTTTCATTTAGCGTGGAGTACTCGATAATATTTCAAATCTTCAGTTCTTCCTACGACTAGTATTGCGTTTAGATGTGTGTAGGGCAGGACTTAAGATGAGAGTTAGGTTAACAATGTTTACATGGATACCAAGCGTATGAGCATTTAAGGTAGAGGTAATCGAGGGGTACCATTATAACTTTTACTTCTAAACGTATTTATTTATTTATTTCTCGCACGGAACGAGACTAAAACGAATGTAATATTATTCCAAACAAATATATCTGAAGAAACGTAGTATTTATAAAATAGCATAATTGAACCGTGTACATTTTCCGGACAATAAGTTTACATCAATCATCTCAATCATCACACAAGCGCCCTTTGATGGCTAAATCTTACCTCAGTATTGTAAGCCATAGACAAGGAAATATAATGTTGAATAAATAATAGAGAGTTTTGCGTCGTATGACGATGGTGAACCGGACATCCGGGTACGGCTCTATACAACATGCGTACTTCATCTCGGTACGGCGGATCCGGACGTCGATCAGTTCCCACTCGCCACTGAATACGTAGTTCGCTAGGTCCACCTTCGATGTTCTGAAAGGTCATACAGAAATATATGATTGGATCATAGATCTACTAGGTCCACCTTGGATATTTTGAAAGATCAGACAGAAATATATTATTGTATCATAGTTCTACTGAATACATAGTTGATTAGGTCCACCTTGGATGTTCTGAAAGGTCAGACAGAAATTTATGATTGGATCATAGTTCTACTAGGTCCAACTTGGATATTTTGAAAGATCAGACAGAAATATATTATTGTATCATAGTTCTACTGAATACATAGTTGATTAGGTCCACCTTGGATGTTCTGAAAGGTCAGACCGAAATATATAATTGGATCATAGTTCTACTAGGTCCACCTTGGAAGTTCTGAAAGGTCAAAGATAGTTACATGATTGGATTATAGCCTACTGAACATGTAGTTCGCAAGGTCCACCTTCGATGTTCTGAAAGGTCAAACACAAATATAACATTAGCTGGATCTAAAACATCATCTGAGTACTTAGTTCACTTGATCCACTTTGAATATTCTCAAAAGTTACCCAGAAATTTAACATTAGCTGGATCTAAATTTCTGATGAAAACGTATATTGTTTAGATTCACTTTGGATGTTCTAAAAAGTCAGACAAGATTTTATCATTAGTTATCTAGTTAGACTGGAACATAATTCTACTAATGTAAACAGCCAAGTATATATATTTATATTTATTTATTATTTAAACAACAAAATATCATATTGAGGCTATTTTTTTCCGATCAGATCCATTAGTATTAAAATGATTAAAAATAAAAATATACCCGTGTTTTTCAGAAAATAAAATTGATGAAGTTAATTTTATTATGTAGAAGTGATACCAGTATACTTTGGTATTTATAGAAACATGTCTTGGTACATTTAGGTCGATGTAATTAAAGAACATGGAAAAATAAAAGTTTTTCTGATTGTAAGTCCCATGTCTAATTGACAAGATTTGAGATATGAATATGTGGCCGGCACACAACATCATACATTGTGATACAAATAAATGTACAAACAGAGCAACTAATCTTAGCTCAGAACAGAAAAGCTTTGAAGAGATGAGACGTTCAAGAGGATTGTTTCGTTTCATTAAAGTCTGAGTTCAAGTTTTGAAGGGGATTGTTTATGTGTACGTGTGATTGTGTGGATACGTATTTGTGTGCGTGTGTTTGAGGGACTGTGTGTTTATGTGTGTACTGTGTGTGGGTATGTGAGTACGTGTGACAGTGTTCATGTACATTTATGTGTGCGATTTATTATATGGTTGTTTGAGTTTGTGTGTGTGTGAATGTGTGTGGCTGTAAGAATGGTTGTGGTTGTTTAAGTGTTTAGATGTGAGTTTGTTTATGTGTTTAGATGTGAGGTTGTGTGGTTGTTTGAATGTGAATGTGAGTGTCTGGCTGTGTATGTGGTTGTGTGAGTGTGTTTGAGTGCGTGTGTGGATGTGGATGTGTATGTGTGTGGTTGTGAGTGTGTTTGTGTGAGTGTGTTTGTGTGCGTGTGTGGATGTGTACGTGTGTGGTTGTGTGTTGCGTTTGTGAGTGTGTGGTTGCGTGCGTGGCTGTATTTGATTGTCTTGTTGAGTGTGTTTGCGTATCTGTATATGTTTGTGTGATGTGTGTGTGTGTGTGTGCACAATATGTGTTAAAGTACAATTTACTCATCAAACTCGCTGACTTTGCCATTACGCCAAGGAAGCAAAAAAAATACACCTTACAAAAGACGGATGATAATGATTTGATTTATCTCTATTGACGCTCTACATAGACTCGGCTTGTTTCGACTATGTTTAATCATGTCTTTAATCTTCCTTTTGTTTCCCCATTTTCCTTTCTATTTTCTCGATGAATATTGAAATCTTGGCAGAATATGTATAGTGTTCTACATTCTGGACTTCTTTGTACATTACTTCAAGACTAACTTTCACACTGAGAAATATATTCTACGTTTTCTCCGGAAAACACGTTTGTTTTTCCATTTTTGCACTTCTTATTTTTAAATAACTTAATAACATGTCTAAGTCAAAGAGCCCAAGGGAGAGAACCAAGACTTCACGGACTGTCTGTCTGATGTCTCAAACCGTCTCAAAGGAAATTCAGACTAGCAGTTTAGGTGTCATGGTGTGGGTTGTATAAAGATAAGGCCAGATGTGCTGACAAGGCGATTTGAAAAAAATTCTAAACGTCACTCAACTAAGTGTTTGTTTCAAGAGACCCCACCCCCTCCACGCTTTCAATCAGTCATGTTAAAAGTATATTGAATTGATATTCAGTAAATTTAGTTTATTGTTCTGGGTGGTAAAATTTATTATTGCCAGAGACATAGCTCTTGTGGAGAGTATGGTGCGATTCACTAAGCCCGTCACTTGAAAAATTTCCTAACATGCTTATAAATATCTTAGGTCTTGTTTGATGTGAGAGATCTTTGATAAGGTCATAGATGTACCCGTTGGGGAGGTTGACCTTGAATGAACCCATCGTAGGTCCAGGAACCAACTAGTTGTTTTATAAGGTCATAGACCTACCTGTTGGGGAGGTTGACCTTGAATGAACCCATCGTAGGTCCAGGAACCAACGAGATGTTTTATAAGGTCATAGACCTACCTGTTGGTGATGTTGACCTGGAACCCATCGTAGGTCCAGGAACCAAATTTGAGCTCGCAGGTTTGGTCATCAAACGGGAAGTAGGTGATGTCGATCTTGCAGGAGCTGCGGAACTTGGCTGGTGGTGGCCAGAAGACGTTGCCGTCGTAGCTGACCATCGCCTTGCTGTTCATGTAGCCGGTGGTGTAGTCGTCAGCGCTGGGGAGGGAACAGTTGTGTGTAAGGTCTGGTTAGGGAACTGGGGAGGGAACATTTGTATGTAAGGTCTGGTTAGGGAACATTTGTATCTCAGGTCTGGTTAGGGAACTGGGGAGGGAACATTTGTATCTTAGGTCTGGTTAGGGAACATTTGTATCTCAGGTCTGGTTAGGGAACTGGGTAGGGAACATTTGTATGTCAGGTCTGGTTAGGGAACTGGGGAGGGAACAGTTGTGTGTAAGGTCTGGTTAGGGAACTGGGGAGGGAACATTTGTATGTAAGGTCTGGTTAGGGAACATTTGTATCTCAGGTCTGGTTAGGGAACTGGGGAGGGAACATTTGTATCTTAGGTCTGGTTAGGGAACATTTGTATCTCAGGTCTGGTTAGGGAACTGGGTAGGGAACATTTGTATGTCAAGTCTGGTTAGGGAACATTTGCATGTCAGGTCTGGTTAGAGGACTGGGAAGGGAACATTTGTATGTCAGGCCTGGTTAGGGAACATTTGTATCTCAGGTCTGGTTAAGGGACTGGGGAGGGAACATTTGTATCTCAGATCTGGTTAGGGAACATTTGTATCTCAGGTCTGGTTAGAGGACTGGGAAGGGAACATTTGTATCTCAGATCTGGTTAGGGAACATTTGTATCTCAGGTCTGGTTAGTGGACTGGGCAGGGAACATTTGTATCTCAGATCTGGTTAGGGAACTGGGGAGGGAACATTTGTTTGCTAGGTACAGATAGGGGATTATTTGTATGTTAGGTCTGGTTAGGGAACTGGAGAGGGAACATTTGTATCTCAGGTCTGGTTAGGGAACTGGAGAGGGAACATTTGTATGTCAGGTGTGGTTAGGGAACTGGAGAGGGAACATTTGTATGTCAGGTGTGGTTAGGGAACTGGGGAGGGAACATTTGTATGTTAGGTCTGGTTAGGGAACTGGAGAGAGAAATTTGTATCTCAGGTCTGGTTAGGGAACTGGGGAGGGAACATTTGTATGTCAGGTGTGGTTAGGGAACTGGGGAGGGAACATTTGTATGTCATGTACAGTTAAGGGATTTTTTTGTATGGGAACAATTTGTTTAACAGCACAAGTGAATGGGATAAGTAGTAAGAGGTCAACTTTTATACTTCCGCAGCTAATGAAGAACAGATTTTACAATAACATTGGCGAGGGAAAAAATTGTTTAATTAGCACTGGGGAAAACATTAGTTTTATCTTAGTACTGCAAGGGTACATTTTTAAAGTTCGTTTTTAAGTTATTTCTAAAAAAAACATAACTAATCGCCGTGGAACAAAAAGTGAACTCTATTTATCCGATCCAACGATAACGAGATAGAGCTGGCCTAGTGTGGCAAGACATCAAGAACCGCACATAGAAAGGTGAAGTATGTTTTATCCACGGGATGCCAGCAACATTTGCTCTCAGCTCTACTGGCGTTGGTTGCATGACTTGCAACAGGTAAACCACGATACGATCAGCCACACAGCGGGCTCCCACACAACAACAATAACACGGCCATCACGTGATGATCTCTCCTGACACTTCACATCAATAACCAGATCTTAACGCGCGGAGATAATTTGTAGTTGGCGTTTATTTACTCGAACACTGTTATCGATGATTAATATTTGAAATAAAAATATCTCCCATAATTTTATGTGATGTTTCTGTTGAGCGTGAACCAACAAAAACAAAGGAACATTAACTCTGCTTCTTTAAGGCAACTTAAGTGCAACTACAGTCGAATCTATAGGACCCCGTGGCCGAGCGGTAGAGCGCTAGACTGCTAACCCAAAAGACTCCAGTTACTTTTTCTTCTTCAACTGTTTGCTCTAAATATTCCCTTATCCTGACAAAAACATACTCTAATTAACACTTGTTTTTTTCTGTCTAAGCTTTAAGTGGTATCTGCAATACATATTATATTATTAAGTAAAATACAGATATTCGTATTAAAATAACATTGACCTAAACCCAAATCACGTGTCTGCAGTAAAATTATTGATAGTGGGTTGATATAGAGACTGGTCATTAACCCCAGCGGATTTTTCTTTCATGCCATAAGACTTGAGTACTCAATTAAATTGTCTAATAATTCATTAGACAGAGGGTGTTTCAAAAACTTCATCTCCTATTGAGTTGATGTAACTTGATGTTCTCACAGCTAATAAAAATGTAAGGTTATTACAGGGTGCCACACAACCTTTGACCTATGCTGTTGACCACCTGTGGTAAGCCTGTTAATTAATGCTCTGATGTACTTCCCCTACCCACACTTAAACAGATTAATAATTTAATAATCTAGAAATGGGATTAAATGCTAAGCCAACACAGTTCGTTATTAGTTTTGTCGAAATAGTTATTAGATAATATAAATAAACTAAGTACTCTTTTAAGCTTGTAATTACATCATTAACCAATCAACAAACGAGGGCGCCACACCCTCGCCCCACCCTCGTCCCACCCTCGCCACACCCTCCCTGATGGGGAGATGCCAAATGGCGCCAATAGAGACCTATTAGATTAGGGGATTATAAAAACACTTCACTCACTTCATTGTTAGATTCTCCCAACATTAACTCTGACATGAATGGAACGTGAACACAAAAATTTAAAGTTTGAGTTATCAAATTCAAAAAAATGGAAGAGAATCGCATTGAGTTTAGCAGTACGGGCTATTTTAAAATTTCTGCACTTCCGTTTTCTGCTGACCTCATCTTTACAGAGGTCAAGGTTACACGCGTGCGTACATGTAAAAACACGGGAATTAGGAAATAGCATCAGCCTGTAGCCAGCTAAGGGTTTAGAAGCATACAGCAGCGTGCAGACAAGATTAGCATTCATTTATTTTTATTTCATTTTTAAAGAAGTAGATTACAGTTAGCTTTGGAAAAAAAATGATCAGTCGCAGAATATCCAAAGAGTTTTAAAACAAGCGAAAATGTTTGATCGATGGCCTAAGGACTGGATGAAAAGGTTAACATATTTGATCAATGATTTTTTTAAGTACATTAATCTCTCATCAGCGTGTATTTGTTTTAGCGTTGTGTTTACTATTAAATGTACATGTGAAAAATTCAGCAAGGTGTAGATAAATAGTAGGAAAGTTGTCTCTCTTGGTACATTAAACTTCCTAAACACACCAAAATCTTAGTAATTTTAAAAAGAAAGCTGATTCTATAGTGTGTAAGACAGCATTAATATAGATCGAATCTATTTAAACTAAAATATCAAAATTAGATACGTTTTAAAAAAGCAAGGTAGTTTAGTAGTTTTAATGAATTAAAAATAGTTCGAAGTAAAATATTTGAAGTGCTTGATGCCATCCCCTTAAAACAAAGTTTTTAATTTAAGACGAAGTTACATAACTAAGTCCGTGACGTCAACCTAGCCAAGCAACCAGAATTCTAGAGAAGCGAAAGGGCAATTGGAAAGGAAATTAGAGAGGGCTATTCAATAAGTAGTAGGCTAGTTGAAATATTAAGGGGCATAAAATATAATGAGTTGTTTAACTCAGGCATATTAAAAAGCATCTAGACGGTCATTTTTTAAAGGTTTTAATACTTATTTTATTTCAATCTCGAGATACTTAGTTTTTTTTAAAAATACATTAGTTTTCGTGAAACTTCGCTTTTTCTGAGTACTGTTATTTTCGCATCACATATGTTTTATGACACAATCACGATGGCATACATATGATCAACACGACCCGACTACTACGTCACACCCATCATCAATAGGACACGCTAGCTATCTAGACATACACACAATTAACATGACACATCTAAAATGACACACACAGCACTACGACTGTTATCATGACATGCTCATGATCAATACGAAACACTAACTGCCAAGTGTTTACCACAACACACATTTCATTGTGTTTAAACACAGACAGACCATGATTTACTGATGTCAACATGACACACTAACTGCCAAGTGTCTACCACGACACACAACATTTCCCCGTGTTTAAACACAGACAGGCCATGATTTACTGATGTCAATACGACACACTAACTGCCAAATGTTTACCACAACACACAACATTTGCTCGTGTTTAAACACAGACAGGCCATGATTTACTGATGTCAACATGACACTCAAGATAAAACAACTGTTTGTGTTTTCATACCGCCCCCCCTCCCCTCCAATCCAACACTAGAGCATAACGTATATGAAACACATCTACATTATTACATCACATGTAACAGACACACCTTTCTGCACCATAGGTGGATAAGTGCATTAAGTTTGCCTGCTGCAACGTTTGAATGGAAGATGATTAGCTTACCATCTGCCTATTATATAGAACACGATTATAACACCATCTGCCTATTATATTGAACATGATTAGAATACCATGTGCCTGTTATATAGAACATGATTAGAATACCATGTAGATCTACCTTTTATATAAAACATGATTAGAATACAATTCACCTGTTGTATAGTACTATGTCAGGCAGCCAGAGCTTCTCACACGGAATCCTCAGGATCTTCAGATTATTGTAGTCTTCTGGGTCCCAAGTCAAGCGCTCATCAGTCCACTCCTAAAATTAATTATGTTAATTAGAGATATCAAGGTTTACTATCTTGAAACGGACATGACCCTCTTCCGAAATTAACGAAATACCGAGGTTAATAAACGAAACTGACATGAATTAGTTATGTGCCCTTATAAACCAAATCACGAGTCATACCCGTGTCTAAATAGACAGCCAAAGTTCAAGGATAGACATAGGGACCAATCGTGAAGTCATAAAATGAAAGCTGCAACAAAATTAAAAAAAAAATTTGACTATCATCGAGTTTCATTTTACATAACTCATATTAAAAATATAATATTCTATTGAAAATGATTCTAAATGATCGCACCCCCACAACTTCAGCTCGTGTTAAAAGCGCGCAAATATTTCTGATACAACTAGGGAGAAAACCAATCGTCTGGGATGTCTATCAAACTATTTTACAACAAAAGAACTCTAGAAAACTGACACTAGTAACGACTACTCCAGTATTTCTGGATTACGTCCCTTTCTTCGCCCATCTCAACACTCTCATAAAAAGAAATGTACCTAAAGACCCTTGCCACAATCTAAATATTAAACAAATAAAAAAAACTAGATCTAGTATTAAAATATAAAATTAAAATGAATTTGATCTCGTACATTTTCCCCCCGCCGATCACAAATCTATTTTATGTTATATCTCACGGGTCTATATGCGGCTCTCGCGTTATGAGCAAACTGTCATCGACGATATAACGACATCTTCAGGACACTCTAGACTGTGTCCAGCTCTCTAGCATATTGATCCTAGTCTTGTATCCCCCAATAAGGTTAGGGAACAAGAGTACAGAGGTTTATGATAAACAGTCGTTTACCCCAAGTACACCTCAATATAAAAACAGGCTGGCGTGATCGATGATATTCGTATTGGAGTTTTGAGTGAGGAATGGGAAGTAACTCATTGGGTTTATCTATATAAAGGGCTCAACATAGAGGGGATTGAGTAGGGCAGGATCACATCCCAGTTAACTGGATAATAAGACGGATATCAGGAGTTACATAGCAATAACATAGCAGAGGTGGGTGGACGGTGGTCGTATACTCAACAGGTCTGGCAGGATACTGATATGTCCTTGAGAGAGGGGTGGACACTGGTATGACCACCAGAGCTGAGTGGACACTGTCCATCTGAGCTAAGTGGACATTTGTATGCTCATTAGTCTTGGACTAATAGCGCTATTTCATACAGTTCAAAATTGGATGAATTCAATACACCACAGCATATTGAATTTAAGTAAAGACAAGCAGACAAACGTATGTGGACAGTGTCCGTGTGTAATTAACCTTTGAACTCAACTCAAGACAAATTTATGTGGACAGTGTCCTTGTGTAATTAACCTTTGAACTCAAGACAAACGTATGTGGACAGTGTCCGTGTGTAATTAACCTTTGAACTCAAGACAAATTTATGTGGACAGTGTCCTTGTGTAATTAACCTTTGAACTCAAGACAAACTATGTGGACAGTGTCTGTGTATACTTAACCTTTGAACTCAAGACAAACGAATGTAGACAGTGTCTGTGTATACTTAACCTTTGAACTCAAGACAAACGTATGTGGACAGTGTCCTTGTATAATTAACCTTTGAACTCAAGACAAACGTATGTGGACAGTGTCCGTCTGTAATTAACCTTTGAACTCAAGACAAACGTATGTGGACAGTGTCCTTGTATAATTAACCTTTGAACTCAAGACAAACGTATGTGGACAGTGTCCTTGTATAATTAACATTTGAACTCAAGACAAACGTATGTGGACAGTGTCTGTGTATACTTAACCTTTGAACTCAAGACAAACTATGTGGACAGTGTCTGTGTATACTTAACCTTTGAACTCAAGACAAACGTATGTGGACAGTGTCCTTGTATAATTAACCTTTGAACTCAAGACAAACGTATGTGGACAGTGTCCTTGTATAATTAACCTTTGAACTCAAGACAAACGTATGTGGACAGTGTCCTTGTATAATTAACCTTTGAACTCAAGACAAACGTATGTGGACAGTGTCCTTGTATAATTAACCTTTGAACTCATACAAGACAAACGTATGTGGACAGTGTCCTTGTATAATTAACCTTTGAACTCAAGACAAACGTATGTGGACAGTGTCCTTGTATAATTAACCTTTGAACTCAAGACAAACGTATGTGGACAGTGTCCGTGTGTAATTAACCTTTGAACTCAAGACAAACGTATGTGGACAGTGTCCGTGTGTAATTAACCTTTGAACTCAAGTAAAGACAAACGTATGTGGACAGTGTCCTTGTGTAATTAACCTTTGAACTCAAGTAAAGACAAACGTATGTGGACAGTGTCCTTGTGTAATTAACCTTTGAACTCAAGTAAAGACAAACGTATGTGGACAGTGTCCAGACGAAGAGATAAAAGCACTGACCTGCTCCAGCCAAACATTTATTGTCAGCACCTGGTTCACCTCGTCCTGAAGAAAACAATCAAGAGAAGAGCGTTAATTACCAGCTATCGCAATTAAAATAATAACTTAGTAATTAAGTTAGTTTACACCCATTGAAATAACATGTTTTTGCTCATAAGTTTTTATCAAAAAGTGGAACGTTAATTACACGTGAGTGGGTGAGACTACCTTCAATTTCCCCCCCCCCCCCCTCCCCCCACACACCCCTAAACAACAGGCAATAACATTTTGTAAATGTTTAAACTATTTTACACAAAAACTCTTCAAATCCTTCGACAAACTTAACACAATCATTTATTTGGCGATGGAATCTGAGACTTTTAAGTATGAGCATCCAGAGATTCTGAGTGCATTGTGAATTGTTCTCATTAGTGTGAATACATTGTTTCCAGTAAATGGATGCACCACTGCACACATGTGATTATCGTTTGCAATAAATTTCAAACAATCATCGCTTGAGTTTGTTTACAACTTCGCTTTTGTTTGAAATTGTCGTTTTATAGCATACGTTTTTTTCCCAACGTCGCTTTTGTTTGAAAGTATCGTTCTATAGTTTGATTGTTTACATCTTCGTTAGTCGGATGTTTACAATGTATTGAGTTACCCTTTCGGGTCTGACAGTCTATGTATCCAATGCAGTAGAGTTCGACTATTTCCGTGACCTGAGCTTAATAAAGAATAGTGTCGTCAATTCAACCCCCAAACCGTCTTAACCTTCCCCAACTCCTGTCAGGTACCCAATAGAACTGAGTAAACGCATAAAGTTGCACTGCGCCGTCTATACTACGATGCACCACGTTAACTTTTCTCCTTGAAGCTTGTAAGCGGCAAAGGGTTACAAATACACCAGCAATGCAATATTGTTTGAACATAGTTTAAATAAATCAACTCATCGATCACTTATCTTTTTACTTTCTTACAATGTACACTGTTATCAATATTTCCTTAGCATTACACTCCCAGAAATCCGTCTCTAGGTTGGCGTATGTCTGGTCAGGCAAGATTTCAATGTTTACTTAGGGTAGATTAACTTCTAGGGTGTCCGTTCTGAACAGCTGAATCTACACACAGATGTAGTTGGACCAAGTACTGGACGGAGGGTAGTGGGTACTGTGACGTTTGTCAACGTCACGAGTTAAGAGTACACGAGTACTAGTGACCTGCACTAGCTCTTGGTTTTAAATTGTACGTATCTAACAGTATACCGGTGATACGAGCTAGCTGCTAAAAAGTATATATTGTTTGTACTTTGGTAGGCCTAAGCTCAATGTTAGGAACTCATGATTATAAATTGTTTGTACTTATGTTAAAGTATACTGGTGATCCAAGCTAGCTGCTTAGTATTATAAATTGTTTGTACTTTGAGTAGACCTATGCTCAATTTTAGAACATGATTAAAGATTGTTTGCACTTATCTTAAAGTATAACGTTGATACGAGCTGGCTGTTCAAAGGAGGCCAAGCTTAATATTAGGAACACATGATTATAAATTGTTTGTACTTTGAGTAGACCTATGCTCAATTTTAGAACATAATTAAAGATTGTTTGCACTTATCTTAAAGTATAACGTTGATACGAGCTGGCTGTTCAAAGGAGGCCAAGCTTAATATTAGGAACACATGATTATAAATTATTTGTACTTGTCTTAAAGTCTACTGTGATCCGGTCTTACTACTTCGAGATATAAATTGTTCTTATATTTAGAATGTACTTGTGATGCGGGCTAGGAGCTCATGTTTATTAATTGCCTGTACTATTGTACGTCGTGCTGATCGAGTGCATTGATCTGATTGTTTACAATCTGTACAATCAAGATGTCGCCTGGCCCATTCATCTTTTTGGTTATTGGTTTTTCTATCTGGTTAAGTGCGCGTGTTCAATCACGCAGACACAGCAGGTTGGTCAACCACTAGCGGGTCAATGATTCAACTATCTAGTCAATCAGTTGTCTATATAGTCAATCATTCAACTATCTAGAGAATCATTAATCTATATAGTCAATCATTCAACTATCTTGTCGATAATTCATCTCTATCATCAATCATTCGTATATATATTAAATAATGTAACTATCTAGTCAATCATTCATATATAAAGGCAATCATTCAACTATCTTGTCAGTCATTAATTATAAAGTCAATAGTTCAACAATCTAGTCAATCATTCATCTATACAGTCAATCATTCGACTATATAGTCAATTATTAATTTTCTAGTCAATCTTTCGACTATCTAGTCAGTCATTCAACTATCTAGACTATCATTCATCTATACAGTTAATCATTCAACTAACTAGTCTATCATTCATTTATATAGTCAATCGTTCAACTATCTAGAAAATCATTCAACGATATAGTCAATCATTCAACTAACTCGTCAATCATTGATTTATCAAACCAGTCAAAGATCTACCTAGTTAATACTTCAAACATCTAGTCAGTCTCTCGTCTATGTAGCAAATCCTTGATCTATCTAATTGGTCATTAAAGTATCTAATCAACGATAAATCTATTTGGTCAACTATTCAACAAAATACTCAATCATTCCTTTATCTAGTCAATCATTTATCTATAACATCAATGATTTGGCCCCGCATGTACGTATTACTCAACTACCCTCCGTAGCTAGCGGCGCAATATGTCAATCTGCCACTCCTAAAAATATTTCATCAAGAACCTTATTCCTAGACCTAATTACACCAGCTGCGCTGATAAAATCTAATGATTTTACACGGGACATTACCTTAACTGACTATTAACACGACATAAACACGTCGTTTGCTAGCGTCACTGGTGCATATTAATGAGAAATCGAGGTGTGGATGCAGCGTATACTGAAGCACCTTTCAAGATCTAACTCACCTAATTACACACAAAAAACTTCCAATAAACAGATGCTGTGAAATGTAGTAAACTTGAAAGACGCCCGAAGTTTATTTTTTTAAATAAATAAAAATAACAGATTGCTTTTTTTAATATTCAGATAAGCTAAGTTTACCAAGATTTTGGGTAAAAATATTCTTAACGATCGAAATGTAGGAATACAGAAGCGGTGTCGGGTCGAACAACGAGATATTGCTGTCTCGACCTTTATGTTGAAGGCGGGGGTTACTAATGCTGGATTGAGAGACCGAATTCGCGTGCCGTATCATATTTTTTTTTCTTTCTTTTTCTAATGAGCGCGGTTCCACGAGAGAGGATAGCCGTCAATTTATTCTACTCACCCCAATCTTTCTGTGGTAGAGGTTAATCTGTTATGCCACCTCTCTCCTCCCCCCACCCCATCTGACCTTGAAACACCCCCCCACTCTTTCATCGTACGCCATCGGTCTCTCCCTCCCCCTAATAATCTAAAGCCTCCCCTCCCCACTCCGCTCCTTAGCCGATATTTATCTTGTGGAAGTATCTTCTAGTTTCAAAAAGAAAAATGTGCCTTTTAGTTTACGGTAGAAATAATTTAACAGTCCAGTTCCCCACTGTGTGTGTGTGGGGGGGGGGGGGGGAAGTAGTGTTTTGTAGGAATAAAAAGGTACACTTTTTTACTAGTTTCCTGTGTGAATGATTGAACGAGGCCTACTTAATAGTATGTTTGTAGATGTCAGTTCTTTTCTTATCCGTTGAATGCTTACTTATCATTGCTGAGTGTTAACTTTTTTCTTATATTTTGAATTAATTAATAATTGTATTTGAATTTTTTCTCCCGAATGAAATTTAGGGATTGGTCAATTTGCTTTATTCAAATCTTCTTTAAGAATGTCACAATTTTAGAAGAATTTTTTTCTTTGCATTACAGTTTTCAGAAAACAGAATATTTTCGTATGCTTTTTGTACGTATTCAACAATTGGTCTGGGTTTTAAAAGCCATACACCATCAGACCAAGATGGGTTATCCACCCTTGCTTACCATATCGGAGATCTGAACTAGGGTTATACCAAATTTGACCACGACAGAGAGGGAAGCGTTTATCACGGGGCGGGAGTATCGGTGGTAGTTGGTCAGCAGTTCCTCCATCAGCAGCTGTTCGTCTGGGATCGGCCTGGGAACGCCCTCAACGCTTCTTCGGTTCCTCTTTTCTACACTGTTTTGAAGGGACGAAACTCTACCTTCAATAGCTGGGTTACTTCCCCTGTCTGCCGGCGCGACTGGGCGAGGGGGCTGTGTGGTTTCTGAGGAAGTTCATTAACAAATGAGGTAAAACAATTAACCAAATGCAAAAGTGACTTACCATGTCTGAGATTTGGGTCAAGGTTATGCCGAACTTGACCACGACTGTGTGGGAGGCGTTGTACACGGGCCTGGCTGCGGGGTTGTAGTTGTGCATTATGTTATCAATCAGGCGGGTCTCGTCCGTTTTCACGTTAGCAGACGAGCAGGTGGGGGTCCCGGTCGTTAGAAACAGGAGACCCGCCAGCAGACGGCACAGAAGCGACTCCATGTCACGTGTTTGTCAATGTCACATCTTAAAAACCAGTTCTCACAGCATTGTCTGCTATATGCCGCGGCACAATTTTAAATTTCCACACATTTTACACAAATCTTTTCGGCTGGGCTATAAAAACTATTGTTTTTTAAACAGACACACGATTTATTTCTTAAGAAAGTAAATGGGGTATCATTACGTTTAGATAAATCACGATCAATCAGATAATTGAATACAAAGAAATTGTAAAATGGAATCAATTAAGCTGTCTCAATATATATATATATATATATATATATATATATATATATATATATATATATATATATATATATATATATATATATATAAAAGGGCGTGTGTGTGTTTGTATATGTGTGTGTGTGTGTGCGTGTTCGCGTGCTGCTATGTGAAGTACAAGGTACGTATATAGTATATAGACTAGATTCTCCGTTTGATATCAACACCAAACACATAAACGAAGGTATTCATCATTATGCGGGTCAGCAAACGGAATCTGTTATCATTAAATTAACGAATGCATGACTCTTCATCAAATTCATATTAGTTTCCCCAAGAATCCCAACTTCTAATTTAGAAAAATAAAGAGTAAAACGCGAATTTATTTTTTACTTGCTAAGCTGGCTAAAGCGGTTGAGAAAAAAAAAACTAAGGATAAAACCGAAAAAAAAACTATCAACACAAAGTTTTTAAAACTTGAAGTGACGTAGAAGGGACGCAGCGCTGTAAAGCTAATGCAGTTTAATTTAATTAAGCATTAAAAAGCTTAAAGACCGGTTCTAAGGCAGTTTTATCATCGTTTTGTGGAACAGTTTGACTCCATCAAGGGACTGAACTCCAGGGTAAAATGTTACTCTGTAGCGGGGCGTGGGGTTGTAGGGAGTGGGGAACTTCAATGCTAACTAGCTACTTAGGCCGGTCTGAAGTCCTGGTCTCTCCCTCGTGACAGTGTTACGACTTCTAGACTCATTATGTAAATCAGAGTAATTGCTAGGAAAGTTAATGATTGAACATAGCAAGGGAGACTACCGTTGACGATATCTTGTTTCGATTTGCAACATTTGAACCGTTTTTTTGTGTATACGAAAGCAGAAGTACCCGTGTATTTGTTTTCTAATTATGTAAAAAAAAAAGACTTGACAAATGTCTAAAGAAAATAACAGGGTAGTAAGTATAAAGACCTCACAGCCAAACCGTCGCAGATTTCAAGCATCCATCTAAAGCAAGATTTTAACCCGTCAATCAGAATATCGATATATTGACAGCGATCAACCTAAAAAAACATCTTTAGACCAACCTATCAGAACAATATCATTTTTCACCAAGTCATCAATGTAAAACAGCTTTACACCGAGCAACCAGAGCAAAAACAAACAGCTTTACATCGAGCTACTAGAGCAAAAACAAATAGCTTTACATAGAGCTACTAGAGAAAAAACAAATAGCTTTACACCGGGTAACTAGATGAAAACAAACAGCTTTACATCGAGCTACTAGAGCAAAAACCAGCTTTACATCGAGCTACTAGAGCAAAAACAAATAGCTTTACACCGGGCTACTAGATAAAAAAAACAAACAGCTTTACATCAAGCTACTACAGCAAAAACCAGCTTTACATCGAGCTACTAGAGCAAAAATCAGCTTTACATCGAGCTACTAGAGCAAAAACCAGATTTACATCGAGCTACTAGAGCAAAAACCAGCTTTACATCGAGCTACTAGACCAAAAACCAGTTTTACATCGAGCTACTAGAGCAAATACCAGTTTTACATCGAGCTACTAGAGCAAAAACAAACAGCTTTACACCGAGCTACCAGAGCAAAAACAAATAGCTTTACACAGGGCTACTAGATCAAAAACAAATAGCTTTACACCAAGCTACCAGAGAAAAAACAGCTTTACACCAAGGTACTAGAGCAAAAAAAAACCCCTGCTTTACACCAAGTTACTAAAATATATCCGTGTAAGTAGCACGAAAGACATGGCAGAACTGAACATGGGGACCTTTTTTAGTTGTTAACTAGAATACCCGTCATCCGTTGGATAACTGTGGGTTTCGGGGGTCATCCATCAAAAAACATCACGTCTGTCACTCAGAGGCATAGCGACCCTTCCCGGCGCCCGGGGACAAACTTTTCGATTTTAACCCCCCCCCCCCAAGATTTCGATTTTCAACCCCCCACCCCTCAAACTTTTGATGTGCACCTCCCCCCCCCCCCTCACTCAAACTTTCGATTTGAACCCCCCTCAACCTTTCAATTTATTTTTCCAAACCATTTTGGCGCCCCAACATATGTCCCCCCGCCCCCCCCCCTTCCCTTCTCCACCTCCCCCCGCCTCCCCTTCCCCCCCCCCCCCCCCCGCCTCCCCTCCCGCCCCCCCCCCCCTCCTCGCTACGCTACTGCAGTGTCACTTATCGTCACAAAAAACAGACCCCACATTCAAAAATATGTTTCTTATCTTTTAAAAACACCGAAAACACCGATTTCGGACTATCCCTTCATATACTGACGTCACACGTGACCTACTCAACTCTACTTCACCTGCCCAGTGTCCCGCCAAGTCTCAGACAACATGTTTTTATCGTTTAAAAAACGATTCCAGCCGAGCATGTCTCTGACCACACTATCCTTTCATATGCTTAGGACAAAGAAACAGATGAACTCTACTTCACCTGCCCTGTATCCTGCCAAGTTCAGATAGGCAACTTTATCATTCACATCTAAAAAAAAAATTGAAAAAAAATATCATTGACATATTGGTCTAGAACCTGTGCCACCCGCATGAGAGCGGACTACGCTACCAGCTTAGCTATTTACTCGTGACGTCACACATGAATTTTTATACTATACTTTTGAGTCTCCGCGCATAGATCTAGATCTAAGTCTAGTAGTAGAATCTAGATCTAGTAACTTTCAAATTAAATTTTATCTTAAATTAGCCAAACAAAGATTTATATAAAATAATTAAGGCCTGAAATAGATTCTAGATGTATTAAGGTCTAGATCTAGAATTTACATTGAGTCTAGTGATCTAGATCTAAGCTAGATTCATAACTTTCCTTCGACAGCTGATCTTTAGATCTAGAGAAATTTATTGTAAAACTAAATGAAAAAGACAGTTGAAAATTGATATAAGTGTTGGAACGTAATAAATACAGCAAACGGACGTATTGTTAAAGTTAAAGCCGACAGAAAATTAGCTTTAGAACGCGTTAAACATTGGAATGGGACCACAATCTTCTTCGATAGGCCGCCATTATTGATGTAAAAAAATAAACACATCATGTGACGTCACTGTTTCCGTCGAGTCTAGTGGCTTTTCAAATCTTTTTTAAAAAAATGGGTTACTCTACGTATGAATAAATCAATAAATTAATTAACATCTTTAAATAAATTTGTGATTAACAGTCTGTCTGCATTAAAAAATTATTCTCTACCTACATACTATTTTACAGCTCTCCAGATAGAGTCGAACATATCACAATTTTCGATCGGACAAACAAACAAATACATATTCAAACATGTAGGCCTAAACAAACTTGACTTTTAGTAGTATATTTAGTAGTATATAGATAGATAGATAGATTATATTGTGTACTTGTAAGCGGTCATAAAAAAACAAAAACAAAAGTCATGTGATTCAACGAGCCGTCAAGAATTGGGTATGTACATAAAGAGGTCGTCAATAGCAACTCAATGAGGAGAGGGGGTGTTAGGGCTTCTGGGACACTGTGAGACGAGGCGAAGAGTAGAGTTAAAAAAATGTGACGACAAACATTTGCCTTGGAAAAAGTAACAATAAAAATTTAATTTTAGCTGTTACATTTCGCGTTTTTAAAAGACCGTTTTTTTTTCATTAAAAAAATTGAAACTAATATTGAATAATATACACAATGTCAGGGGGGGAGGGGTTCAGGCCCCCCTCCCCAAAAAAAGGTACCTGAAAAAAACTCTGTCGACACCATGCCACCATACCTCGAGATTCTAAAAATACTTGACTTGGAAATTCTTAAATCCGTGACAACAATAACAGCCAGTAGACAGCACGGCAAGTAATGACCTTTCAGAAATGGTATTGCACTATAACACTGACTATACACGTAGAGATACGGATCATTAACAAATAAGGAGAAGACTACTGATTCCTTTAAGTATGTATTGCGAGATTTTTCAACGTGAAATCTAATCAAGTACCATACGTTTGACTATAGCTTCTGTACAGTCTTATTTTCAATATTACCCAGACACCCCAGATTGTTTATTCTGTGCATCCATTATTTTCGTAGTCATACAAAAGTTTTTAATTAGCACAACTGCATTTTTTAAACTGTTTCATACATTATTTTTTTCTGCTTAATGCCGCATCTTGATTGTTTATTGACATTTGCATATACTAATTGTTGTTTTGTTTGATCTAGTTTGTATTCTTTATACGCATTTCTAACTTTTTAAATTTTATGCCCCATAGTTTGACTGTGGTAGATAAGTAATAAAATTAACATTTATTTATGTATGATTATATGTAAGCCCTATTAGTATTAACTAATTCATAAATATTAGTATTGTTTTTTCTTTTCTTTTTACGAGTCTGACAAAAATAAGACTACATCTTTTCTTCTTGGTCGCTGCTTTTCTCTTCCTTGTCTCAGTTATTATCTTCTCTTGTGTGATGCTAAAGTAAGCTGAGTAGTATTTGACATCATCCCCTGTGTTTAGAGTGTATTTCCTCGCACTGTATCAAACATGAAGAAAGGTGACAGCTCCTCATTAAAGAAAGTCAGAGCTACAAAGAAAGTAAAGACCATCGAGCTCATAAACTGCAGATACTGCTACAGGTTGTGCAACAGTTTATTAGGACAATATAATTATAGGGCCTACTAATTTAAGAGTTTCATAATGTTGAATGATTAAATGGGAACAGGGCATTTCCCCCCTGTCAATTACCCCCCGGATATTCCCCCCCCCCCCCCCCGACATTACCCCCCAGAGTA